CTACTACTACTACTACTACTACTACTACTACTACTACTACTACTACTACTACTACTACTACTACTACTACTACTACTACTACTACGACTAAGTGGATAGAATTTCTTTCCTCATTCTCCAAACACCAGGCGCGATCTATCGAACACACGTTGAGCTGCCGGAACAGTATCCATTCGCGAGTCCTGGCATCGGCTTCGAGCCACACACAATATTTCATCCTAACGTGGATGAAAAATCGGGATCCGTTTGTTTGGATGTACTTGCTTCTAGTATAGATTTTAGTTCTACTTCTGAGTAACTTTAGCTGTACTGATGATGTATTCGTAAAGTAGTTTGTTATTGTTTGGATTTCCTAGAATCTCGGAAGAATCCTGCTGCGTATAATAAGTTTCCTTGGGCGCACAGCTACCATAGCGTCAAAGATTTTGTTTCGGGGTATAGTTGATAAAGCTTGGGATATTCCTATAGTTAATAAAGCTTGGGATATTCCTCCAACATGATGTATTAGTAAAGTAGTTTGGGATGATGTATTCGGAAGAATCCTTTGTTATTGTTGGAAGAATCCTCCAACTCAACTCCCAATCTCGCTCCATTTAAGGTAATAAGCTCAATCTCCACCTCGTCAGGTAATCAACCAAACATGGACACCGATGTACTCGCTTGTGAACGTCTTCGATGTGTTTCTTCCTCAATTGCTCACCTACCCAAATCCCGGCGACCCCTTGAATAGTGACGCCGCAGCCCTGTTCTTGAAAGACCCCGCTACGTATGAGGCGAAGGTACTAACATTCAACTTTTGAGGCTGTCTTCAAAGATACTTGAGGTAGTACTGCTTCAAAAGACTTAGACTTTTCTAAGCCAAAGGCCAACTGCAGTACTTCGCCGTAGAAAAGTCTAAGTCTTTGAGGCTGTCTTCAAAGATACTTGAGGTAGTACTGCTTCAAAAGACTTAGATTTTTCTACGGCGAAGTACTGCAGTTAGCCTGTGGCCCTGTGCTTCTCGTTCTACTCTTGCGCTACTCCGCCGAAGAATGCCTCGCTTTTCTGTGTCAATAAGGTACGCGAGTACGTGGGTCGAAGTCGGGAGAAATATGAGATAAGGAAACGGGCAAAAGACGAGGAAAATCTTGCGGCGTGCAGTGTGGGGAGTACGGAAGAGGGCCCATCCTCACTAGTTGATTCAAATCTGGACTCTAACCTGGATTCTGAAGCCGACCAGCACGGCGATGGGGAGTTGCATTTGACTTTATGATCATCCAATTGTGACGCACATGCAAGAACATGATACATTTGTTCATCTGAAGATACAATTCTCTTTCATCTGCTCTAATCTTGAGTCGCGACGCCGATGACGAGCTTGACATGGAGTTCGATTGAAGAATGGAGAGCCTCTACCTCGCACTTTGCGCTGTACCTCCTCGTCAAGAAGTCCTCTTCGCCCCTTCATTCGCCTCGGAGCTGGTTTTTGTGTATAATGGAGAATCAACAAATCCTTGTAGGGAGCTTAGAAGAAGCGAGTTGTTAGAAAGACCATGATTGATAGATATTGAGTCGTAGAACCCGTGTTATCTTTATTTTGAGTGGTTTCAATTTTGAGCTGTACTGATAGTTAACCAAGTCGTGGTTCTTGTTAAAAAAATGGCGTTCTAACATTTCCCCGCCCCATGTACTTGTATAATAATATATGACGCAAGCAATGCCAGTAAGTATGTTTATGTAGTTTGAAAGAATGTAAGAATTTCACCGCATTTGGCTCGAAAGAACTTGAGAATGAAATAATGTCAACACTGTTTGTGATCATGTGAGTGTGTGTGTTGTGTGTGGCAATTATATATATCTGTTAGAAATTTCTTGTTTCCATAGAAGATCCTATGTCCGTAGTACCTTTCACACTGGAGAATATTTTTCCAACCTCCTTCTACTTATTCTGACATTAATATCGTAGCAAGCAAGTAGTACAAGCTAGTAATCGGTGCACCTGTAGCAACTAGGACTAGAACTAGCTAGTAAGGCTAATAGCTCCACCTCATTCATCCGCATCGCTTTCTTCGCAACAGTGCCTCAAAGATTTCAGTTCTTGGTAGCGTTGTTTACTCTCTTGTGTCTCCTTTCTGCTTCTATCTCTGCTATCTGGTTGTCCAACTCCAAGATAGTACCGATAGTAGAGGATGAGCATCTGCATACTGGCTTGTCACAAGGATATCCAGTGCCGCAACCACATACTGAACTTTGAGAAACTGTTTAGCTAAAGGGGTGGTTGCTTAAGAAGTTACTAGGTACTTATCGCTGTTGCTCTGCGATCGGTTGATGACTCATCGAAGAGCTGTAAGAATTGGGCACTAGTAGGAGGTAGAAGATACAGGAGCGAAAGAACTATGACTCGCGCGCACATAACGCCATAGTTAGTTGTGTTGAAAGATTTCACTTGTCATTACTCGAAGAAAGATTGATAATCTTTATTTTTGAAAAATTTTTGATTTTTTGTCTCGTGTAAAAAAATAGAATCGCGATTTCGCTTCTGAGATTCATCAAACACAAACTATCTTCATATGATTATAGATCAACTAACATAGGGATCATTCCAGATCAACATAGCGGTCCTCTAGAACAATTTATTGAACCAAAAAATGAAATCATCTTCTAGAAGGTCTCGTAAGGAGATTTGATAGTATTCTTAATGGGACAAGGTAGTAGAAGTAGTACTCGGAAAGAACAAAAAATTATGGCTATGATTTTTGAGATGTGGTAGTTCAAGTTCGTCGATAGGCAATGAGATAATACACGACTACTTAAGCTCTTTCTCGACCGATCCATTGTTTGTACTATTAAGTTTGTATCCGTTCTTGTAGTTTTGAATCTAAATACGTATTTTGAACTGTATGTATCTTCGACGTGTATTGAATCAATCTATTTTTTGAGTTACAGTAGAACGAACAAAAGTTGGGAATTAGGAACAAAATAGAAATCGAGGCCCTTGGTCTAAGACTGAACTAGGAATAAAGATGAAGAAGAAGGAGAAAAGTACCCCACCTGACCTGTAGTACTTAGTTACTCTACTCATCTCCATGTGGATCTTCTTCAGAAACGGCCTTCTTAGTAACCTTTGTAATATCTCTTAGTTATTATCTGCTAGTGCTATGTTAGAGCATGACTTGAGAAGCACAAACATTCATCATATTTACCCCCACTCACGGCTTGGCACTTTCTTGCGGACACGAAGAACCCATTAGCAGTATGAGACGGTGTAGCTTGTGAAGCTTGAAAAAGAGAGAAACATTTATAACAGAAACCTGAGCACTTTATTGTTTATTTGGATGACTATAAGAAATGTACCCACCACTACTTTTTACTAGCCTCTCTTCTAGTACTAGAAAGAACAAGAAGGAGGTTACAATAATTTGGTTGTAGAAAATCGTTGACGGTTCTAGGAGTGTTCGCTTACGCTGCATGCAAACTACTAGAAACCAAGAAGTACTAGAGAAAGTGGTTGTTCTCACTTGGAGATACAAAAAGGCGCGCTTTCTACCTAACCCTTGACCCTACCCCTAGATTAGCTGGGTCATAAGAATGAAATCTCACAAAGATTGAGAGAACCAACAGTGGACGGCGACAAAATGAGGAGACGCGCACCACTACAAAGAGCAAAAAGTGCGTGTTGAGCGGGCTTGCTCGCCGAATATGAAAAGGACAAATGGTGTCATCTTGTCAACATTCACCTTTCTCATAGGGAACTCCGATTTTGTCATTGCAAAATCACAGTTCCCACGACGGACCGCGCTACTAACTTACCGATTATCAATCTTACTACACATCATTCATAGATATCGTCTCCTTCTCGAGACTTACTTTCGATATCAGAAGATCAATTATCATCTTCTTGCTTGATGTCAATTTCGATATGAAAAAGATGAAGCAGAGACGACTGCGGCTGGGCTGTTGGGTGCTCCTCGGAGCATCTTCGCAGGTAGAGCAAGCAGTTAGTAGCCGAACTGCAAGAACAGGCAGTGGGCGAGGGAAAAAGTTAAGGCAGCGACTTCTGAGAAAGCATCGTCGCCCTTCAGTAGATCTTGATGCTGGAGTGGGTACATTCATTCATTCATTCATTCATTCATCCTTGGCCTCTTCTTTTTCAAGGGGACGAAAAAATGCTTTAAATCCAAGGATCATATGTATGACTCTCGTCAAGGAAGATGCGACGCGGTGGCTCTAATGAAGGAAACATCTTCAAGGCAGTCTTCATCGTCGTTACATGAAGATGAGCAACGAGAGTTGGACGCTGAGGAGGAGAGAACAGAAGGGGTCGAGGTGCGCACAGACGGAAGCATGGCCAAAAACAACGAAAGAATACCTTCCGGAGAGAGCGAGGATGAAAGGGATGCGTCTATTACAGTGGTATCTTCATCGAGCACATCTTCATCTAGCTCACGCTCACGGTCAAAAAAGACTAGTAGAGGAGACTCGGAACAAACTAGAAGATCGCTCAGCGCAACGGATAGCTCCTTTCGACAAGGAAAAGCCAATGTCGAGTTTCCGACATACGGGGGATGCGCATATGATGCAGCTAATTCGGACTCTCCGGCAAAGAAAATCAGTCTTATGGCATTTAAGCGTTACTTTCTGGAGGACAGGGAAGAAGTGCATCCTTAACAGACTCATAGGAATGATCTGGTGTCTGGATGACTAGAAGTGCATCCTTGTTAACAGGCTCATGGCCGTTGTGCTTCAGGCTTCTCGCAGGGTAATTATGCGCCCGTATCGCGAGAAATATAGACCCAGGCCCCAAAGAAAAAAAAACTCATAGGAATGATCTGGTGTCGGAATGACTAGAAGTTGTACTTATAAAGATGACTAGATCAAGTTGTATAGTCTAGAGATGACATCATGAAGAACAACACTGCTTCTCTAATGTTTGCGCTGACGACAGCGCGACCAATGTAACCACCTTTTCCTATGGGGCCGACGCTGGCGCGACGTGTACCGCTGGAGACAAACCAAAGACGCCTGCTGCATGCCTAGTAGACAGTGCCGCATCCCCAGCCGCATTGACAAAATGCAAGCTGAATGGTATTTTTACTAGCTCTGGAGGTTTTTTACGTGAGTACTACTTACTTCTATTTGCTGTTGTTCCACCTAGGTAGTACAACTCCTCCTGTCACCACTCTAGCTCGAGCAACAGAATTCCACCATCTTCAGGAACAAGGTACTGTGAACCATCACAACTCTTCACCTCCTACCAAAAATCAGATCACCAGGGATCGATCCACCAGTTTTGCAAGCGGGCCTCCTGCAAGTCAGACGCGGATGCTACAGTGTCAGACGTGACAGAATGTCTTGATGTAGTGACCCCTTGTTATTATGGCCATAGTGGTACCATACTACAAGTAAGCCACGATACTTATGTCGGACTGCAACAACTACCTCCTCTAATCCAACGATAAATGTGTCGAAGCCTACACTACCTGTACCACTTTGAAGGGGACCGACGCAGCCGAAGTTCCCTACATTATGATGAAAAATAACCTTCCTTTCGAGGTAGGTACCACGACACTATCAAGGAAGAGTCCAGTCGTCGAAATCCACCAGACGGTTGAAGTTTCTATTCATTTACTGTCTTTCATCACTGACACTTTGTTTCCTATTGTTTAGCGAACTTAATACATAGTACTAGTCCATGGGGAAAGAAGGAGAAGATCAGTAATGTACGCTGATATATAAGGAAAAGCGCTAATCTCGAGACGTTCGATTCGAGTTTGTTTAAGTGCACAGCAGGCAACACAGATTTTTAAGGCAATGAAATTGGAAACCAAGCAAAGACTCAATGGATGAATGGGATACTCAATCTAGACGTCGTTTCTCCGAATAATTAGAAATGCCCTAAGGAAGACCTGACAGAGCAACAGGAGGAAAATACAACACGTTTGATGAATGCATAAGAGACAAGTGGCTGAATCACGACGGATGCCCCATAGGGGGCACTCGCGCGGGAGCAGCGGCTGCAGTGAGCTTGGAATTACGGCACAGGAGATGTGAAGTAGTTCTTGTGTCACTCTTCTCTATAATTAGTTGTTCCCTTCTCGAAATGAAGGACCTTCACCCGGATGACTCCACGTAGTACGCAGGGTCAGGGGAGTACTTAGTACTTTAGAAGAAGTAGATGATGCTAGTATTCGAAAATCATGTGATTATGAAAACGAAAATCATCGCCAAGAAGCTTTGTCAAGTTTGCAGTGGTAGACTAATGCCAAGTTTGCATCGCCTAATGTCAAGTTTTGCAGTGGTAGACTCCTTTGCCACAGGGTCACCGATATGCGTTGGTGGGGAAGAGGAGGTGCCAGCGTCAGGAATCTGGACTGTGGACACACTTTGCGCATACACCGCGAAACCGAAAAAGGACGCTGCGGAATTAGATGGCCAGAAAACTAAATGCGTTAACTACTTTCAACACTGCCTCATTTACGGAATAGTGTTAGATTGGGAAAATAGTGTTTGTAGTGTCTAAGGTGTCGAAGGAGGAGATCATTTACATCTCGTTCTCGTAATCGCTACTACGAGGTGCGAATAATGATCTCGTTGTCTTTAGATTTCAATCTTTGGACCCCTATCTGCGTACCTTTCTCCCCACAATGCTTTCTCCACACAGGAATTTGAGTTTTACGTACCTAGATTTCCTGCTCTCATGCTGGTGTCGTCTTACCAACGTGAATGTAACTATTTAATTCGTGACTATAGAAGTATGTGGTGGGAAGAATAAATCGTGGTCCCAGTTTACTAGCTGACTAACCACTAATCTCCATGACGCCATTCATCTTTAGATTTCAGTCTACGACGTCTAAACTCTGCAACAATCTTTGGAGTTGGACCCCTATCTGCATACCTTTTCTAACCAATGCCAGACGTGCTGGCGCTCTCAGTGACTACCGCCGCGGCCAGTGGCCTGACGATGACCGACAGTAGAGATGATGCCACGAAGACGAGTCGCGTTCCGAATACAAACTTATGGTGCTCCTGATAGTATTTTGCCAGCTGAACACGCTGATATACAGTTTATTCTCTATCTTCTTTCATCTTCCGTAACCGTACATTTCCCAGAGTAACATAAACCTATGATGATACCCGGCATCATCAATCCCTCATACTTCCTCTCTTCATCTTCCGTCCATTTCGCAGAGTTCGGTATGCATTTCTTTCCAGTACGCGAGTGTGAGGCTAAGAGGCACGTCGACGCAGATGCTAGCTTACAACCTACCTGCGCGACGGCTAAGACCGAGTGGCCATCGGTTTCTAACACGCGATTGGTCAACCACATCACGAAAGCTTGCGACAGGGCTAATTGTACTACAAATTAAATTGGCTACTTGTGCTACATCAACTTGCATTTAGACTTTTACTACGTAGGACACTACAAGTAAAAAGTTATAAGAATAGCTTAGTACTACACTAGTACTAGTTCTAGTTCTCCATTTCCAGAAGTTACAGAAGTACTGCTACTGGTTTTGAACAAGACGGGTGTCAAATTTACAAGTGCTTGTTTCTACACTAGTAGCTGAATTTGTAGTGCTACAAAGCAGCTTAAACCTCACTTTGTAGATGTGCGGGATTGGTGTACGATGCTTCTGGGAAATACGGCGCTCGCGGGAGCAAGTGCAGGAGACGCATCGAAGTTGGAAAAGCAGCGAGGATGTTTGACGCGTTGTGAAGGTCTTGCGGCTAGCTGTTTCGCAGAACTACCAGACAAACCCTTTCCGTCTGCTATAAAAAGTACCATATCTACTTGATTTGGTTTTGAAAAATTTTGAAAAATGCTAAAGCTGAAGGTAGTCAGTAAGTCAGCACGAAAGATCCAGCCATGGGTATGGGGTGTAGCTGTCAGAGGCTTTAATAGCAGCCTACTGACTAATTCTTTTTCTTTACCCACCCCCCCGCTGTCCCCTTCTTGCTGTCTATATTTCTCTTGCTAGAAGGTGTTACTCTCTCAAGTTGTAGGGTGATAGACTTAATTCGAGATGTGGCCTTTCGTGTGCTTGCTGAAGATAGGAATACCCTGTCACAACTGATACCTAACAATGATCTTCCTTTTCTCATTCAGCAGAGTTCTCACAACTTATACCTAATAATGATCTTCCTCTTCTCATTCAGAACAGTCTGCCCTGAATGCTCTTCTTCTTCTTCTCACTCACTCACTCACTCACTCACTGCGTCACCCACTCACTCACTCACTCACTCACTCACTCACTGAGTCACTCACTCACTCACTCACTGAGTCACTCACTGAGTCACTCACTCACTGAGTCACTCACTCACTGAGTCACTCACTCACTGAGTCACTCACTCACTGAGTCACTCACTCACTGAGTCACTCACTCACTCACTCACTAAAACCACTGAAATAACCAGTTGCCCAGCCTGATGGTATTGACGAAACTGGTTGTAAGAAAAAATGGTCCGCCTTTGAGGAACAGTGTGCAAGTGGTTGGGACAGTCCGACTTACGGCTAAGCACTTTAACGAGGACCGTTAATATCAAGTCTACCTCTTTACAGTTTTGGTTTTATCTTCAAGTCCATCTTGAGGAGTAGGAGCTGCTTCTACATTGAAGTATAAGAAAGTAGTTTAACTTGTGTACCATTTTGGAGGTGAGCAACTCATATTCAAGACCAGCAAGACGGGAATTATGAAGCTCTAACTAACGACGGTCCCAGTTATCTCAAGCATGGCGCAGATATACGCAAATCGACCGGGTTCTGGGACCTTTACGATTTCCAATCTACAAGATAACTAACGGCGAAGATGACTACTAGTCTCACATCCTCATCCATGGTGATTAAAGAGGATGAGTCTCACCTCCTCATCTTCAGTGATGGATATTTCTTTCATCTTACTTCTTAGTCACGAAGTCACGTTCTTCTTCTAACAGCGCAAATCCCGACAAGATACGCCGGGAAGTCTGCAAGCTTGCTACCCTTGTTGAGAATCCAGTCGCAGGTGAGGACTATGCCTATCTCGACAAAGGGGGTGGAGTGCATGAGGTTGCTTATAATGATACCTTTAAGGCATAGGCAACAGTTTTCGAGTTTGATCTTAGACTCCTTTGAGTGCTGCTTGCAATGATACAACCTTGAAAGCAACAGACAGTTCTTAATGGAGTGATTGAAGGCAGCATGCTTGACTATAAGTTACTTAGAAGCTAGCCATAACTCGAGCTTCTATGTGATAGGGCTTCTTATGTGATCGAGTAAGGAGCGCAACATGAAACCGGCACGTGGCGTTTTATATTGGAGTCCTGGACATGGGTCATGGGACCAGGACCACGGTGGCCGGTGTCACATTATTCTCTAACCACTGCGTTGAAGCGCTTGAGGCGTGCTGGTCTGATGACGAAATTGTGAAAGGTTTCGATCTAAAACATGACGTAGCTGCGTCACCGGTTCTGATGCATTCACAATGTACTATATCATATTACTACATGATTTGAGTATATCGAAAAATAACCGCTTTATAATTATATTTCCCTTATTTTCATCCTAACTTCTTAGTCCCTCCCGCCAATATATTACTACCCGACTTGCTTCTAACTCATATTCTCATCGATTTAAGGTATTACTAGCTTAAAATGGTGGCCCATTGGCACTAGGACCTAGGTAGAACGTGCTGGTTCAAGACATTAAGACCGATCACTCTCCTTGGTAGTAAACTTTACAAGCTAGAATAAATCTAAAACGAATCTTACATGATGATCCGAAGTTTATGATAAAGATTGAGATGGCCACCCTTTCTTCAGTTGTTCAATACAGCTTAAGATGATTAAGATACTTCTAAGTGAACAATTATCTAGTACGTCGTTGTACCACTTATCTAGATCTTACTAATAGCCGGCTACTAGAACTTGTATATAAGTAATATCTATGTAAGTAGTTTCCAGTAGCCGTATATTCTTAGTAATATCTATGTATTAATATATCTAGTAATACTAATAACCTAACCTAACCTTAGTAATTTGTACCACGACTATAGCCGTCGCTGTACAGCTTAATAAGATGATTTGAACAATTATACATAGTTGTACCACTAATATAGTGAGCCGTCGCGAAGTACGCCGTCTGACAGTTTAAGATGATTAAGATAGTTCTTCTTCTTGGGGTTGTAGTACCAATGCTACATTAACCTCCAGGTAAAATGAGATACTTCTAGAAGGGTTGTAGTACCAATGCTACATCAACCTCCAGGTAAAATGAGACATATGGGACTACACGACGCTTGTGCTGCGAAACTGTTTCATCCTAACGGAGGGTTTCTTCACGAATTGCCAGGATATAAGCAAAAAAAAGCAGATGGCTCGTTTGCCGCAAGCGGACTGAAGTGGAGCTCCTATGCGTTGCTGACCCACATTTATGACCTGACGAGTGCGTACGTAGTAGTTGTAACAACACAGACGAAGAGCCCAAGCATTGTTTTTGGCTCCTCAGCAGCCATTCATGTCTGCCAGTTTTCCTCGTATGCCCACACCTAACCTAACACAAGGAGCCTGGTATGCCCACACCTAACCTAACGCAAGGAGAAGACTGTGAGGTGGATCAACGTCTAAGAATTGCAACTAACTTGTGAAGCAATGGAGATGCCAACGACTTCGACGTGCAAGTATGACGTCTCTACCAATGCGACGAAGACGGTTACAGTTATGGCTTTTTATCAAATTGGCTCAGTGGGTACTAGAGGTAAATTTGAGTGGACTTCATCGTGTGCAACATAAGATAATTCGTATTCGGACAGTTGATTGGAGGACTCCACACGATGGAAGTGGTAGTCGTGACTACAAACGAGACGTGACCACTACGAACATGCATGATGATACGGTACCGTGACCACTCTACATACTAGTTGTGACTACAAACGAGCATGATGTAGAATGAGAATGGCTGCAAAATGGACAAAAAAAAACCTGGCTTCTTCTAATCCTGTAGCAGATACCGGCGAGATTGCCTACCAAGCGGCGTCGGGCACAAGTTGCACCTCAGACGACAGACAACATGACGCGGCGCAGTGCACTGGGGACAGCAGCAATTGCGCGTTTGGTATAAGTTCTGCTTAATTACTATCTAGGGAACACACACCACCGTCATTGTCACCAATACCGTTGTGATTATCATACATTTTGTACTCATTGGGCGCAGTAGAGAGTGTCGTCAAAATCTCACGATGAATGAATCAAGAAGCCTGATTATGATTTTTAACTTTGCTGCGACTAACTCACACTACAACCTAGGTCAAGAGGAGAAGCTTCACGATGTATGCGTACGGGCTTCCTGTATCAGCACTCCAAGTGCACCACAGTCTCATCTAGTGAACTGCGCCAAGGTGGATAAGGGGTGCTACGATGCCTGCCTTAATGCTTTCAACTCGTGCAGAGAAACTCCAGGGACACTTGCCGAAGCTGCCTACTCTACAGTAACGTCGTTTTACGGGACCGTGGACTGCGCAACACCGCTGCCTTTCAACGACAGTGCGAGTGCGCCCTTTACCACTTACAGAAAGTGCTTCGAGGAAAAGTGGTTGAAATTGAATACCTGCGATAGAGCCTTATGATGAAGTGAAAATGTTAATGTAAATGATGAAGTGAAACAAGCAAGAAATGCTGTAGACTTTTGAGTCAAGCAATGAGTGCTGGATTTGAGTCAAGCAATGAATTTCAAATTTGAGAACCAAGCAATCAAAGTAAGAGTATTGTACATAAATTCAACGAATCATTATGTTTGTGTCTTCTAACACCCGTGGACACCTTTAGTCGGGAAAGTAGAGCAGTCACAGACCTCATCGAGCGTAGTACGTTCGACAGTATGTGTGCGGGCAATGAACCAAACGCGGGCGCTGCTAAGATTACGGCAAGATGCCGACGGTAGCCAATTTAGTAGTTTGTTGTCCATATCCATTTCCATTATATCAACATACGTAGGATCAAGCTCTTCTCCATTCCTAGAATCCTGTGGAGGGAGCGAACGTACATTTCACATTATCTTCCTTCTAATGGCGAGTGGACACGTAATAGCTTTTGTCAGGCGAAAAGCAAAACGGGAGACTGTGCAACAAAATGCGAGACTTTCATGGAAAAATGCTATTCCATGTCTGCGGCGGACAACACATTATGAAGAAGATCTAGAAGATCAATGATTTTTGTATGGATTGTTTTTACTACAACTGGCCATCATCGTTCTACTCAGGAGCCGTCGACTAATATGCCCGTGGGGCTTGGGCTCTAGCTTTTCTACGGCCAGGGTGGAGCGCATGGATGAGCGAACTACTACAACTTACTCCTAGGTGCTCAGGCAGGAACTGCGACAGGGACACATGACATGACAACTTACTCAGCGGAGATTTCATTATTTGTAGCTGCAGGCAGCTAGACACTTTTTTTAGAACGGAGGACCACTTTTTTTTTTGAGTTTCCACTCTCTAACCTCCGTGATTTGGGCGGAGCATAGCTTGAATTATTTTCCAGGTGTTTGTGCCAGCGCACGCGATGAATATTCTTATGAGTAGCAGTCTGAAATAATGAAATTGAAAATTGCAACCAGAAAAAGTGGGACGAAATTTTGTCTGTAAGATTTTGACTTAAATGAAACTAACTTAACGACGGCGTAGGCGTTTTTTGTTTTCCACCTACCTCCAGATCTGAAGGACAACATCTTTGGCAGACTTGACTTCCACCAAGGTGGAACAGAATAATAGAGTATAATTGAAAAGTACAGATGAAGAGGAACAAGCTGTCCATCTGCTGTACTTTTCAGTAGAAGTAGATGGAAAAAAACCAAAACAACTCCCCTCAAATATACAAATCCCCTCAAATAAACAACTCCCCTCAAAACAACTTTGGCTATCCCTTCTTTTCTATAACAGAATGGATGGCAGTGATTGCGCAAACGCAAAGAAGGCTTGGACTGACTCGTGCGACGTGGGTGCTCAGCCTACCCCGGGAACCCATGACGTCGACTTCATGGCACATTCCTGCACTCGATATGAGCGTACTACTCTGTCTACTTCTGTCTTTTATTTTTGAAGTAAAGAAGATCCATATTCAATCCAAGAAATCCAGAACGATAGACTTACTACTTACACTTAGTTTTGAAGTAAGAACTCCGAAGTCGTCAGGGAAATCTGAGGCAGTTTGCCGAATAGATTCACACCATCGAGTACTCAGAACTATACGCAGAGAGACCGGCAACGTCAAGCTTCTCAAAAATGGCAATCGTTGCTCAGATGCAAAGGATTGGTGCGAAAGAATGCTGGGCGCTGGTTTCCTTACCGATCCTTCTGGAAGAGAAAAGCAACGAGGGTGTTTGCTTCGCTGTCAAAACGTTGCTCAGAGGTGCTTCGCACCAGTCAACACGAGTAGCAGTGACAGTTCGCAAATAACAAGTACTACTTTCTCGATAGAAGAATTTTCTTAATTTCATTGTTAGGTCAACAATGTTAGAGACAAGTAAAACTACATAGAACGAGAACTGCAGAAGTTCAGAGATAGTAGCTTTCCATTTGAATTCTTCACTTCTCTACTAAAACTTCGAATCTGCACAAGATACAAAGAATATTTTCATTTTTTAAGAGAAGACTCGTTCGTTTCTTGAATTCTAAGGCCAGAGGGAATGTTGATTTACATTTGACAACTCTACTTTTTAGTCTATCTAACGTCACACGTCACGTGGTCTTACTCTGTTGAACAACATCAGTTGCGCCTCCAGTTGTGGACGTGGAAGCGACTGTGAAACTGTCGGCAAATGACGACGAGTGCAGGAACTTGTGGGCGTCGTTGTCGTCAGAGTGCTCGAGTGGATGGAAAAAGGGCCACAACGTTAAGGTTGTCCCTGATCCATCTCTACTATAGGAACGATCCCTCAAGAACAGTACGCACACCAATAATTAAGAGTAGGTTAAAGGTGCTTTTCTTACCGCTTTTTATGCCTCTCCTAAGGGAGAAAGGCATAAAAAGCGGGGTAAGCGAGCACCAAAAACCTACCTCTAAAATAAGGGGTATATAGGGGAATATTCTTGAGGCATTAAAACTGTTGAGAGATCTACTCCACAGGGATGAATTGGGAAGAGGTCTAAGAACGTAGTCCAGATATCCAGCATGAAGGAGATCTTTCATAAGCGGTTTCAAGCTGCCAATGGCATTACACACAAGCCAGATGACCTTCGTAAGGAGGTGTGTAAATTATGGATTTCGATGAATTCGTTGTTTTAAAATGTAGTAAAGAAGCGCATTAGTCTATTTAGGTAGTACTTCGAAGATGAAGGAGATGAAGCACGAAGTTGTCTTAGAATTTTCGTGGTCCTATCTACGTGCCGCAAAAAGCGGCTTCTGGGATCCTAGATTGACGTACTACCAGCATGATGAATCGTTTTGCACGTTCCTCCTGAAAGTTCTCAAGAACAATCAGACGCAGTAATTCTTGACCTCTAAGAAATCTGGCAACGATGGTCGAGGAAAGCGTGCCTGGTCATTATGTTGAGGAAGGTCCTGGCAGTACAGTGATGTCTTGTTGATCATGCACTGGTTTTCTCCTAGAAGTCACATCACTTGCAGTAGTACCAGAGTGTCGTGTTGAAGGACCTCAACTAGAAATTGACACTCTTCTCCAGCAGACGTAGTTATTAACTGTACATTGTGTAGCACAACGTGTTCATACTTAAAGTAAATGCTAACCTAACATTGCCTGCATTTCTCGGCTCTTATCTCTTGCTTACCAGTTAGTAGCTGCATAATGAGCATCACCATCATCGTCATCATCACGCGGTAAGAGGATTCTCTGTATTAGAGGAGTCCTCTTACAAACTTGAAAAAAAAATAAAAAACGGTAAGAGGACTCCTCTAATACAGAGAGTTTGCGTATTGCCAAAACGAGCATAATGAGACTGAGCCGTGCCACGAGAATGTCTGTCCAAAGATGCTGAAGGAATGCTGGGAAGATAATCAATTTCTTTAAGATGTTGAAAGTACTATGACTATCACTTTTACTTGAGCACTTGTTCTTCCTAGGTAGTGCAGCTGGGGAGAAGATTTGAAGAATTATCTTAGACGATTTAAAAGAATTAGTTGTACTTAGGTCTGAGAAGCAGTGCTTCTAAGTACAACTGTGTCCCCTTAGTTGTACTTACAACTTCAAAGAAGTACGTGACTTCAAAGAAGTACGTGACTTCAAAGAAGTATCTCCTCTAATTCTTGCAGGCATTCGATCTTTCGCCAGCAGGGGCGCCAGTCATACTGCACGACGAATGTACTACTTAAACCGAGATGATAAAAAAGAGGCAATTATACTAGTGTCTGTCCTCCTCATATTAGGTAGATAGGACGATGAAGAACAAGAACTACTAGGTAGTACGTAAAGAGATGAATGAAGTCAATACTAGTGTCTGTGCTCCTAAGAAGGAACTAGAAAAGCGATGAAGAATTAAAACTACTGCGTACAACTCTCTATTAGGGCACGCCATGTTCTTCATGCAGTGCTGCTTAAGTAGTAAAAGCCATAACCCATAGGCAATGAACTACTACATCTAGTACCTGTTTTGGTTTTCCTGATTTTCTTGCTCCTAAAAAAAGGCATAACTAGAAGACCAACCAATCAACAACCGAAGCTACCCGTTCAGGTCACGCCATGTTTGCTGGGGATATGTGTCATTCGAAGCTGGAGGCTTTTCTTTCGACAGCTTGGAAGATTAAGGCCGCACAATAGGATTCAACCAAAGTGCACTTTCCCTTTTACAGAAAATAGATATGACTCCTAAATCAAAATGCACTCCCAACTGTCAGACCACGCTACGGCCATCATGAACGATGGCAACAGGGACAACAGCATGCATTTCAAGAGAAATTCTAGTACAGGCACTCTCTTCTGTCCTATCTTATCCTCTTATATCCGTATCCACTTCTCGCTATCCTATGTTATCTTGTCCTATCGCTATCCACTTCCTAATTCTAAATTTTATTCTGTTTGATCCTACCCTATTCTACTCATTCTCCCATGCTACGTACCTTATATCATCTGCTTCCACGCTAAGAAAAGAAAGGAGGCTGACGGGCAACTGGTAGGAGCAACGCTACAGCATCAAGCAGAAGCATTGGTACAGCAAATCCAGTCAAGGTGTGATGAGGGCATCACGAAACGTACTTTTTATACTTGGATTGATATTTATGACAGTAGTAGGTTCTGACAATGGATGCCGTTTTTTTCCTCTGTTAGATTGATGGAATGTGGATAGTTGAATCGTTGCAATGATTGAATTACAGTCCCCTAGTAACAAAATTACTGACGCTAGAACCTTCTACCTTGTGCTGCAACAACAGCAGAATCAATAGCAGTAACTTCCAGAATGAATCAGTCATAAACATAATCATGCAATCACTCCTCTACCTGTTCTTCAGCTGTTGATGATCTAACGAGCATCGTGTGTAACGCGGGATTCAATGTCGCGGGTCACGGTGGTTGCCAAACCGCGTGCACATCGTTCTTCGACAAGTGTTTTGGATACAAGACCGGAGTGAAAGTTAAGAGTGCTAGAAGAAATGTTGGACCATATGGTTGCTACTAGTTGTTTATACTTTTGCCTGCATGGAAGAAGGCCTGTGCTTCCCCTACTAGTGGTTGATGGTTGTAAAGAAGGTTCTTGTGTCCATTTAAATTTGCTCAGCGGAAGGAGCTTGGTGCGCTTAGGTAGTTGAGTTGGATCGTTAATAGTTTTTCTTCTTCTTCTTCTTCTACATCTAATACAACCTTCGATGGCACTATAGAGGAGCTGAAAAAAGAGGAATGTGCGGCGTCAATCGAATGCCAGCAAGCCAGGGATCAGTGGAGCAACACTGCTTGTCCCGAAGCGAACTTGCCTCCGGTGATGCAGGAACTTCGAGAAAAGTTCACAAGTTGTGAAGGTATTGAGCTTGATATTCTTAGAGTCACACACTAAGGTAGAAGTTTCTTCATCAATACTTATTAATTTATTAAGGTGTACAAGAAAGTTCTTATAATTGCTTGTTGAGAAGTTATGCTTCGTAAAGAAGGTCTTAGGCTTCTTTCGGACTTTTTTCCATGATGCTGTCGGTCATAGACGCTCATCAACATCTGAATCCTCACACTCAGGTAACCTGACCCACGGACAACTGATGAAGCAGACAACTACTGACTCCGACATTCGACTGAAGTTAGGGATTTTTCATTAATATACCAGAAGATGTGACTGCTCTCCTAATTGGTCGGCTCTACCAATATTATATCAGAATATGTAAGAGACCTATCATCTGAGTCAGGCGCCATGTCTTTTTTAGTAAGTAGATAAAATCAGGGGAATCGATCCGAAGAATTTGAGGTTCCACCTTCCGTTAGGACCGACTGAATTGCACTCACGAGGACATCAACAACACTTGCCTCTAATCACAGTCGAGGCGATCGGTGGAGTTATCACCGTTACGCACACGCCAGCAGGTGCACCGAAGAAAGCGGCTTCAGTCCTTAAGGCTTTTGTTTCGCTGAACGCTAGACAATTTTCGTCTCTTTTTGCGCTAAACAATTTTGTTTTAGTGAAAATCACATTTTTATTGAGCTCCACTGACACTACGGAAAGGAATAGAAATATAACCAAATAACTTGTTGAAGAAGCTGCTCTTCGTCTGCTTCTTCTAATCTCTGGCTGAAGCATTTCCACGAGGTAAACGGGGAGATGCAGATTATTGGTCTTAACTTTGCCGATCCGGACGAACGACATAGTGTTACCTCCTTCGAACCAGCTCTCTTCGACATAGATGCTGTTGACGACCATGGAGTCAATCTGGCTGAGCTCTATGAACATACTGAACCTCTCTGCTCTTCACATGTGGAGAGTTGTAGTCAACACGAGTCGCGATTAAGTCTTAATCGAACCGCGACGAAAAACCCTAATCGACGAAGCTCAATACTCTAGTACTTTTTACTGTTCTCTTACATGCCGAAACCTAAGGCCACTGAACAAGAAGTCCGAAATTTATCATCATCAGCCGCATTCTACTCATCATCATATCCTGCCTCATCATAGCCTCCGTGTCGGTTCTTCTAACTTCTGGGCCTTGGGAATGGAACAGTAAAAGCCGATATGGTCAGTGCGGTTAGGATGGTCGGGTCGCCCACAAACGCAGTGGGAGAAATTGGCATTCACGTGTTGAAGCTGCGACAGGCAGCAGAAATCTTCATGGGAAACCGAGCTATTCTACACTGTAAAGCCGGAGACCTCGTTGTTCAAGCCAAAGTCAGTGGAGAATGGAATTAAGACAGAGGACTCAGACTGTACTCTTGGTTTTGACTAGAATAGAATATACGGATCCTACTTAGCTTGGCCAATACTAATAATTCTGTACCTATATACCTTTTACCTACTATCCTTCCTTTTTCTTTTCCTAGTTAGCTTGGCTCCACCCGTAATATTGAAGGGGAAGAAGTAGAGACTGAAATCTGATTCTTCTAAGAGCTACTGTAAATGAAAGCTACGACGAAAACAGATGATGTGGATGGGATATATGTAAATTTGCTCTAGACAACAACTGCCACCGTGCAAGTTAGTAGCCAGACGGTACGGAGTACTATCCTTCGAAGTTGTACTAGACACTCGTTACAGGACTTTGATGTAGAAGATGAACAAGAGTCGACGCGCAACTCTCTACACAAACCTCGCGCGAGGCACATTAACTCACTCACTCAATCTTCACTCACTCGCTCACAGCTTCGCCTCTAATAAAAAGTTTGTTCTGGCACAACAGTGTGTCCAGTATCAATGGGAGGAAGCGAAGGCGCACAGGAATTATTTGCGAACGGGGAACTCCAACTAGAACTGATAGGAATGGGGTCAAGGACACAATTCCACCATTAAGGCTCCATACAATTCATTTCTACAGGACTTAAATAAATTTTTCCCTATTTCGCGAAGCGAGTAGCAGTTTTCCTTCTCTATCATTTTTCTCTTCTCTCTCTTCCATGCAGGCAAGAAATGAACTATGTTTTGAGCTCTAACAACAGGCGACGAACTTGTTACCGCATACCGGCGCTGCACAAGCACAGGTGTCCAAGTACCCGGAAGGCGCAGACACAGGAGTGCACTTTTACTTAAGGCTAACGCTGAAGCTGATTCTTGATCTCCATACCAGGGGTCCGTATATATAATACTAGGGATCCCACCCTATATTATCATACTAGGGGTCCCTATAATACGGTATAGCATACGCATATATTTTTATATGTACAAGCGATAGTCCAGCGGGGCTCAAAGCACTAAAATAAAGCAACCGCCGAGTTTTTGCCTCCATCACGTAGATGCATCCCTTCAAGCAATATAAATATGCACAAGCGATAGCCCTTCTGTCGCGCCAGCTCTGGGAATGTGTAAAAAATTCTTGAGTAGACAAACATGATGATGGGAGTTAAAAAAGTGGCTATGTTGATAGATAGGCGCTTTTAAGCCAAAAAACATCTGAAAAGTGATTAAGTTAACCTCCTCCCATAGCAGGACTTTATGGCCTTTCCCTCTTAATATAGTCAGAGGCTGTGCTGCAATTCTTGATTGGCTTTTGTCCGTAAAACGGCGAAGGTTTAGGTCCAGCGACGCTCAAAGCACTTAAATAAGAAGCCGGCTCGTTTTCCTCTTTCTACTTTTAGGCTATCCCTTCATGCAATAGGTGTGCAAGGGAATGAAAAGCCACTTAAATAGTACTGCACAGGGATGAAGAAAAGCAACAGATACTTTATCCGCATCATGCTAGTGAGTGAATTAGTACCTCTAATTTCCGCTCCAGACATGCGGATAATGGGCAAGACCGAGGATGCGACACACGTGGAACTACAAGGACCGCGAAATTTTGGTGATGACCACCTGCCGCCTACAATTAAGGCTAGCTCTTTATTTGTTCATAATTACTGATCGTAATTTAGGCTGTTCCTTGTTTACTCGTTCATTCCTGCTCGTGGGATCATCTTCTCGGCACTTTTTTTACGCTTGTTACCAGATACCAGTTACTACGCTTGACAGACACCATACCCATACGGCGTGATTGTCTCGTAAGGGGAACTATTCCCTGTAGAAAAGTCAAGGAAGGGGATCGATCCTAAAGAGAGATGAAGCAGAACAAAAGGTCAGTAGGTCACTCACAAATCACGGATAGAAGACTTCATTTGAGGTACCACGATTAACGATCTCTAATGACATAACCGCCATAATGCATCCTCGTGGTGCTGCAAAAGAAAGAGCAAAGCCGTTTGCAGTTAAGGCTACCGCGTGTGCATCCCCGGCATCTTCCTCGGTTCGTTTTCTCCTTGAAAAAGAAGCGAGCCAAGGATGCGCACAGGGATGCGAACCCGGCAGCTCCAATGTAGGGGCAGAATTACGCGCCGTGTTTCGATTTACCGGCACCTCAGCTGGCGACGATCCACTTGCAGCCTCCGTGGAACCAATGTTAAGGCTCCTACCGCTAGAGCATGTTCTTAACACTCGTATTATCCTTGGTTCTTCTTTTTCTACTCGGAAAAGGACCACAAAGGATACGACACTCAAGGAAGATGCTAAAGCGGTAGCTCTAACACTGGAGAAGATTCCGGGCGCCTTCATTTACGGCTTCCCCTAATCCATCTTCGGAAGCATCCTGAGGCTGTCCATAAGGGGAGAAAAGCATCAGGATGCGTCTCAAGATCGATAAGGGCGAGCTCTAATTCGTACTGGCTTTCAACAGGAGCGGCGTGCCTGATCTCGCGGCTGTAGATAAGGCTTGATTGATAACAACTCGTCATCTCATGAGTCAGGTATTTAGATTTATACTATAAGTGCTAGAACAAGCTCTAATAGACAGGGCGTTGTAACTGGCGCTGGTCTGTCGGCGATGCTTTTTTTAAGGCTACAAGAAATCCAGCTTCCCCACCAGCATCTTGGTCCTCCCGTTTTCTTTAAAAAGGGACGAAAACGGGAACTAAGATGAGTCCGAGGCTGGATGTCTCTTAGTTCTAATTTTTGCGCACGCTATTTCGAACTGCATTGCCGGAGGCTTGTTCGCAGCGACGGGGAGTATAGCAGACGTAAACTTAGACGACGTAGTGAATGCTACGCCAGGCAGTTCATTCCTGACAAAATTAAGGGTTCTTGTAAGTTTGCCTCTTTATGAGAATAAATCTATGGCAGATTAGACAGGATACCAGAAGCATTAGCGCGTTGAGCGTACTTGGATAAAAAACTCAGACAGAATCGTGCTCCACATGATACCCGTCTAAGATCTATAGCACCTTTTCCGAACAAAATAAAAATCGAGGCCCTTGGTCTAAAACTGATCAAGTAGGAGTCGCGTCCTGGACGGTGGACTAGAGTCAGTGGGAGCACCTACCCCCCCACGTGTTCTCCACCTCGGACCTGGGGGGTGGGACGCCAAGGGCTGTAGCATCTCTAGATAGACCTAGCTAATTTTATATTTTACTCTGTTCCACCTACTCGGCTTTTGCTTTTGAGTTGCTCTACGAGTGTTGAGGGAATCATGTTTGTTCCCTCTCGACCCGTTTGAGCTCAACTACCAGAAAATCAGGGACATCGGCGGACATCTCGCTTACTTACATCAAGTAGGAGTAGGACTAGGAGCGTCTGTCATAGATTTAGATACTTATGCGAGATCGATCGGGCAACTTGCAACCCCTAACAAGAGGTTCCTCATCTTCCTCCTCCTCTTCTGTGCTTCTGCGTCGCGGTACAAAAAACGAGACTGCGCGCGAATCACGAGGACAAGAGGCCTCCGAATTCAAAGTGTTGTTATGACAAGTTCGCTGCCAGAACAATTCTTTCTGATTCTGTACTTTGTGATTCTGTACTTTCTGATTTGAAAAAACTTTTATGCACACACTGCGACCTCAGCCTCACAGTCAGGTCCTTACTTTTTCTGCTTTGAAGAAAGAATGGAAAGGTCATACGTAGTCCTTCTAACTTTCATCTCGTACAACTTGACAGTCGATACTACGAACAAAGCGGTAGCAACGAAAGGCGTGTTGCCAGCTCCGGGAGACGCCGACTTACGTTCTCAAACTAATTTGCTCTCGATTCAGATACTCGAAAAACTGAAGTAACCGAGTTACTGACTGAAATAAGGGGCGTAGCTTAACGTCAAGGCTACTCTTCCTTCTCATCAGTCTCTCGGTTATTCTGTTCAGTTACTTGCTTATTCCAGTTTTTCGAATAAGTACGTAAGTGATGGATAACAGAACATCATGGATGATAGATCAAATGGAGCAGAAGATAGGAATAGGATGCTTCGTTCTTTGTCGTGTTTGACGACCTGAGAATTTCTCTCCACAGACACGGTAGCAGCTTTCATGTCTCTTAGTGACAAAGCGTGCCTATTTCGCTGGCGAACACTTGATACCTCTGTTTCGCCAAGTGCTCAGTGGTTACAAAGTTACGGGTTGGCTCCTGTTGTAAGTATGTGAATGAATGAAAGAGCAGATTGAGATTGTCTAGGTGAATGAAGAATGTCGTTGATGGACAACTCTGCCCAATTAATAAATCAATGTTGTACATCAACAACTGGTAGTTGTAGTTCTACTCTAGTTTTCCTCTGCGACTTTTGTGCCTTAATTTGATTTTATTCCTCTAACAAAAGCGGAGAGGACAAGATAGAAGCCAAAGACAAGACGTTCATAGACAGCGTGACTAGTGTGGTGGCCTTTGACGGCGGCGCTCCTCCTCCAGCGCCAGGGGGAGACGAGCCGATAGCAGAGGCGGCACCGATAGCAGAGGCGCAACCGATAACAGAGCCGCCGGTGATAACAGAGGCACCAGGGGGAGTTAAGGCTCATGATAATGACTCATTTGCATAATTGTTGTAAGGTGTTTCTCTTTCTACATCACAGGTTGAGCAAATGTTGTAAGTTGTTTCTACATCTTCACAGGTTGAACAAATGTTGTAAGGTGTTTCTACATCTTCACAGGTTGAACAAATGTTGTAAGGTGTTTCTACATCTTCACAGGTTGAACAAATGTTGTAAGGTGTTTCTACATCTTCACAGGTTGAACAAATGTTGTAAGCATCTTGTGAGCTCTAAGGAAGGGTCTGGATCCGTTGCGCCGACGGATGAAGATGAGGTATGGTGAGAGTACTTAGCATGTTGATACGACATGATCATGATCTTCGATCTTTACAAGAAGCGATACAACTTCTAAAACTTGTCTCTCTCTTTCTCGTAATCTTCAATTTATTTTACACGAAAACGAAGAGTTACTACTACCTCGTCCGTATGATCTATTGTTTGATGTGATTAATTTGCTATGATTTTTTTTCCCGTCTGATAGATGGTAGGTACCAATCTATCACGGCATTGGAACAGTATCATAGACGAACAAAAAGAAATAAAATATTTTTAAGTTAGATAACCAACTGGACAACTCGGAGATCTCTTTGTTACTCTATACTCTATAGTTAGAAGATTGATAAGCAATCTGGTGTAGCAAGTCCTCTTCTAACATCTACCACCGAGACGACAGAGACGACAGCAGGCGCGGAAGTAGCAGAGATACCCGCGCAAGTGAACCTTGGATTAGCGATGTCAGAGGAGGAGGCAACGACTATCAAGGACACACCAGCCTTCACAGGCATCATGGAGACAGCCATCAAAAAGTCACTACCGAAGAACGACTTATACCAAGAGGGTTCCGAATGGCCTCGTGTGAAGATAGACTCCATCGAAGTCTTATCAGCCGTCAGCTCCAGCTTTTTGAAAGAAAGTAGAGGAGATTCTCCAGAACGCAGGAGAAGTGGTGCAGGAACAGGAGTAGCATCATCTTCTGATGTAGTTATGCCGGTGGAAATAGAAGTACAGCTTAAGAAATTTTTCGACGAGAAAAGTACAATTACCACGTCTAAAGCTAAAGGTGGTTTACTAAGTAGTAGACCATGCATTCCATCTACCTCGTAAACAAAGAACAATTGCGGCAATGCGATTTTCCTCTTTTCTGCCCAATCGTCTACCTTGCTTTTAATCTTTCTCTAAGAGTCGCCGCGCAACTCGGACGACCAGGAGTTTGAGCGAACGAAAGCGTGCTAGCAAGCTCCTGACAAAAGTTGTGGAGCGTTCTTCTAGTGTGCAGTTTGCGGTGCAGTATACAGTGTCTTTTCCAGCAGCCGACGCAACATCCGTCGCTAATGACATTACGGCTGCAGTCTCCAGTGTTGGTGGCGGAGTTGCTGACACGCTGAGTGATAATGTGAAGTTAAGGCTTGTTTTTGCATTCTGTTGTTTGAAGATTCCGCTTTCTAGTTCTGCGATCACCCCTCACCAATCGATAAGAAGTTAAGCCATGTTCTTATCCGTCTACTAAATAGGTACTAACTCATCTTTCAAAGCACACAAAGCAAATTAGCCGGATAATTTCCCTCGGTGGTTCGGAGATCGTTCGTAGTCTCTATTCGCAATAGATGCCGACGCATCTACTTTCTCTACGATAATGATCCCTCATTAATCATTCTTTCATCTACATCATCTTTATGCGATCCCTCATCAATCGTATATTAAGCAGGTAGTTGTACTTGGTTACTTCGTGTTCATGCTTATAAGCGATTTTTCCCTGTAAAGATGGACTGTAAAGATGGAGTTCATAATCTGTGAACTATTCCTGCCTCTAATGAAGGCAGCCACCGAGGAAGCAGTAGCGAACAACCGCGACTTAACAGACGAACAAAAGGCAGCTTTGTCGAATCTTCCCACATCGGTCGAAGAAGTAGTGCCAATAGAGGTAACAACCACTCCGTTGCCTGAGGTGGAGAAGAGCGCAGACGAAGAAGCAGAGGGAGATGAATCAGGGGTAGAGGCTGCGGCAACATCATCCTCGTCTAGGGGTTTGATTATGGCTTTTTGATAATATTTCGAAGATGAAAGAGGACGGAAGTCAGAGGGAGAGATCACTACAGACATTTTCTGACAGCCGCGCTAATTTGCTTGCGGGAATAGTTCTCGCAGTTCTTGCCCTTGTCGGTATTGGCGCTGCGGTTCTCGCAGGTCAAAAGCCACCGGCAGTCGAAGGGGAACCTGGAGCGGAGGGGGAAGTGGAAGCACCACTCCTTCAAGAAGCTCCGGCAGAGGGGCCGATGGAAGGAGGATTCCCACCAGGACAGCCAACCGAGGAGTTTGCACCAGAACAGCCAGCTGAGGAAGTTTCCTTATGGCTAGTACCGTTCAAGCATGTAGAAGTCCTGCTTTTTAGCGTAACAGAAGAAAGATAGTCCTTGGATGTACTAGCGTAATAGAAGATAGTCCTAATTGGATGATGATGTTCTTCTTTTTTTGTCTCCTGAGTATCATAATGATCCTTGGATGATGAGAAGACTTGAAGGTTCTTCTTTTTTTGTCTCCTGAGTATCATAATGAGCCTTGGATGATGTTCTTCTTTTTCTTCTCCAGGACTGAAGACAAGGGGTTGTTACTACTACTAGTAGTTGAAATATAATATGGTATAATTTTTCTACTTGAAAAATGAAATTTCAAAACAAAACACCCAAGCATATGGATATGAGTCTCGCGATGCTAGATGCTAGCGCGATGGCTCTAATTTTGGCAGCTGAAGGCGAGCAACCCGCAGAAGGCCAAGAAGATTAAGGCGACAATGAATAGCTACAATATTGAATATATACTGTTTTTTTGTTTCCTAGTTAGGTGAACTCCACCGATAATATATACATATTTCCAACAGGCATCTTGTTGCGCCCGTTGATCCAGGGAAACCGGGCACCAAGATGCTCGTCTTGCAAATTGATTTATGGGGGTTCAGGTCTAAGAAAAGGGTTCAGCAGCGGAACAAGCAGAAGAGGCACCAGCCGATCAAGCAGCAGAAGAGGGATCCCAGCAAGAAGGTGCAGCAGAAGAACTGGGCTCAGCGCAAGGCGAAGATTATGCCCACTTTTCTTTCGTCTAAGTCTAAGTGCTAGCAGTAGTAGTAGTAGCAGTAGTAGCAGTAGCGTGCCCATTGGCGGGGTAGAAGAGCCTAATTAATTCGCATGTTGTTCCACTTCCACTTTTTTTTGCTAGTATTCATGTCAAATCTGTGTCATCAAAGCTACATCCATCTCAGTCCCAAGCGTTGTCACAACCCAAGCGAAGTTAGAAAAGAGAAATCCTACAAAAACAAAAGTAGCAGTACTAACAGTATAAATATGGCATCTCTACTCCGTCTCTTTGTCTCTCGTCTAACATCAGCAAGGATCCCAGCAGCCTGAAGGATCAGACGCAGGAGAGGGGTCAGAGGCACCGCCGTCAAGCATGGCTGCTGGTAGCGATGTGGAAGGAAGTGTGTCGGAGGGCAGTGAAGTGGAACAATAATGCGGTCTGAAATAAAGAGATATTTTGATTTGTAATTGCATCTTCAGTTCAAGTACCTAGGAAAAGAGAAAGAAAGACAAGAGGTTTTACGTTTTTTACATTTGAGCACACGATGGATTTAAATTTTACGTTAGTCTGTCTCCAAACTGTAACTATGTATTACGCAAACACACGACGTCAGAAGATCAGTTGAACAGCGGTACAATACGCGAACTCCGATATTGTAACGTGAGTGAGTGAATGTTTATGCACTACCTACTCTGACAGAATGACGATCCGATATTCGAATATTATTGCCAAGCAAATAGTCTCAGACAGATGTTTGATATGGGGATTCAGATGTAACTAACTAACAGGCCTCCTTCAGGCTTCCACGGCAGTCATTAAACGACTGCAACAGGAGCAATCACGATGCTGCATTGTTTGTACACTAGGAAGATCCAGGATGTAGAAGATCCAAAAGGAAGAGTAAAAGAGGATCGAAGTGAAGCGTTTGAATAATGTCTATTTCATAGTTCGTTCTCACCATCAATAGTACTAGGCACTAGACATCATGACCTAAGCATTGTGTATAAGCTTTCGATTTCTTGTCGATTCTTCCTAGGGAGAGGGTTATGTGGTCTTGGGAGGTTCGCTGCAAGTAGACCCCGAGCTACATGAAGTAGAAGTAGATTTTCATTTTTTAGGATTCGGTAGTCGAGGACAATCAAATTAAGTAACCTGACAAGAAATGGTTCTGAAAGATATTCTTATGGAGTACCAGTTCCAAGAAATAGCGTTTAATGAAAATGATAGGTAATGCATTACATCTCGACCCGCGGCCCACAAGGTGAGGAAAGGGCCTCGTGTCATCCCATTACTATCGAAGCTGCTGCGCTTCTGGGGTAATTTTTAATATATGAGCACGGCTTGCAGTTGCAAGAATTAGGGGCTTCGGGCTGTAGGAGGGGTCGAAGTGGCAGTCAGAAGTAGTCAACAGAATAAAGGGCTTCTGACGTCACATCCGAAAAAAAATGTCAGGTGCCCTCTTCTAATCTAAGTACTCTAATTTAGCGCACTATTCGTGTAATTATTACTGATTATTTGACATATTTTTGTAGAGCACAAAATCAAAAAGACAAAATACTTTCTTGTTCTAAAGCTAGCGCACTACTACCAGACAATCTTGTTCATCCGGTGTTCTTGCACAGTTTGTTATCTTTGTTGAGTCTTTTTTGTTGTCTAACCTGTTACAACTTCTTGCGGACAGAAGCCAACATCACACTTACAACGTCAGTTACTCAACCAAATAAAATGGAAAAAGAAAAAATCATGCGTTACCAGAAGCTTATCCTGCCCCGTCGTTAGCAGTATGTTTTTTAATCATGAACAAGATTCATTCACTCCTAAGATTTTCTTGTAGTTCGTTGATGTTGATGCATTCATTATGATATCATGATTGTCAGTTTCGTTCGAGATTGGGTGTGCATCATTTCTCTGTGTACAGTTGTCATAGTTCCTACTATTATGTCGTGATAGATAGACTGATTCGTTCTCAACATCGAAAAGCAAGAACATCAAAAGGCCGATGATTGAAAATGCTTCGTCCAGATAAAATGGGAGACATTCTGAGTTGACGCAGCGTTGACGATGGCGAAGACGATGATTATTGTATCAGCAGGAAGCTAGCGACGCCTATTATCAACAATGTGCTCCATTTGTCTGAGCAGGGACATTCGAGCTCATGGACGAGACCGAGAACATACGACCTATCTGTAACTGATATAGTGTTCAGCTTCAGTCACGCAGGCTGTGAAGGCACTAAAGATGTTGATTCATATTGAATAGCACATCGAAATGAGAAGTGAAGACCGATGAAGACTCAGTGATGCCGTGCGAAAAGACAATTTATAGATAGTGTGGCATGAGCAATATATTTCAAGATGGATTTCCTTTCAGTATCAGGAGCACGAATGACACTAGAAAGAAAAGATGTCCATCGTTTAAGTAAATCGAAAAGCATGTAGTATCTCACGGCTGAATTGCTGCTGCTCTGAGATTGGTTTCACATTCGCGAGGTGGATTGCGTCTTTATACGAGTCCTCCTCTCAGTCGTAGGGTCGCTCCCTCGAGAACGGCAAGTTGTTTGAGACGCTAGTAGGCGACCAAGCAATTCGTGGGTGCTTCCATCGGATATCGACCTGACTTTTACCGCTTATAATAAATCGGAGGTCCGAAAGCGTGGGACGGGTAGTTGTAGGGAAATTCTGTCGGTTCTCATCGACATGTGCAAGAGCAAGCACCTCTAAGCATGGAGTCCAGGAATCACCGCCAGCAAGCCGAGGCGTCCGAGTTCTCAACCCAGAAGCTGCGCTAGTTTTCGACATTCAAGAGTGGGGAAGTCGACTACTATACAAGTGACTTCTAAGGAGTATGTGACAACGACGAGACCGCATTCACAGCAAGATCAGCTACATCAGCTCTAAAGCGGCACAACTGAACTCATTCGAAAAGCGATAAGGAAGTAATAAGTACAAGGGAAGATGAGATAACGCTACCTCTCAAACCGACTCCTGGGATGGATTAGTGGCAGTAGTTGTACTAAGAACAACGCACAACTCGAAAATGAACAAGCAGGCGAACGTATTCCTCCTCTCGTATGCCTTCAACCAGGACTACACGTGTTTCATTTACGGCTATTACTTGCGATTAGTGATTGCTCCAAGTACACCTTCTTCTACGAATGCACCAGAAATCTATGACCTTGCTTTTTTGAGGACGGTATGTATTGAAGCCTCTACCTCTAAGGTGCCTGCGGAACAACACAAGGCTTTAGGGTCTACACAATTAACCCTTTGGCAGAGGTGCATCGTCGTGAAACTGCAGCTAACAATGCGTGCGCTCTGGTCTCGATGCTGTACAAAACGAACATCTTCCCTTTGGTATTTTTGTCTAGCAGAAAGAATAACTATTGCGGGCATAATTAACAGTTTGGTGCCCTAGCCGGAAGCGACAGCATAGCCCCAGGCGCGTCTCTATTCACTGCCGTGTGCGTCTTTATTCATGAGATGGCGACCGTGCTCCGGCTGCGGCACTTATCTGGAGGAGCTGCAAAGCCCCGCCGAAGCGGCGGAGCGTTTCAGGACATGCCTGCACAATGGTGGGCGAGCAGCGCCCGCCGGGTGGGCTCGTTAGCATTCGCAGACAGCGAGGACGCGCGCTGTGCCCGACGGGGACTGTATGGCCCACCGCGCTACGCCCTCCACAGATCTGGCTGCCCGTATTTGTTTCGCCGCGTGCTTCACTCACAAAAAGCCCGCCACGAGTGGCCACTTTTAAGCTGCTCGAAAATGGCGCGGGCCATTCTCTTCGCTGTTAGCGACGCCACAGGTGGCGCCAGTGTCTTAGTTTAGTCGTGGCGGCTGCCTTGCGCTCTAACGAGATCAATTGGCTTGGCCTCCTCCGCGTTGCGCTGGGCGTTGCTGTTCTTCTGTCTTCGTTTTCGAAAGTCTGCAAGTTCTCCTCCCGGGCGCCAGCGTCTCCGGCCGGAAAGCCTCCGGGCCTTGTTTGCTTTGTGTTCTGAAAGCTAGCAAAGAGCCGAACAACTTGAGAGGACGCCCCGCAACGCCGCACCAGCTGCGGCCAGCTCTTTAAAGTCTTGGCTTTTTGTAAACCGCAACCATGGGAGGCCCCCAGGGGCGCCCTCGCTCTGCCAGAGGGTTTCTGGCTGAGCATGGTGGCCTCTACGCCTCAGCCTTGCGGGGCCTTTTTCATAGGTCAGAAGAAAGACAGAAACCAAACGGGCAGCATGCTTCGGGAACTGGCTCCAAAGCCAAGAGCAGAAAACGCGCCCACAACAGCAAGAGCGGCTGCGGCATATCTTGATATAGCCGCCGTCAGCGTTGTGAGGTTTTTCAAGCGAAGAAGTGCCTCGCGGAATGCTTGGCAGAAAGTGCGCAGGGGGTGCTGGTGGCTGTAAGGTGGGCAGCAGCTCCGCCAGGGCGGTGGGGTCTTCGCCTTGTGTGGGCGGTGTCGGCTGGGTGGCGGCGGCTTTTTCGCCATCTAAGTTGCCTTGCGTGGTCTGTCTGTCAGCATCTTGCTGCTGGATAAAATTTCGGAGAGTCACGGGGGCCCTCGGAGTGCTCGGACAGAAGCAGGCCAAGACGCTGCCTTTTGTGTGCATGCCTGCAACTACCAACGGCGGAGACGATCAGGCACGGGTGTGGCTGTCTTGTGCTTCGCTTCTCATCTCTCGGGCGGTGGAGGTGGTCGGGCGTCTGTGGTCTTCTTTCTGCAGCAACTCAGTCGGGCGGTGGTAGAAAGACCTGGCCCGCCGCGTCATGCGTGTGGGGCACGCAGGCACCCGGAGGGGGATGGGAATGGCGTGGCAGCTCGCTGCCCAAAGCGATAATCGCCGGCGCCGTCGGTGGTCGATTAGAAAGCGCTTGGCTTACCACGCGTTTGTTTGAGACGGGCACCCTGCGCGCGGGTAAAGCAAGGAGCTGGTCTTCGTCGCTGAGAAGGTGGCAGGCGAAAGGAGGCGGGGGGGCGTGATCCAACTACAGTGGCCCCAGCTACTCAATTAGGCAGCGGAGGACTTCGGGAGGCGTCGGGGGGTCAGGCGGCGAGCTTGCGCCCGGTATTTCCCTGTAGCTCCTTCAGTTTGATGGCCCTCCCACGTGCGTGAGGAGTCCATATTTACTCCATAACAAATAAAAGGTTCGCGCATTGGACCCGGCAAGCAATCGGGTACAAATTTGGGACGATAACAAACAGCAGATGGTTGGCGAGTTGTCAAACCGGCACGACGTAAAGTTATGCAAGTATCTATGTGCGTAGTAATTTTCGAAAACATCAAACTCGGCTGTGAAGATCTTTGATTTTGTATAGCGACGTCTTTCAAACATCGGGACACGATCCATTCTTGTCGAGGTCGGAAAACCATTAGTAGCGATGTGATTGTGACGATGGGTAATTGTTGTTCTTCTAATTGGTGGCGTCGTATTGCGAAGGGACGTTATTGCAATGGTCTGCGAGTATTCTGTCTATCTCTACACAACGGACGTGCTGCGCTTGATACTCCATGTGGCGACTTTTATGACTCCTGATTGGGGTTGAGCAGTTCTAGTCTCTCTTCATAATTCGATTGCTGATTATCTCAACGTTTCAGTTGAATTGCGTCCTACTACAACCACTTCTGCTTCTTCTAATACTCCTTGCAACCTTCGGGGTCTTTGCGCGCTCTCGCCCAAGGAAAAAACATGGGTGCTGTGCTGTCCAGGACAAACAGCTGGTTTAATCTTTTGATTCTTGCTGATCTTCTTCTACCGAAACGATGGTGCAGATCATGCTAGCAGTTATTTCAACCTGCAATCAAACATACATGACACTAATATCCGTAGTAAGTTTTTACGAAATTTATTAGGTACGATCCGAGTGCAGCACGGACAGGTGGAGGAACAACAGCTGATTTCATGCTTATGGCTCTAACGAACACTAGAAAGACCTAGATGAGTGCAATCGGAAGATTACTACATTTCACAGTCGTTTCTAACTTTCGCAAATCAGACTTCTCACGTCTTCACGGCTCACCAAAGCTCGCTGGCTGCCCTCAGCGTAAACCAGACCGGAACCCTCGTCGCAAGCGCTAGCGAACAAGGTACTTCTAACTTGTTAGTTGTAGTAGGAAATTTTGATTTTTTAGAATTCCCTAGAATGTCATTTTGTTAGATCCAAGAATAACTTCCTGAAAACCCAATGATAAAAGAATTTGTGCCCCTCCCCAGGAACGGTCGTGCGCGTTTTTCAGACATCGAACGGGCAAGTGCTTCATGAGCTAAGGAGAGGTTCGTCTCCGTGCCTTATCTCATGTATCACTTTCCGCGCGGACGATAAGTATCTTGCGGTCGCCTCAAACTCGCCAACGGTCCATATCTTCCGCCTAGACGAGCAGCAAGATTATGTTCTGAGTAAAATTATTATGTTGGTTATGTACTCGTTGAAGAACATCTTCTTCTTCTTCGTGAAGATCTCTATTTTTCTGACTTGTCTGAAGTAACGCTCAGTTGTCATCAAAATTTTCGACTTCGGTCGTGCTTGATGAGAAAACAACGGGCAGCAAGATTATGTTCTGAGTAACAAGATTAGAAACACAGAAGGTCACTTTTGCTTGTTTCGCTCGACTTTCTAATTTTCATCTGTATCGACTTGTGAAAACGGCGGGGGAGAGGGCCAGCCTGTTAGACAGCCCTCAGAGCAGATCGGAGGCGCACGGAGCAGCGCGAGTACATACATCATTCGTTTGATGTTGATCCTCCGCCCCTTGCTTGATGTCGACTTACTCCGCCCCTTTCGTCACTACTCACTTTCCACATCTGACCATGATTATCAGCAACCAAGTAGTGCCTACCCATAATAGTACAACCAGGTCCACCCGGAGCAGCAGGCGAGAGCGTGAAAGACCAGATAGGGCAGCTTTTCAATACCGGCAAAGAGAGGATAAAAGAGCTCACGGCGCAGGCAGTATCAACGGCTGTAGATCAATTGAACAATATTAAGGCTAGTGCAAGTACATGAATCCAGCATTCTTGGCATCATCTCTTATGTAGCATCAACTTCACACTATCAATCATGTAGCTTCAATCTTTCATCTTATCTTTACCCCTACACTGTGATAGATAGGTGGATCAATCTTTCATCTTATCTTCACCCCTACAGTGACAGTGTGATACTTTCTTCATCATCTAAGAAAACCAGCGAACTAAAAGAAACGTGGAAAAACGCTGTGCCAAGATATTTCCTTGCAAGTAGAAGCTACGCTCAATTCCGCGTTCCTGACATGGCATCGAATGAAGATCCGTATCAGGATAGGCAACGATATCCTGACTTCAGGGCACAGCAAAGTGGAATACGTGGAGCACTTGTTTTTAGGAAGGATACGGTTTTTTGCGTTTGGTCGTGCATTTGCATTGTTGAGTGTAATTTGAATTTGTAGAACTTATTTTTCATCATGATCTTCTAATCCATGCTTCGGCCCTCCAGAGAAGGAGAGTTTTTTTGTCCTGCACTACAACGGTTTTATCTATGAGGTAGCGTTGACGGGGAAAGCAGAAACGCAGGAGTTGGACCCCAAACTTAATTAAGGCTCATCAATACAATTCAGTTCTAGGTCTACACGGCATTTGTTTCTCCCTATGTATTATAAGTCTTTTCTTAGGAGGACAATTGGGAGAATAAATACAGTGCACAAGAAATGAATTGTTTTGAGCTCTAACTTAATCCTATGTCACCTGGAGGGGACATCAAAACACCAGGTGCGGCCACGGCAGGAGCTCCTGCGACACGCGCAAGAACAACGCGAGCGAGCTCTTTAGCGTCAGCGCAGTTGCCAGCGGATGCAGGTTTTTTCTTTTACCTCCTGTTAGACCTTATTGTTGAACATTGTCTTCGCTAAAAGATTGTTTTTTAGAAGAAAGGAAAGGCCTGTAATAGACCTACTACCAGTATCAATTCTACCTGCTCTTAACGTTGATGGTCGCATTACAATTCACAGGAGCCGCGATGAAAGAGCTGATGCCGGGAGTAAATGTCGGCACCCGTTTAGTCCAAGCACAAACCTGGTTTGCGTCTAGACCAGATTTTCAGATGCACAAACAGATAATTGGCGCAGACGATGATTCTGATTTTATGATACCCACACTCGACCAAGACCATATTACCACCAAGCAAGAAGAAAAAGTACTTAATCTAAACTTAAATCTTACTGCTAGTGCGTTCGTCTTCCTACATTATGACATGCATCACGGGGAAGCTAAGTTGTATTTTTAAGGAGGCTCTAATGATTGGCAGCTCATTTGAAGCACGCGCACGAGGTCGACAAAATAAAAGAATCAGGAGGGAGACCGTGCTGTTGAGATTTTGGGCGCAGAGGAAGTAAATTGAATAGTTAGAATAATGGAATTGGAAACAACCGAGGTGTTCAACGAAACTCGCTAAATTGATCATTCAGTTTTTCAAGTACACTGTCTAAGACTCTATTCAATATCACAAAGCATGCTCGAGAAGTACTTAAAAATCACGGAGTAAAAAGACCAGACCTTTTTTGTGTGTAACTAAAGATGATTGTACTTCTAGTACATGTGCTCCTTAGTTCAAGTGTGATTACTGTAAGGCAAAATAGGCAGAGGACAAAGGTCCTGCTTGTGGTCGTAAGAAAGCTGATGCACCAGTTGATGCTGGGACCGATACCTCACGCGGCACGTTGCCTTTGCTCTGTGGTTGTTCGTGTTCGTCAATTCATTGGCTCTTGGTTGAAACGAAGAAGAACCACCACGACCGGAAATTCGTAGATCACTTGAACTTGGTACCGATGATGAAGGTCCTGATGAAGGCCTCGTTTCCTGCAGATTCGTGGGAGATGCTGGACACTGAGACGTGCTCCAACATCCTTCATTCGCGGTTTATCTCACGCCTACACGTTAGTTCTAATCAGTACCGAAGACCACTAGAAGCGAGTCACAGATTATTTCCTTGGGATTTTTATTTACTTATAATTTTCATCTCCATGGCGGTAATGGGTGATCAAGTGCAGCAGAGCCCAGAACCACGTGATGGCGAGGAATCACCACCACCTCCACCTGAGGCCTTTCCAAGTGGGTATCACGATTATGAAAATTTCTCCTTAGAAGTACTGACTTTGAAAAGTCCTAGGCTGACCTTCTTATTAGGTGTTCCTCCTCTTCTTCTAATCCAACGGCGTTCACGACTTCGAGAAGCTGAACGATGATTTACTGGGCACGGAGATCGTACAACTACAACAGAACTTATGACGTAGACGTTTACTTTCTTAGCTTATAGTTGTATTTAGCAGCTTGAATGATATGTCAAGAGGACGAAAAGTGTGCTGAGTGATGCAGTTGGAAACTAGCCAATTTTTAGTCGCCCACGCACATCTTATTTACTACCCTATGAAAAACAGACACTTCACGTCATTTTCCGGGACGGATCACAAGACGATCTTTTCCTCAATTTGCACATTGGCCACGACGTAGCACGCGCCAAGCATATGATAGTGGAAAAGACTCAGATCGCATACGGAAGAATCAAACTTTTCTTATGGAATCATGAAATTATGTATGTGTATGATGGAAACTGAGAGTACCTGTTCCATCTATTAGTAATTGCTGTGGTTTATGTATGATGGAAACTTTCTTGGTCTTAGAAGACTTATGTCACTCTACTCAACGTACCTGTTTGAGTTTCATGAATTGAAGACGTCATCTCTTTCTCTGTAGGCGGGTAAGCCATACAAGTAATGAAGCATCATGGATGCTCTAGATCTACCATCTTCTTTGACTAAACCCTCTAATCTCAACCCAAGACGATGGCAAGCTCATGATGGATCCATTATCTTTGAGCGATATACCTGTCATCGACGAATGTGCAGGTGGCATATGCAAAGTGGAGGCAGAGGTGGCGCCAGAGGGGTGACCGTGCTGAGGTAGTCGTGGACGATGGAGACCCACACACAAACATCAACATGAGACCTACTAACCCAACAAGACTGCTGTACAACATGATAACTCCTGCAAATTCTCTGATGGCAAAGTCCCACAACAGTTCCTACCTGTGATCGTAGAAGATGAAATCCTCCCACCCGCCTTTACAGATACTGTTGCATTCTCCATGTACCACTAGTGTGGCTACGACCACCACAACACATGATCCAGATGCATGACAGGCGTGACGGCTACTGTAGCTGAAGGTGATGTTCTGAAAGTAAATTGCTCCCCATTGACGAAAAATGGTCCTCGATGAGAAGCGGCCTTTTGCGTAAGTCAGTCGACATCGCATCACGAGTACATGGAAATTTCTTTTTTTTTCTTTCCGTCGTGGATGCTTAGATTTCCAAAACCCAGTAGAAGACAGTAGCTCAAGAACAAGTACATTGCTTGCGGACAAAATACTTCAAGACCAAGTACTGTGAGAGGCACATCACTTTTGATGTCAACATCTTTTTCATTGTTGTATCATCTGCACTGGAATCACAATCACAAAAATAGAAGGTAAAAAGTATGGCTGGCGGCGGTGCTTCTGGCCCTTCTCAGGGACCATCCGGTATGTCAGCAGGCGCACACGAGTTGCTAGCTGTCGGAACTAACAAGCTAGTTGTTGCTTGTTCCACCTCGGCTCCTTCAAGTAGTACGGCTAGCAGTAGTTTTCTCAATTTCTCGCCGAAGATAGAGTGGGAAGAAGATGGAGGAGACACATTCACATATGTACGTGGTGGATCGCAGCTAACGGCTTGTTGGCTTCACGCTGATCAAAGTACTTAATGATCACTATAATCACCTCCGTAGTCGGGGTCAGTGTAAAAATTAAATCTTCCAGAGGAAGTGCAGGTGGTAAGTGTATGTTCTCCTAGATCTAGTTTGCCTTAATCAGCCCTCACAACTTCAACATCAGAGAAATTCGTAGAACTCAAAGAAGATTCAGGGAAGTCGTAGGTCCAACCCGAACCGACTAACATCATCAATCACCCCCACGAGGTGATCTCTTCGTTAGTGCGGCTGGCGACCGGTTGTCGTTGTTGAACTCGGCATCCGAAACCGTGGTAACACAAGACAGCTTCCCAGAATGTGGTGGTTTTCGTGCCCTAGCATCCTGTGGCTCGGGTCGTGATCCGGCTTGCGTATCCTCTAGTGCCAGAGGTCTACAGCTGTGGTCAGTGGGGAATGGAGTAGAGTTGGAGAAAGTTGCCGGCTTTGCTTCACCTCCATTCGGTATGATTGAAGATTTAGATCACTACTCAGTCAGATAGATCATTACGATCTCAACTAGACGAAGTCACTAGAGACGATCCCGGATCATCAATGTTGTACTTCTAAGAGTATCACCCCCTACCGATGTTAATTTGTTCTATCTATCAAGTGAGTCCTTTATTTCATGTGTCAATTCGAGCATGTGGCGGCGTCTCTGCACGAACAGCGAATGAGGTGCTGCATTGCTGCTAGTTCCGGTGCCCGCATTTGGATGCAACCACTGGAAACTGCAACTGGGGACTCCTTTTCTGGGAAGTTCCTCGCATATAATCCCTCTGCCGATTTTTCACCCTCGCAAGTCGTTGAAAGTCTCGTGTTTGCACAGAGGAAGGATCTTCTTGCAGCAACATGGACAGGGGGTAAAACTGTGGTGTTTGACGCATCTGGACCTGGAGAAGGGCGTCCTGTATACGAAAAAGCAGGTGCTGGTCGTCTAGGAGATCAACATGAGCAAGACGGGAGTGCTTTAACTTCTCTGAAAACGTACGTGAGCTTTTCACCACATCACGGGGACCTGCTGATCTCAGCACGAAGTGACGGACTACTGCAGTTCACCGATATCAAGTCAGGAGGGGCGAGGCAGGAGATAAAGTCCCTGCAGACAAAACAGGGGATTACATCGTTGAGTTACTTTATGAGCCAGGATGCATTACATCACTCACACTCACTACGTACTTTATGACCCATGATTTTCTTGCTGAACAAAAGGGGCGAAGGAATAAAACGTTCTGTTTCTCATGCTGTGGTAATAAGTCATTCTCTAACCTTTGTGGCGACGGCGTTCGCCTCGCACTCGGTACACAGAATAAGGGCGTCCTTCTGTTTGACCTGCGGAAAGCGTCGGATCCAGTTTTCCCGAAAATATTACTGGATCAACCGGTACGTCATGTATCCTGGTCATCTGCATCTTCGGCGAAGCGGCGCTCTTCCGGTTCTGCCACGTCGTTGGCCTCCAAGGTAGAGGCTTTTGCAAGTAGACCCGTGGCGGGCAGTAGTGCTGTTCCTTTTCTTAAGGCTGGGAATAGAAGTACTTCAAGTTGTACTCTTCCTTCTGTTAGAGTGCTGGTAGAATACATCACATTTCTTCTTGGTACACCTTAACATATAGTCTGGTGATGTTTCACCTTCCTGCTTGGTGATGTGCGGTCTCTTTCACCTTCCTGCTCAACTTTCTCCTCAAGGTCAGAATCATTGGGTCTTCTCTTGGAACTACTCAAATACATTCTTCTTGGTAAGATACAGTACATCTGCTCTTCTTATTTGGGCAAGCTCTAATACTCGAGAAAAAATTGGAGATCATGAAGACAGGACGGCGAGCGCGGGAGACGGCGGCACGTCTTTCCTACAGAGTCGGGTAGCTGCTGCTGTATCCTCCGGCATGCGCCGCGAAATTATAGCTGATGCTGACCCTCAACCTCGTAGAAATGGCATTGGTGAAGACTTGAATCGTCCTACTAGAAAAGCGAGTTGGAATGCAGCGAGTGACAGACAAGATAGAGGCAGCAACGCGCCATTCTCCCGAGGCAGGGGAGAGGCGCCATCCTCCCGTGACGAGCGTGATGCGCCTACAGGAAGGGGTCCTTCTCCTTCTACGGCGGCAGGAGTTCGCTCGCAGACACCCACCGGTGCTAGACCAAAGCTAGAGCCGCCTATTCGTGCTTCTGCCTCATCAATGAATGTTGCTGGAAATATGAGTCCACCTACTTTCGACACGAAAGTGAATCAACAGCATCTCCTTCGGGGCAAGGAGCAACTGCAATCGGAGTTACGCTCGCAGCAGCTCCTCTTGCAGGAGGTAGAGGCGAAGGAAGAAGGCCGTTCGCAAGAAGTAGAAGTGCTAAGACCACAAGAAGATAAGAAAGCAGCACATCCATCAGAGTTGCAAGAGCTAGAAAACAGGTTGAAAAGCTATGTAGATGAAAGATTTGAGACCTTACTAGGAGAAATCAGACGCTTAGCCCGTGCACAAGAGAAAACGGCAAAGAGTCAGGAAATTCAGAGGCTCTCAGTGGACGTAGCAAGACAATTTCATGATTTGGAACAAACTTTGTTTAGCAATTTATTGCAGAAATGAAATCATTGCGCTAATTCACCTTCTTGATACATCATCAACAAGTGGTTAGCTGCTAATTCCACATCCACGCTAGCTTCAATGATGATCCTCTTAGGTATTCTACTGTCTTATTTTCATGGTGAAGTTCTTCGTCTTCCGGTCACGGTCATCTGCATGTGGTGGATCTGGCGCAACGATTTCGGTTAATTCTGTAGTCTGTAGCCAGGCCCAGGAGCATGACTTGGAGTGATGCATGCGGATGATAGTTTGGCTCTGCTTTGGCGCGAATGAAGAGAGATGATCATTGAAGAGGATCGGCTGCAAGGTTATCGAAAATGAAATGTGGATTATGAGGAAATGGGGTTTTCATAATATATTCTACCGAGGATGCTCGTTCTTCTGAATCTGTTTGATCTATGACGCCCTTAAGGCAGTCTGCACTGAACCTTGTGCGACTACCCGGAGCGGTTACACGAGGCATTTTTGCGGCGAGATATAATAATACGGGAGAGCTATGATATATTTGAGTGTCGTTATTTCTAGAGGAGGCGCTGTGCCTTGGTGAGTAAGGAGGTCGAGATTGCTTCGATATACAAACTTAGGCGCTGTTATAGTTCTTTGAGGTGATGAGTAGACTTAAGCAACGTAATTGAAAGGGGGAGAGCGTCCCACCGCTCTCCCTCACTGATTTTTTATCTCCCGCCCGGTTGTGGCTATCAGGCATAAGGTAGCCCCTTTGGTCGGAGTCAGCCCTCCAATTTTTTTGCTCTTTGTTTTTTTCTCTCATCGGCTGCATAGCGGGAGGAGCCGGCCACAAGAAGAAAATGATGAATGAAGATGAAGAAAAACCTTAAGCAACTAGTAGGGTTTAGTGTTCCTTCACCAATTTCACTAACATGCATGTTCTTACTTAGTGAAAAACATTCCTCTAGTTCGCGCCAGCAATCAGTTGCCGCGCAGCTCCACCTAGGGCCAAAATATTTAAATTGATTAAGCGGACAGCGCTCCGCCGCCCAATCGTAGCATTCAACATAGGCGCGTAATGGGGAGACGGGCAACGCCCCGGGTGGCAGGTACTAGGTGTGTAATTATCCCTGCCTTTGCTCCTAGGCTTGACCATTTTGGAATCGTAGGGGCAGTAGCGTAGTTTGTTAAGGAGATTAAGAGCTCCCCCCTACGCCGGTAGCTACGCGGAAAATACGCAGGTAGGATTTGATTTATTGGAACTCGCTCGCAAAATATGCAGGTAGGTTTTGATTTATCGGAACTCGCTCGCACTACAAAAAAAAAAAAAAGCGAGATTAATTGTATTGTATTGCGATTTGGTTCTTCCAACCCACTGGAGTCGATCATTGTGTTAATTTGTAGTTCCATTCATTGTCGACCTAAAGGTAAATCTTCTGCTCTTCACAAACAATGCTCTTGCTATTTTCGAGCTGCCCCATTTGCCAGAACCAAATTTTTCTTGGTTATTGTTTGGTGGAGTTTTCTTCTATTTCTTGTTTCCTCTCTTTGTCCTCAGAGTCCCGCGGGGATCGGGGGTCAATGTCGTGAGGACCTTTCGTAGGACGCGGCTCGTGTCAACATCGTGACAACTCTCCTTTATTTTATTCTATTCTATTGTGTTTCCTTTTTCCCCGTTCTTTCCCTTTCGATTCCATTTTCGTTTTGTTAGTTCGTCTTCAGACACAGTCAGAGTCAGTTTTTTCAGTCGACAAGAAGATGTTGCGAGAAGCAAAAAGTTCTTGGGCGACTGTCCGGAGTCTCGCGAGCGCATTGCTTCTTCTGGACGTGATATGTGCGTCGAATGGTGTGAAAGTGAATGTGCTGGGGAAACTCTTGACCACGAGAGCGGATCATCAGCAAAGAGAATCTTCTTCAGTTGAAAGTGAAACAAGAGCAGCAGGAGCGCCGATTCCTATTCCTAGTAGTCCTATGGCTATGACTAGGGTCCTAGTTTTGATGCCAGGGTTAGGCTTCGGTGCGGGCAGTGGTGCAGAGTTTGTCTACCTTGGGCCAAAAGCCCTCGAGTTGTTCCAGGTAGGATTCTGCTTCTTCCACAACAATCATCACTGCTAGGTGATCATTGAACTCCTCCGGAATGTCTTCCATCTCTGATGAATACTGTTGCCGTCGAGTGCCGTGCCTCCTCTGCGTTCCTGCTGATGACTCCCATTGATGGCATTGTGTATTTCAGTGCTTCCAGAGCTGTGACGTTAGTGGTACAGAGTTTGTCTACCTTGGGCCAAAAGCGAACCAGCGCGTCTTCATCAGCACTGGCGTCGGGGGTGTTAAGCAGGTGTATGATGATGATGATGAGAAACATGGCGAGAAAGACCTAGAATGTCCGGAGGCAAAGGCTTTGGAACGAGGCGAGTATGGCGGCTACGTTCTCCTCAAGGGCTTTGAGACTTTGATTCAAGTGCAAGGCGAGTTCTCACAGCTAAAAAAGGCGGTGGAAGAAAGAGCGCTTCATCTGAGTCTCGCGCATACAGAGCAATTAGCAAAGCAGGAGAGTCGGACGAGGAGCTGCAGCTGCAGCAGTTGGACTCTACAAAAGTACGCGAGTGTGGTCTATACTTCCTGTGGTGGAGAGTCAAAAGGTAGAAGATGAAAATGAATCATCTGAAGGCAACAAGCAGATGAATGTTCTTGAGGAACTAGGAAAAGGAGACTACGCGACGAGCTCGGAAAATGTGTTTGCAATTCTGACATCATCTACACCTTCACCTGCACCTTCAACTGCCGGAGCCAGTACAACACAGCCAACCACATCATCCGGCGATCATAAGAAGGAGAATTGGAGAAATAGAAACAAATGCAGAAGAACAAGCAGAAAAAGTAGAGGGTGCGGGTGCGCCGGTAGCTGAAGAACATGATGAACTGAAGGAAGACAAAGATACTGATGAACATGATAATATAGGAGCAGGCCGCGTCTATCTTTTCGTAGGGCGAATGCTACAGCCCGCATCATTAAGTCTGCTGTTCTCCCATGCAGATCTTATTCTATTCAATCTGCTGGCGGAAATGCACTTGGGGACTAAGCAGAAGATTCCGGAGAAGCAATGGCAGTTCATTGAGGTGAATATCTTATAGATGTCTTTGGAGAACATGGAGGCGGCTATCGAGATGCCGCGAAAAAATCCAAAACTTTGGAACAAATTCTTGCCACAACCAAAGGTTCACAATGCCAATGCAGGACTCTCGACAACACTATCGGAACAAGGCTAAACCCTTCTCTTCCAAATCAACAAAGACACACCGTATTGATTTTTAGAAATTCGTTTATTTGATTTTGATCATTTCCTTCAACACGACCTAGTAGTAAACCTTCGTCTTTCAGATTCTGTCCACTCAGGGCAGTCGTGAAGAGGATGGGGGTTGTCATGGACGATATGGACGATGGTGTACCCAGAAGATCCCGTAAATCTACAGGCGTTAAAACGAAAAGAGGTAATCTACCGCTGCATTAACGCGGATCACAGCAGTGCGCCATATTCGCTCCGGTATCTAGTCGAGTTGCAGCTGACCAAAAGAGCATCATGAGATTGACACCATTAGAGGACAGTGTTCTCGAGAAAGGTCATGTGTGTATAATTCCTACGATGAACAACATAATATACCGAGAAGTAAGACGTGATAAGAGATTTAGAAACTCCGCTACTATGATGTAAGCAAAGAGATGATACGTGATGTTTTCTTGCAAGGAGTCCTTGCTTCATGAATGTCATGTTTTTTACATGATTGTTGACTTTTCAAAAGTCAGAGTCACGGGGTGCAGAAGATGACGAGCCTGATTGTTACCTTGAGCCGAGGACAGTCTGAAGCTCAACAATGGAGGAGAGAAGGAAGAGGGACTGCACACGAAAGATGTAACTAGTGTGTGTGTCTATGTCGGTCTTTTTTTCGGAAGTCGTAAACAAAATTTGGGTGCTTCACGATAGTACGAATTGATGAGTGCAAAAATGAACGGATGGGAAAAGAACAACCAGAGGTTAGTTGAAATTAACTTTTTACAAAGTTGGCCACGGCCGCTTATTTTTGACGTGAACGTGAACCAAGATACATAATGGAGGCTCCTCTGCAGTTCTTACCCTGAGGTAGATGACGAGAGAACTCGAACGAGAAGAAACGTCTTCAAAGAACTTCAACGACGCAGCAGGCGCGGAGAGGAACAATTTGGGGTCTCCCGGAACGACGGCTACTGGCGAAGAGCAGGGACCGGACCACGGAGATACGTAAAAACGAATTTTTTGATAGTGGTCTAACAAGCGAGGACAAGGACTCGTCAGAACAAGGCGAAGACCAATCATGGCTCCTCAAGAGGACAAGGCTGCCCCTCAAGAGGATCCGATCTTGTTGAAAGTCTCGGTAGAACTCGCACAAGATGCGGAACCGGAGTTGCTGTGCGTGAGGCGATCAGATCTTAGTGCTGAAATTATGAGGCTGGGTAGGTTATGTAAATCTTTATGAGGATACAACTTGTTGAAATTGGAGAAAACTTGTTTATGAGGATACATGAGATAAGCCTAAGTAAGTTTTAGAGGTTAAAACTAACCGGTTGTTTTTTTAGGGGGTAGGTTATGTTTATGAGGATACTTGTTGAAATTGAACCATTGGTGGTCGTTAAGTAGAAACTGCTGCTCGTGCTCGTGGTGGTTCATTTTCTGGCGAGAGCTACTGAAACACCTAGAAGACGTGCTAATCAATTTCACCTTCTAAATCTAATACAACACCCGGTGGCAAAAGTGGAATCGCGCGTTTGGCTGAGGAGTTCTGCATGCAACATGCTCTTGACCTGGCGAAGGTCCAAAAACCACTAGAGGAGCACATCAGGGAAAATGTGGCTGCTGCACATTTGGAGATCAACACCTCAGGTGAAGGAACGAGCAAGAAGAAAGGCTCTTCTTCAAAACCAGGAAGTAGAGACGGCAGTAGAGACCGAGGTCGTGGCGACATTCCAGATCTCGGTAGAGGAGCAACACCATCGACCTCCTCAAGGTCCGCAAAGATGCAATATCCGCCGATGAGCGGAAATCTCGAACGCATCTTGAATCGGATGGCACAACCAAAATCTTCTGCAGAGAACTACAAGGTGTCAATATAACATTCTAATACTGAATATGAAACGGAAATCTGTTATCATTATCAAGTTTCTGAAGAAGGAAAGCATGATAATGATAACAGATTTTCTTTTCATACTGAACAAGATCACTATAATACTACTTGTTTGAGTCATAAAAATATCTGTACTAGATTAATATACAAACCATTGCCATTCCCATTCCCGCCCACAAGATCGACTGAAATTACTACACCAGGGGGCAACGACGACGACAACAGGGGATACGAGGCATCTTCCTGAAGCACGGCAGCGCAACATGGTAGAAAAGCTAGGAGTAGGAAGGAGTAGTCTTACGGCTTGAGCTTTTAAGGATAAACTACAGCACAAAGAATTTGTTAGCTGGGCAGCTATTACTAAGTACATTCCCTCGAATGAATAGTGCCTACAACCAGGAACTTATCATTAATTCATCCTTGAGAGGTCTAAAACTCGGAGTCGCGAAGTTTTCCGGAGACTGCACCAGGATCATGCAGAGCGCAAGATTCGGATAGACATACAGCGGAGAGTAGAACAGCAGCAAAGAGAACGTGCTAGCGGCAAACTGCAGAAGGAACTACAAGGAGGGGCAGTTTACTCTGGAGGAGGTGATCGATCTGAAGAGCGGGGCGGCTTTAGTCTTGATGACTCCGGACGAGAGCAGCAGTTCTTACGATCAGGGAACTCATCTCAAACTCAGCAGCGGACTGGTAGCGCTTCCTCGAAGAGGGCAAAGAACCCCTTAGAACGCCTCTACCGGGATGCGAAAGCCATAAAAGCTCGAAAAGAGAGGAAAATGCAGGAGAAGGAGGAACTGGAGAATTTTGAGATTTCCCAGTACACCTTCAAGGTAAGGCCACCGCTAAAGCATCCTCACCATCATCCTTGGGCCTTTCTCTACTTGAAAAAGGCGCCAAGGATTCTCCCAAGAATGCCAACGCGGTAGCTCTAATCAAGCCAGCGATCCATCCGAGCCAGAGCCGCGTAGCGGGTCACTCAAACTTCGACTCGGCGAATCCTGCGAGACGTATATGAAGGGTGTTTTTTCGATCTATCAGACCATCGCGGCTCCCATATCAGACCATCGCGTTTTTAAGGGGACGAAAAGGGTAGCCGTGATGGTCTGCCTAGATGGAAAGAACGCCATTCATAACGAAGCGAGCGAGCAAGGGAAAAAGTGGAGCAGCTGAGACAACAGAGGCTCCTATGCGAAATGCAGGACTGCACCTTCAAACCACATATCGACGAAAGATCTCAGTACTTGATTATATCCTTATGAATTTTGTACCAATCAATTTCAAAATCAAAAATCGAGAAGTAAAGAAAACGACAGGAATTATTACCTCCAATTTCGTTTCAAGATGATTATGATGAACATCATACCTACAACTACAACATCTACACCCACCTTCATCGTGTTACCACGTTACCAACCAAACACTACCAGCGATATGATGGAGAGACGGATTGTATGGCTGCTTTTTGTCAAATGACCTGATCGTGCTGAAAGGCAAATTCAAGTGGACTATCCATGCAACCGCCTCGGGTTAGTCCACTATCCACTGCCTCATGATCCATTCAAGTGGACTATCCATGACATCGCCTGGGGATTCCCGTGAACTAAATAGTATCCGTTATAGTACAAATTCAAGTGGACTATCCATGCCACATAAACCCTAGCCTTAGCCCTACCCCTAGTAACCCACACGGCAAAGCTAGGTCCACACCACCTCTAATTGCCGCCCGCCTGAAGATTCAGGGCTCTCTATTCGAGCACCTGTATGAAGATGCGAAGAGACGGGAGGAACGCATGATCGAGTACGCAAATTTGGTCAGTCCAGAGGTTACCTTCAAGCCGGATATAGGCAACGACAAATACCGACCACCACTAGATGACAACGTGGAGGACTTTTTCACCCGTTTGGCAACTCAGCGGACTTACGCAAGAAGGGATGGGCATCAGAGGAGTACAAGTCCCCGACGAGGAGGTGACGAGAAGGTGAATTATCCTCCAGGTAGTGGTAGTGCTGGTGCTACAGGAGCCAATAAATCTGCGTCCCGTGGGGACGAGCAGTCACTACCTCCTGCATGTAGTTTTGCGCCACAAGTCGGTAGGCCTCCTAATTTCGCGAGAAACGAAGAGGGCAAGCCTATTGGCGATTTCTTGTACGAGGTTGGCCAATATGTGCGATATCTCAAGGAAGAAATAGTGGAAGCAAAGCAGCAAGAAGACAACAGAGCTCGGATGCCACAAATGGGACAAGTTTCGCGTCTCGTGTTTGCGGAGAAGAAGAGAAGGAAATATTTGGTACTGTATGTATTAACTTTTACGTCTACAGATATCACGACCACCGAGGACCGGTTCAACAGTACAGGAAATATTCCGTCTTCCTATCCAACAGGAAATCTTCCATCTTCTCTCCGACGGTGCGGGTGTGGTTTCGGGTGAGAATTTCAAAGTAGAATTGGTTCCAGAGGGCTTCCACGAGTTCCTACGGCCAGTGCAAGCGTATCTTGAGGAGACGGGGAGTAGATTCGACTTCGAAGGATTTTCCGTGACTCTTGATTACGTCCTAGAGAAAACCGGAATTCCTTCTTCGCATTTATTCACTGCGGCTGCAGTGTCAGAAGGCGGGGGCGGCCTGACTGCAACTGGTTCGACTGCAGCAGGAGGGTCGACGGTGGGGACAATAATGGGGTCAAGGTACTATTTAGTACATCTGTAGATGAAAGTGAGAGTGACTACATTTGCATTCCAGGACGCTAATCATGATGCGAGTGTTCTGCATTTTTTCTCTAAGGCGTAACATCTTGACCCCGCCCCATGAACAACAAAAACTTTCAGTCGTGGTTTTGCGCATCAGACTCCACGAGGAGCAAGAACCCCGCTGAAAGCCGGTGAGAACAAGAATTCTTACACTCCACGACTCGATCGGAAAAGTATCGCGATTGCGAACCAAAAATATGCGCTGTCAGGAGAGCCAGTGCATGATAGACTGCAGAAGATGGACCAGAAATACAAGGAACGGCGCACGCAACGTATGGAAGAAAAGGAAGCTGCGGAAATGCTAGAGTGCACCTTTGCGCCAAATCGTGTGAGGAATGATGGTATTTGATTTATAGAGAGCACGTTCTTGAACGTGGTAGATTGTCATTACGGGTGGTCAACATAAGATACTGTGAGAGATACATGTTGTACATCTTGAGATTGAGATAGAACAAGTACTGGACCTCCATGAGGACGACCATAAAAACCAGGTCAACTCCGTCTCACCCCTCGTGGCCCACTGGGTGCATCGTCTAGTTTCAAGCCACCGCCTAGAGGTACGCATGACTTCCAAATGAAAGAGGTTGACGATGTGTTACAAGGTGCTGGAACAGCGGTTCGTGATGCGGCTGCCGCAGTGGAACGGACAAGCCTGAACACAACAGCGAAGAATATTAAGGCTCAACTTTCAATGGTGTCATTTAGATTGGAGTCACTGAAGAGATCGAAGAGGCGACCCCTACTTGAGACAACAGGGGAAAACGAAGGGAAAGAAGGGGGTCTCTTCCGTTCAGCATCAGTGACCATTGAATGCTGAGCTTTAAGAATAGCACAAACAAGCTTAGAACAAGTGGCACTGGTGGTGGTGTCGGTGGTACAATCTCTCCTCCGGCAGGCGGAGGTCCACCGAGCATGAACACAAGGAAAAGCGGCGCTTCGTCTAGAGGTAGTAAAACCGAAGATCGAGGGACACTACATGACGTGCCACCAACAGGACCGGTTGTCGCAAGATCATCATCATGACACTGAGGACCGAGTGGAGGATTATGAACAGAATCGAAAGGCACAACTATTATTACCTAGATCTTATTGATTCTAGTACAAGTAGTAAGAATTGTTGAGTAACACCTTTACCTATCTCAAGCTCATCAAGAGCATCGCTATAGAAAGAAATTCAATTTTTGATTTTCGCGTTCGTACGTAGTTCATTAACAAAAACCAAGAACAACTACTGGAGTTGTAATAAATAGAATAAGCAAACAAGAAACAAGTCTTTTCCAAAGCAGATGTGGTGCTGTCATCACTAACTTAAGCAACTCACTAACACTCGCTAACCTTTCTCTATCGTATTACAAAGCTGTAGAAAACACTGATACTTAAGTTACTAGATCATAGCCAAATTAGAGAGTAGGCGAGACGCTCTTTTTCCGGAAAGTAGAGTATAAAAGTCAACACGAGGCTACTTACTGGGACTGAAAAATAGATTGATAGAGTTTTTGGGACGAGTCGGCTTGTAAAGTCGTGAGGATTGAAGTCGATAATGTTGAACAAATGTCATGGTGATTCACATCATTTTACAAAATGCACCCCATCCTTGTCCTTCCTTGGTGAGATGATTCATCTTTTTTTTTGCATGGTCATGACTCAGATTGCAATCATTTTTTGTGTTTTCAGAATCAATAAGAATGAATCGATGCCGCCAGACGAAGGAGACCGAGACGCTCCTACGCGTTGCTAGTATCAAAATGCCTGAATAAGTCTTAGACGTGACAGTATGACTTTTGAGATCATGCGTATTTTGGATTGTGTGATTGCTTTGCAATTATCTCCTTTTCATATTCATTGAGTCATATCTGTCACTCACCTCGATAACAACGCACCGCACCGACAAAATCCAGTATGCCTCATAAGTATATGAATGCAACGAAAGGTATCTTGACCTCAGCTTCGCATACACGAACATCCTCTTCATGAGAATTGTGGTTTCTCACCCGCACGTGATTGTGAAAAACGAGGCAGTGCCTCTGTAGTTGTTTAATTCATAGCACGAAAACGAGTCATTGTTATGAGTGCGGGCGGAAGATAAAAATGAAAAAGTGAGCAAAAATGACGCTGAAAAAATGATGGAACTCGAGAAGACAATAGAAAAAAATGCCGACGAGCAAAGAAGTACATTTGGGCGGACATACTACAAGTGTGGTCCTCTGTCCTTTTTATTCTCCTTCTCGACAATTACATCCTCATCAACTTGTTACATCAATAGCCATTGCTTCTGCTTCCTCACCATTAACTATTGTAGTAATAGATGATGTAGTGATTACAACATCCACCTATTGTACTAATATTAAATGTAGTAATAAATGTAGTATCCTATGTAGTGAGACAAAACTGTGGACAGGGTCAGCCAGTGTTTGGTAAAAAAATGTCGATGGACATCTGCAGTTGGATGACAGGGTCAGCCGGAGCTTGGTACCTCTGCGACAGCAGCCCATTTGTTGAGAGTCAGAAGCAGCTGGGAAAGAAGTCGCGGAAGGATCATTACGGATTTCCCCCATCGTCCATCTGACATCTTGACCTTCTTGAGAAGCATCCATGATCCTGAAGAACTTCCAACTTTTCTAAGGGGACGAGGATCTATTAATGAGAATGAACAGAGCATCAGGAACACCAGGATGTCTCTACTCAAGACGGAGGATATAGGTACCTCTATCTCTAAGATCGAACTGACAGTACGATGACGGAACGATTGGAAAGTGACGACGTCTCTGCGTCTTCATCCAAGATGCTGTACTCCAAGAGTGATCCGCACCAGCAGACGCGCCTGCTTCTCTTCATCGGTCTAGCCCTCTTTTCGCTGTCATCAATACTCTATGCTAGTGGACTGTCTCACACCGTGTACACTATGGCCTTGGTGACCATAGGTCAACATACTACCGTCATGCAGAAACATTCGCCAACTTCGACTCAGGTAGCTGAAAAAGACGAGGTACTAGAGGTCGGAGGTGAGTCACAACATCCTTTGGCCCATCAGCATAAAGGAGAACACCAGAGGACGAGCAGTAGAAGAACGAAGAAAGGCACGCTGAGACGTGTGATGGAGGATGATGTAGTGGAAGTACAATCATCAGTACAATCATCATCAAAATCTTCTAGTAGGAGAGGAAATTTAGATACAGAATTCTTAGCAGGAGGTAGTAGTGCTGGCATGAGCAGTAGTAGTTCTTCGGTAGTTGGAGGAGGAAGTTTGAATTTGTTAGAACAAACTCGACAACTCCACTCATCCTCTTCGCGTGCAGAGAAAGAGGGTCAACAAGGAAAAACCTTCAAAAAGGTGCGTCACAGTCGCGAAGTCAGCAAGAAGCTAGAGGGCAGTAGCAAATATCTTCGAGTTCAAGCCTTGGCCCAGCTGCAGAGCGGCAGGACCACTGCAACGCACCTCATATCAAGTAGTGCAGCACGAGACAAACTGTGGAAGGCCCTCGAGGATCAACCTGATTTATGGCGTGAATAAGATACTATGGACAGACTCCCCCCTTCTTTTTGTTCTCTCTTTTAGACGATTTGACCCCCCCCGGTACATATATTTATATAAATATGTTCCAGGGGCCAAGTATGGAGTAACACTATGCCAAAAGCGAACATAGAAAAGCGGTTTTTTGGCCAAAAAACGCACATATAGCCCAGGGATCAGGTGGGCAATATTCGTCTCAAAATGGAAAATTTTCATTCTGAGACGAATTATGTACAAATAACGCAAAAAAAGCGCTTTTTTGTACTTTATTCGTCTCAGAATGAAAATTTTCCATTTTGAGACGAATACTGCCCAACTGATCCCGGGGCTTCCTGTACGTTTTTTGGCTAAAAAACCGCTTTTCTATGTTCGCTTTTGGCATGGTGTTATTCCATAGGGCCAAGGCCCCCCGATCTGAATTTTTGAGGGGGGCCTCCCCCCCGGCCCCTTTTACCCGAGGGACTGCCGGGCGGGGAGGACTCCAAGCGCCCACCTCCGACCCCTCCCCGCTTCTTGCCTGGACTCCACAGAGCCCCCATGCCTGAGGCCGTTGAAGCACCGGGGGCCGGGGGTGCAGGGCTTTCGAAGGTGGCAAAGGTGGCAAGGCTGGGCCCCCTTTTGCTTGTTGCGGCTTGTTGCGTGTACTCTACAGACCTCCAGGGTGCGGGTTCTTCACCGGGGGAGTTTCTTGGGAGGTGGTAGGCCTCTGGGGGCAGCACGTGGCAAGGCTTGACCCGTTTCGCCGTGCTGCATGTACCCGGCGGCCTGCAGAACCCAGGCGGGCACGCCTTGCCACCACTCCTCCCCGGGCGTTTGGTGGTGGCGGACGCTGCCACCAATTGGGGGGATGAGGGCCAAAGGGGCCGGGCCTCGCGACCGTGGCCATCTTCGGCGGCTTTCTTCCCCCGGAGGCCGTCCCCCTAATTGGGTCCAAGAGTCGGGACGCCTGTGGGGTACACGCGGAGAGCCGCCAGGAGCCTCCGGCTCCGCCTTTTGCGGCTTTCGCACCCGTAGGCCCTTACATGTCACTACCGCGGAAAAACGGATGCGCGGACGCCCCCGCCGCACCATGATCCACAGCGGGGGGGAGCCTCCACCCCTGGGACATATATATGCTCGCAGCTTGCTTGAATAAAGTAGACATTGTGGCAGGAATTATAATTCCCATCTCTTCTAACGACCCAAGACTCCCATTGCAAGGTTGGCGGCGGACGACATTGTTGCATGCGTCAGATGTTCACGGCAGGGGACCTCGGACAGTCTGGAAACTTCTGCTTGGATGTCTCTAGGTGCTCGGCTCATGTCAACCAAATATTGCGGAACGAACAGGAGGGATCGTGGTCGGACAAATCATCAAAAAAAGGAGGTGGTCCAGCTGTTCTGTTATCAACATCATCAGAAATCACACAAGGACAGCAAAGTTCTGGGACTGAAGGAATCCTAGCCCCTCCTTCTCTTGCGGAACTCTCTAAACAACAAACGCAGCTGTCCTCGAGAGAAACAGCTTCTACTTCGCTGTTTGGTAGCGCTGGTGCGCTCACTGGAGCCCGGAAGTACGCGTTTGTCCTGTCATGGTTCGGTGGGAGAGTACCTGTTACGATGATGGTGCTGTTTCTCTTGATGTGAATCACAAGCTGCATGACCTCTTTGCGATTGTGCACTTCGTGCCCATCTCCATTTCACAGATTTACTTTTCTTACGTTGTTCGTTGTCTTACCGTTACTAGTACTTCTCGAGCATCCTCTTCTAAGTATTCCTTCTCGCAGCTAGGAAATGTGGAGACGACTTTGTGGCAAGCGGATCGGATGCGAAAGCTCATGCCCCAAGGGTCTGCTGTGGATGTGGTTCTTTTGGTCTATGTCGCACGACACGGAGACACAGAGGAGAAAAAAGCTGAAATCTTTGAACATTATGAACCGAATTAAGTTAATTCCTAAGTTTTGCTTAGGTTAATTCCTAGGTTAACTTAGGTTGCTTAGGTTAATTCCTAAGCAGCATAAGTAACCTCTTCACTACTAGGTAACTTCCCTTCTAAGGCCTGGGCGCGAAAGAATTACGCGACCGTGGAATCGTGGTGAAACGGGTGTTGTGGGACGTCCCTCCGCAAGCCAAATTCCAGCCGACTGGTGGTTGGTGTGGACATCAAGACCTGATACGAATCCATGCCTTTGGGTTGACAGACTACGATGCCATTGCATACTACGACAACGATGTGGAGTTGCGGAAACCCACAAAATTGCTAGAAATGTTTCACTGTGTGGATGGTTATGGCTCCTGTCAGACAACAGCTACTGCTCATTTTACTTCTTCTTGTTGCAGCAAGAATACTGAGTATACTCTCAAAGCCGATAGATAATCATCTATCTTCATGAAACTCCATTTCTCGTCTGAATCCTGTGAAGACGTAGCTGTGTTTACCTCTCCTATCTTCTCAGTGGTCTAGGTCTCCTCTAATCCTATGCAGATGTAACGCTGTCTACGGGAGGAGGTATCGGGGAACCGTTGAATGTGGGCTACTTTGCGATGAAGCCTAGTGCGAATGCCTTTAATGCTGCCGTTACGTTGACGGAAACTGCCAACTACAACCTTGACTATAGTGTCAGAGGCCGCGGCGGGTGGGCAGACATGGGTTTTGCGCCGGTTGGTGGCTACTTCATCGGAGCGGAATGTGGACAAGGGTACAGTATTCCATTGACTGCACATCCCTACACGATATAGAAGCTGCCAACTTCTCGAATCTGTTTCTATTCTCTTACTGTTCCACTTGGTGTTTCCAGATGTAAAAAACGACATCAAGGTTCTGGACATCTTTGTTCTATCGTATGGACAATCCTGTTGTGCGAGCTGCCTGGCAAGCGCATGGGGTGACCATAGACGAAGGCAAAAATCGAGCAAAAATTCGTGCAGCCCAAACAGACCGCTGTACGTGGAATTACCAGACTTCAATGTGGTGCGAGAGCCTACCAAACTGCGACAAAGTTGTTTAAGATGAAGGCGTGAAGCAAGAAAGTTTAGAAACCAACACTTTTAGTTAGTACACGACAATGCTGGGCTGTTTAAATGGAAACAGCGACCATGTTTTTTCATAAACATACGCTTACCGACATATATATACTTAAGTAGTTCTAGTACAACCTCTAACTTCTTGCCCAGCACAAGCCGGACGACTCATCACACGTGGCAAGGCAACAAGACAACGACTGCCTCAAGAAGACACTGCCGAAATTGAAACGGGAAGTCGCTCTCGAGTCTAGCGGAATGATGTCAGGGGTAGATCATATGGACCAAGAGGAAAATTCCAAGGTCAAGCTGGTTGAAACTGGTAGTGCAACTTCTGAAGAGACAGCTGGAGGTGAGCAGCGTCTGGAAGAACTCGTCCGTGAGCGGCAATTACGCCGTCAGGCGAATTTGCAGGCCAACATTGAAGAGGCCTTTCATGTTGCTGATCTCTTTGACGCGACCCACGGTGGAGACAAGAGCAAAGCGTTATGCAGACAATTTGATTTACAGTCATTGTGGTCACGCTTTACCACGACCACGAGTGTTCTTTCCAGTTACTAGTATATACAACATTTTTGTCGTCTATTTTTAAGTCTAGCCCATACAACACATGCTGGGTCTTGTCATTTTTTCCTTTCTTAGAATGCTTTTTCTCCGCCACCAACTGAACTCCTCCTGCAAATAAATTCTAAGATCTTCCCAGTCCCAAGATCCCAGTACAGCAGACAGCGGCAAAGGGCAAGAGCAAGTGGCTTTGTCTGGATGGGAGGCCGATCATTCGCGTGACAAAAGCAGTGTCGATCCTCTAGATCTAGTGTCTATTGCACCACGCGCCGCTCGATCGGCATGGCCCACGTTCACGAGGCTTGGCGTGCCGGCAAGCTGCAAGCAACCTGAGTGGCTGGCTTCAAAGCAGCACGATGTTTTGGTCGTCCCACCTGCCAGCACGGGAGCCGCAAGTGGCAGTAATCGTCATGCGAGGATTCTGATTACTATACCAGTCTTATGAGGAAAAAAGAAATGGTGGGAAGAGGAAGTAGATTCGGAATCTGAGAATAGGCAAGTAAATTGATTCGAGGATGGTACTTTACTCGGTTATTTCAGTTTTTCGAATAGATGGAACTTCAACAGAAGGCTCTAGTATTTCATTCCCCAAACAACAGTTGTACTTATCAGTACTAACAGGGTTGTGCACGTGCTCTACTACTTCATCATCATCATCATCATCTAATTCCATACGCTGACTTAACAGCTCGCGAGGAGCACAGGACGTGGGTGGCTGGCAGTGGTATGCAGTTGCCACGCACCATCTATCTGATGCTGGCTGCTACCACACAACACGCACGCAAATTTGGTCATGGTGTCTTGGTTCGTCGGGGCTTGACCAAAAGCTCTTTGTACAGTCAAAGTGCTCAGACCTCCACTAGTTCTTCGAACAAGGATAATGCGAACAAGGGATCTAGCAAATTATCCCTACTCGAGCACGAGGCAGCGACGAGGGAGCACATTATGATGGAAGGGATGAAAGGAGGTCTAGGTCAAGGTAGTTTGTCCAAAATGGAGACCGCAGAATGGAAGTCCATGTTTCAAGAAGGAGCAGCACCAACACATATGCTAGAGGGAGAGCACCTACTGCCGTGGCAGCGGAAAGACTGTCAGCGATCCTCGGATAAGAAACTGAGAAAAGATTACGGCTAGTTGTTGTGCCAGATGATCTTCAAGGGCTTTGCTGCTTGTTCTGGCAAGCAGGGCAATTGTTTCTGTTGTAACCATGTAGAACTAGTACCTAGGAGATGTACTGTAGATCTACAATAGATCTACTTATGTAGATCTACAATAGATCTACGTATGCCATCACTTTACTTACGTACTTAAAGTCTCTAATTTTCATTGGAATGCGGTCGTGCGTACTGGCGGGAGAACGCAAATTTCGCGAAGCATGTTTTGATGTGGGATTATTTGAACATGGAGATGAAAAATCGTATCCGAGGAGGAATGAAAGAAGGACGTACAAACATTTTTTTTGTACCATCTTGATTCACGTCGCCTTTTTTACCATCTTGATTCACTACAACTTTCTCGCTTCTCCATTCTCTGCCTCACAGAAGGACGAAGTGATTTCATCAAACTTCTCCCCTTAAGGAAATCTTAGGCAGCTCGCCGAATAGATTCAATTCATCAAGTAAATAATTGGATGAACAACTACACATCAACAGAAATGGTTCCACGCTTCACGCATGTGGGTATGATGGATGCAGATGCCATGCTGATGAATTATCATTTGGACTCCTTAGGGATTTTGGCTTACCAACTCCAGAAGACGGGAAAGGATGTCTTTTTCGCTGCAGAAGACTGGCTTCCACACGGTGACGAACATCAGAAGCAATTGAACAGGGAGAGACTGAATGTTATGAAGCTTTAGGAAGTCTTCCTTTAAGTTTAACTGTTATATCTTCGAGATTAGGGAGAGACTGAATGTTATGATGATTTAGAACTTCCTTTAACTGTTATATCTTGTTCGAGATTCTAAAAATCTTCACGAGCATGGATCATGATCGAGAACTTAGAACTCGCCCTTCCACCTCGGAAGAGAAGCTTGGTCGACAGTTTCGGAATACTGACCTGGGCAACATTCCACTCCCATTCTCTACTCAAGAAAAACGCTGAGTCCTCAGAGTCCGAGGCACTACAACTGTACTATTTGAAAATCATGATTAGCAGTCATGCATAGTGTTTCCTTCAATCCATCTCTAATCTTAGTGGTTTCCTGTTCGCAAAAAACAACGATTTCAGCCGCAAACTCTTCTCGGATACGGTTAAAAGCCATGAAATCCATGATCCTGAGTCGCGCGGTCGAGTACGTCACAAATGGGCACTTTTCGAATCGGGAAGATTGGCGAAAGTATCAATTAGAGGTTTTTAACTCCGCAACTATGTTCACCTTACTTTGATAGTTGTATCTGTACATCATTACAATCTTTTACAACAGAATGGTCCGATTTGCAGCATGAACGAGCAAATGTGCTTGAACGACCTGATTTGGAACCAGTCGAACGAGTGGAGACGAAAGCACGTTATGTTCGGCGAAGGCCTGTACTGGAATCGGGGGAGTAATAACAATTATGGTGGAAGAACGAACTACTCCTATTTGGCTAAATTATAGCATAAGTGATACAACTCTAAGTAAAGCATTCGGTGTGGGTGTCCTGAAGAATTTGGAGTACAACAAGTACTACTTTTTACACAATTTAGCGAGAGAATCAACACCTTCTAACCCTGAATCCCCTTCGATCCTGCAAAGACTCATGTGGCTCATTTGATGGGTGGCGCTCAACGTTTTGAGGCGACTCAGATGCTCTGCGACAAGGGAATGTGGAACTATGTACCTGGCGCATTAGGGTACTCGGCCAGACGCATGTTAGCGCCGTTGCAGGCGTTCCCTAAGCAAGGTGCGGTGGCCCAATCCGCGGGAGCTGGTGGTGGGGGGTTGCCGTTGTGCTTAAGGCCAAAAGGAAGGTTGATAGTCTCAAAATGAAGAAAACGCGTGTGACTCGAGAACGAATTTAATGAAATAGAAGTTGCTCCTCGACCTCGTCGATTAAAAATCCGTCTATTCCTATTGGAGGTCTCCTCTAGCTCCGTTTCCATCGTGGTACTCCTCTAATGTGAAGCGGCGTCGGCGTTGCGGATGGTGGTTTGCCAACAGCCAACTTGGTAGAGTTGGAGGAAGTTGGCCAGTGCCGCGATTGGACCGAAGGTCGGCGTTGGGAGCCCGTAAGGGGTCATAAGTATGGACACTTCTGCCTATTCATCGTAGTATGTACTTACTAGAGTCAGTCGTCGTGCCTTTGAGGACTACGAATCATATCTACTAGGAGAGGAACAAGAACGAGTAAGTATGATCATCCTCGTCGTGGTCCTCAAGCTCAACCTCAACCTCATCATTGAAGACAGCGTGGTCAACCCCAGCACGCCCATCTAACACAAAGATGGTGGTGCCAATATCGATACATCGAGTCTCGACGACAAGGAGCCAGCAGGATCGCCTTGGACGCCAGAGCTTCTCGCAGAAGCAGAGGATGTCAGCACTGCTCTGTTACTTGCAGAAATGGACTCGCGTGGGACGGCGCTGCTCGGTCATGGAAAAGGTGTTGGGCGACAGTCGGCGGCGAAGAATAGAGCAGAAACACATTTGGTCCAGCTACACTCCTCGAGACGAGAGAAAGAGGGCAAGGAGATTTATGGCATGATAGACACCACTTTGTAATGATGGGATTTTGTAGTCGATAGATAAACGGCTTCTGAGGAACTCAAGCGAAAGTGGTCAGGCAATGGAAGGTCTTGGAGTAGTTTCTCAAAAAAAGAACCTTAAATAGCTTTGATGTTTGAGTAGTAAATCTTCTAAGAAACAAAGCAAAGTAGCAAGAACAACATCAAGAAGGAAGTAGCAAAAGGTGAACAGATCACGAAGTCAGCTCGTTCGATGCGCGTGGCACAGGAGAGTCAAAAGCTGAGTATGCATTGCTGCAAGGAGCATCGCAGTAGCTGCTGTGGGGAAGACGGAATCAATATGTCAAAACCTTATTAAGGCGAAATATGTTGGAACACGTCTTATACATAGAGCAGGTAGTTGATAATGTGCCTACAAGAGTGGACGCTGAGTCACGTAGAAGTCCGAATGAATTCCAATCCCCCGATCATTCTTGACACAATTTGCATCTAACCTCCCAGGGCGTTGAGCCTCGCCCAGAATCGTCGACTTGCTTTTTATCTCCACATTGGTCAGGAAGGACAGAAAACCGCAGTTCTGTATCAGATCGAACGCATTCAGTGGTTTCATCCTGGTGCCATCATTTTTGTCTCGAGTGATGGGGCAGCTGATTTCGAACCATTTTGCGATCAGGTAAATGCAAAGTTCGTTGCACCACAGAACAATGGTGGTCGTGGTTCTTCGGCACCATCAAGTACTACTCCAGACAAAAGTATCAAGATCTGCTATGCGGCAAACTGTCCATCAGCAGAGGATAGATGGCACCCATGGCCTTTTCTGAATCGGCTGCATCACGCAGCAGCAACAGTGCCGAAGAGCGTCGAGTACGTTGTAATGCTCGAACCCGATACGACAATGCACACGGCTATCGACCTGGATGGTGACGAATCGATGCAGAAGTACGACGCAGGAGGCATCAGGGACCATAATTATGTGAAGTAGTACAAGAACAATTTGAATTGTTGTGATTTTTTGAAGAGTTGCCTACCGTGGTGAAAGAATGTATTCATCTAAAACCTCCCAGCAACGCCACCGAATCGTCTCTATGACATGTTGTGCACCACTCACGAGTAGGTCTTACACTGATAGTGAACATTAACATAACTACGTCATTCTTCCTGATCTAACCTTCCCCACGTTGGAGCGAGACGATGGTTGACCATCTTCAGACGCAGGCACGCAAGATCAAGGGCAAGGAAGGATATAAGATGCCGTGGTTGGGTAACGGTCTTGCGGGCGGCAGCTTCTACAAAAAGGAAGCCATTTTGGATGCCTTTTCGGTGAGTGTTTTTTTTTCCTTTAGATGAATCAATCTAGATTCAGTTATATTTTTTATCGTTTTTCATCTCTTCAGTCAAGAACAACGAATTGCAATGCTTCACTTTCCATTAGACATCAACAATCTCGCCCTAGGACGAAGCAGTAAAAGCAGTGGATTGGAAGACGATTTTGAAGCTGGGGCATGGCAAAGATACCTACTCAAGTGACTTCGCGATGCCTGTTGTGCTTGCTTTGAGGGGATGGAGCTATGCCCCATGGAAACAAGGCGTGCGACAAGCGGAATATTATGGCTAGGTTTTTCATCAATCAATTTGATGTCGTAAAGAACTGTGTAAGTAGAAAAAGCAATAGACAACATACAAATTTAAAACTAACCTGATCATGTTTTTCCTCTAATCCTCTGGCCAAGCACCTGGTGACATTGACCGTGAGCAGCCTTCGGAGCCGGTTTTTATCCACTACAGTCGCAATTTCGGAAAAGTAGGTGGCAAACCGGATGAGCAGATGAACAGGGGATTCTTCGATAAAGTGAAGCAGGACAAGACAGCTGTGGATCCATGCGATGGCGTAACTTTGGCATCTCTTGCGGACGAAAAGAATGCTGGTGGGGTGCTGCAGGAAGATTATGATATACAGCTTATTATTTTTGTTACTTCCGATATAGATTTGGATAGAGATGAGTGACTTAAGTAATAACTTCTTCCAGCGTCCTCGTACTCCGCCTCTAAAAAAAGAAGATCGAGAAGCTATCCCACTGCATACGGTCATTGGGTAAGACATATGTGAAGCCCATTGATGCCAGTTGGAGGAAGCATGCGCCAAATGTCTGTCAGATGTGCTGGAATTTAGCAGAATACAAACGCCGATTCGGAACGGACAAATTTAAGAAAACGAATTGAAAGACAAATTCTTAAATGAACAAAGCACACAAACTACAATATAACCGGTCGTAGTTTCTCACCAGTTCCTCATAGCTGCATGCCTCGGTCAAAACTTCAACTCACGTTGTTTTTCTATTCCAAAATATATAATCTCTTCTAATGCAAGCGCGCCCTCGTACGATTTCGAATATCCAGAAGGCACAGTTTCGAATGACATGGCACCTGGTCCCGCGGGTGCAGTGCGCAGGATGGGCAGAAGGTGAAAAATAGAGAAAAAGCGGTGAAGGATAGAAGATAAAAATAGGGAAAGGTGGGTAGTCGTAGTTTTATGATTTTGATTGATTATAGAGATAGTCGGACACGGTTGTACTTGCACTTCTAGGTGATAGTTGGTATCCAAAACATACGGTTGTACAGTTGTGGAAAGAAGTCGAAAAGGAATCGTGTTTGTTTCGGAATCATAGCAGCATAAAGATGCGCCGGAAGTACTTATGTGAAGGGCAACATGTGAACATTGATTTTGATACCATTTATTAGAAAAAATTTCAAGTTGATTTTCATTCGACGACGATAGATGCAGGATTTTTCAAGTTAGTTTGCGAACACTTAGCGACAATGACAAAGACAAATCGGCCAAGAAGCCCAACATGTACAGAAGAATTTCAACTAAATAGATACCACGACAACGAAAAGCATATCGCTTTCAAGAAGTCATGAGTCATTTTGCTGGAATGTAGTAACATTTTTGAGAGGACTCGCTCCTGCATTACACCAAGACCGACACTGATTAAGTCTAAACAAGGATGGAATAATGACACAGCATACAACAGCGCAGCTCTACCTTTTCAAGGCCCTGAAGCTGAAAGAAAAGATGATGTAAGTAGGAATTTTGAAAATATTAAGTGACGGAATGACTCTTCCCATACCAAAAAAGTCCGACGAGATCAAATTGAATGTCCAGGAAATCCAAATCAATGATGCACATCGACATGGAAGTTCCTAAGCTCAGCACGACAGCTCCTCCAAAAACGGAAAAGCAAAAGATCATTTGAAAGGATTATGACTTAGCAGGGCCCCTTTGATGCATGATTTCTCCCAACGCTTTTCTTTGATAGCAAATGTGAAAACGTTTAATACATCGATCAGGATTCCTTTGATTTTAGCCTTCTTCCTTACAAGGAGGCTTCACTGCACTATCACGATTTTTTTTACAAACCTCACTTACACGCTAGGCTAAGTACTGCTGCTAGTAGTTCTTTCTTATTCTTGCTTCTGCTTTTCTTGATTATTTTTCCTCTTCATACCTGTAAGTGGAAAAAAGAAATGTCGGACGATATGGGAATGTTCGATGTCGGTGACGGCAAGGAGAAGCTGATGAAGGAGAAGGAGACAAAGAGCAAAGACCAAAAGGCACCAAAAGGCGAGAAGTCTAAGGTAAGGAACACGTTGTTTTCTGCTTTGTCATAGAGCTTAGAATGAAAAATTGTATCGTCCTAGTCAACGCGGCCTGGCCGCGAAGCTGGGGACCCTAAGCCTTGAACCTTGAACCTCAAAAAGAGGATGGAGTCCCATCGAACGTGATGGGCCACGACTTGTCCTCCAATCTTGAGCTTGATATAGACTCCTCATCCTAATGAAGCGATCTTCAACTGACAATAGATGCAAATCCTCATCCTCGAATCTCTCTATCCATTCCCCATAGGTGATCAAGGAGAATGCGAAGAAGCCGAAGAAGAAGGGAAAGAAGAAGGAGCTGAAATTCGATACCTTCATTCACCGAGTATTGAAGCAGGTGCACCCTTCAATAGGTATCACCAAGCAGGCAATGACCGTTATGAACGATCTGGTGTGCAACGCGTTTTTTCAAGTGTCCGAAGAAGCAGGAAAGCTTGTGAAGGTACCTTTTAGATTCCTCCACTATACTGGCTTCACCATCTCGATCCCATCACTAGACCTAAGCGCTCGACAGCTCTCCCTTCACTAGAATCCTCCACCTTCTTCAAGTACTTCCTCCTTCAGTGCGCGCCCCCTCCGCTCCTCTTCAGCCTGATCAGGATGCTCACCTGGCGGAGCTGATCAGCGGGAGAGAAGTCGGAGCCAAGGCGCCGCGGAATTTAAAAGACTAAAGCGCACAGTCAAGCTCTTGGGAATATTTTTTTTTATTTCTCTATTTTGGGATAAAATCAAAATTTTCATGTTTGGGGCATCGAGTCTGAAGTTTCGAATTTGAAGCTCCGAATTTGAAGCTTTGAGCCTGAAAAGCTTTGGGCCCGAATTTCGAAGAGCGAATTTGAAGCATCGCGCCCCAGTTCTTAGGCCCGAGGCGGAAGCTTTAGGCTTGAAGTTTGGGGCTCTGTTTGAATAGCAATTTTTTGTGTTAAATTCCAAAGTTTTGGTCTGAAATCCAAAATGTTGATTTTAACGCCTAGAATTTATAGTAGATTGCATCTCTGCGATAATTGCTAATATTTATACCATGCCAGGGATGTCCAGCCATGGGGCCAGTGGGTTCGTGTGTAACACTTCGTGCGTGGCGCTTCTTGTGCTCATCGTGTGTTGTGTTTGTTAGTTTGTTGGCTGGTTGGTATGTTGATTGGAATATTAGAGAGCGCAAAAGGCTGCTACGGGGGCCGCCTATCTTTGGTTCCGGTGTTTTTGGAGCAAGCGTTTTTGCTTCGGGTGTATGTTTTTGGTTTGGGTGCTTTTGTCCAGGTGTTTTGGGTTCCAGTGTTTTTGGTTCAAGCGTTTCCGTTTCAAGAGTTTTTGGCGCCAGTGCCTTTTGGTTAAGGTGTTTTTAGTTCTTGTGCCTATTGTTCAGGCGTTTTGGGTTCCTGTGTTTTTTGTTCGAGTGTTTTCGGTTGAGGTGTTCGTGATTTGGAGGTTTGAGGGGAAATTGTTCGAGTCCTATTTTGCTCTTAGTATTAGAGAATGAAAATCTTCCTTTCTACACTACTTAGCTTCGCCTTCACCTTCATGATCCTGAAAAAGTCTCACTTTCACTATCACTTCCTCAGATGGACAACCGAGATACGATGAACGCTCGTGACATCAACTGCGCAGTGCGGTTGATTCTTCCAGGAGAGCTTGCTCAGCATTCAAACGATGAGGGGCAATCAGCACTAAAACACTACGAGCAACATTCGAAGAAGAATGGTGAACATCCGCAGTAAGAGTAAGTAGATGAGTGTCAGGGAAGGAGGAGAAGAAAACTAAAAGACTTCGAAGGAAGCAGACGAATCGATACATCAGAGGCCTAGAAGACTACAACATCGGAGGAGATATGATCTTAGAAGACGGTAGAAAAGATTAGAAATAAGAACATCTACTACATTTAAAGAACAACAAATCTTACATATACCAATTACATCAACCAAAATTATTACAAGAACATCAACATTTTACATCAACATTTACAATAACGATAACATCAAGTTAAACTTATTTCAGAGCACACTTACAAGGTTTGACCTATCAATCAAAGCACGACGACGAGCAAAGCAATGGTCTGCGTACAAGAACTGAGTATATGAAAGTTAAAGTTTTTTTTGTGGCCTTTTGCTATTGTTCATTGCTGTGCTTGTAAGAAATAGAAATGAGGACAAGTCGTGTAAGACAAGGAATATTATTAGTTCTAGATTTTTTTATCTAGACCGCGGCTCCAATTCCAGTGTCATTACACACATTATAAGGAGACTCGGATTGATCACCTCAAAGCCACGTATTCGGTGTACGCTGGCAAAGATGAAGGTTGTTGAAATAAAGTTGTAGGTCGTAGGATTGCCAGGAGGTGACTAAATTTGAGCTTGAGGTGGAGCACAAAGGAAGCAATTTCTTGTTCACTTTTCAAAAACTACACGCATTTTCAAGTCCACGTTGTGTTCAAAGGACGAGCTGTGAGCTGGAAACAATGAAACCTGTGCCGACGTTCACATTCTACCAATGCTCTCGCTGAAATTGAGATAGATTATCTTTACCTCTCGAAGGGGGACACCGATCAAGTAAAGGAATACGATCATGAATCTTTTGATGGATGATCCGAAATTTTTCCAGAAGTGGATGGAAGTTTGATGGGTTCTTTTGGCTCTTCTATTTCTAGGTCTTATTGTTGTTCTGAAATTCGATCCCTGAAGATCCTCTCTCTTCTTGATCCCGATGAATTTCACAGAGATCTCTGCAATTTCTCTTGTTCAGCGTTTTTTTGAATTTCACCAATTATCGTCGCGCTCGACCTCGACGAGAGCATAAATAGATTCGCTCGCACCATCAAAGTGATTCAAAACACAGGCAGCGAACATCGACTACCATATTTCGTTAGAAAAAGAGCAAAGAATAATATTGCTACGTACTTCTCGTTCTCCTTTCGAACAAAACCCCGATCCTAATTTCAAGTTTGAACAAAATTGTTACTTTCCTCACCAGCTGCCATTCAACGAACACTGCGACAAAAATAGAAGTACTTAGGTACTGCTCGTACTAGATTAGATTTCATTTAGAATAATATCTCGAATAGCTGCTCGTGCTCGTGCATCCCTCTTTTACGAAAATTTAGAAGATCCTCGCCTTCAACTTCATTCAACAAGATGGGTGGCAAGGCAAAACCGACCAAGCACACCACTAAGGAGCTTTCGAAGAAGGCAGCGGATGCACTGACAAACAAAGTTAAGGCTCTCACTAACTCGACGTCTTTGACTTCTTTGTTTGATTGACTGGATCCCTAAAAAAAGGTATGGCCCAGCGTCTCACTGATATACAACGTCAAGGACGCAGGAGGAGGCTTAGGGTTTAGTAGGCAGACCAGAACCTAAACTAAGCCTAAGTTAGTAACGTAGAAGGGGGTCAAAGATGAAATACTTTACATACTTAGTCTAATAAAGGAGCGGGTGCCGCAGGCGTTAAAGATCGCGCAGGAGGCGCGGCTGGGCATGCGAAATTCTCCTGTGTCATCTGTGGTCAAGCTGCACCTTCCGAGAAGAGCGCCATGGAGCACTGGGACTCCAAACATCCGAAATTGGGAAAATTCGACATTGGTGACGAGAAACTTATGATTTCGATTTTGATTGTCCTAAGTAAGAATGCAACCAGCTTTCTACTGTACAGATATTAGCTCATCTTGCGACGTCCTCCGTAATAGTGTAGTGGTCTTCTATACCCCTGGAGTCGGTGCATTCACTCACTCACTGACTCAAATTTGTCGTTTCTTCTTCTAATCACAAGTGGAAGGATATGCACGCGGCCTGCGGTGGTGTCACTACATCGGGCGTTGGCGTCAGAGGTGGAATTAACGTGAAACACAAGTAGATCATGAAGCACTTCTGAAATCAAGAAGAAATGGAGCACTACTGATGTTGAGGAGCAAATAATGATCTCACGGAACGGCGTTCTTCTAAAATAGAATTGTAGAAGACGTCGACGAAGGTGAACATCTTTTTTAGCATTTTCAGCACACGATGATAGGTATGGCCTTAAGCTTAACCTTATGTCTACAATGTAGCAACATGATTGATGTCTACCTAATCCCGTTGTTGTGCTGCTAGAACTTCTTCATCTTCATCATTATAATTGAAGAAGAAAAACATTTACATGTGATGGATGTTCATCTTGTAGGAATAATGATAATAGTACGTCGAAAACGAAATTGCAATCTTTTCTTCATCAAAGCAGCTAACCTCTTTTTTATTAGAAGAAAGAGGTCGTTGCTTGGGTACTACAATTGTTCTACCTTTTTTTCTTTGCATCAATTTAAACAATCAAATACTTAAAAAAAGATGTTATACATTATGAATAGCAATAAATGCGTCGAGCTCGTCGAGGTGGACCGTTGTTTTCTGCATCGTGAAAACCCAAATATACATATGATAGAAGAGGGGCCCTTTGCCTCACTCTGTCCAATGTGGATTGCGCATCATGACACTTAAACTTTTAATATTCTCGACGTCGTCAACGTCAACTGCAACTCATCAATCTTTTTCTCGAATCTTCTTCTTTCGCTCCTTCGCAGAGCTATTGCAGCAACAAGTAATATTACCTTAAGTTGTACCAGGACAGAAATATGTATTTTTTTATGTTCTCTTACTTTACACACTAACTTGCGACACGTAGTTAGTTTGTTATATTTGTATAAACAATGTTGGAGGAGATGTAACGAACCATCAACGACCCTTATTCAGGAACTAAGAACGAGATCATGTATTAGATCGTTCTAGCTAGTCGTTAGAAGACAAAAAGGAGAACGAAGTTTGTTAGTAGCAGAGGGATGGTTTCCACAACAATGTAGAATTCTTGAACTCACTACTTATACGAAGGAGGTACTCACTTAAACCGTATGATCCGGGCGCCACTCGGATCTGCGTCTACCAACACTGTAATGGTGTAAATAAGCTGCATCTGCATTATGAAGGTGATAAGATGAAGTCATACGGTGAGATGAAGTCACTTGATGACTTATTTGCATTTACACGACAAGAACCCACATGAAGAAAATTATAATTTTATGAGATGCTTCCCGCACAAAACATCATAAAAGCAAATCCACCTGCTTCTCACAGGTGCTGCTCGAGCTCCTGCGTATTCTGAAACAACAAGCAAGTAGATGCTGCTGGGCGTGCTGGCTTATGGAGGTACTAACTTATCTTGCTTAGCTTGTTGCGGAAGCGGAGCGGTTGTTCAACATCATCATCATTATTGGTTTCATCTGAGAAGTTGGTCTCTACTCAACAACGTGATAGTCATTGTCGGTACTTGGTCGGAGGAGGAGGACATGCACGACATGCACATTACAATATTACAAATAGAAAGTAAACAAGGAACAGGAAGAGGCAACATGAGACAGATTCTGTAGATGGAATTAAACGACATGTTCTGGAACATGGAACGATGGAACAATGCTCAACATGGAATGCTCAAGACTTCACGACTTCGATAGTGATAGCAAAAAAGGAAGAGAAGAAGAAATAGAATTCTTCCAACAGCGACCTCTTGCCAGGCACATCAATCAATCAATCAATCAATCAGTCGGTCGTCGATTCATTACTTTCATGGAGGAATGATTTATTAATTATCGGTGACAGACGACGTCCGATCTTCGAGTGGAAAGAAGTATCGGCTTCGGTGCTCAAAGGTCCTACAGGATGAACCCTCCTGCATCCCACGCCTCGTCCCAGTGTCATTTTTAGGTTTGGTCGGCACAAATGTTGAATAGGACTGACATCCTCGTCCAAGAACTACATTAAATGCTGAGCTTCTTACTAGAAACAGATGATGGTGAGCAGACCTTGATGAAGACTACAAGGAGTACCAAGAGGTAACAACAACTACAACAAAGGACTACGTTTATAAGCACATGATCAACATGGCGCGGAACAACTTCTACATCAACATGCATCACATGGATGCACATCATTTCCATGATTTTGCAACCAGGCTCTGGGATTCCTTGGGAGCGCAACATGGACCACATTTGGAAGGTAGTCCTGTCGAAAATGCAAAAAATGCATCATCTCTGATGGATGTGCAACAAGTACATGTTGTTCCTGCTCTTCATGCACCTCCTTGTCACGGAGGTCACGCCAGCAGGACGATAAAAGCGATGAGGTTGTCGTACAAACCTAAGCTTGCTGCCCCTTCTTCGTCTTTTTCTGCGAAGGATCCACCTTCTAGGATTGCTTCTTCTTCCTCTCCTTTTTCTGTGAAGGATCCACCTTCTAGGATTGCTTCTTCCTCTTCTTCGTCTTTTTCTGTGAAAGATCCGCCTTCTAGGATTGCTTCTTCCTCTTCTTTTGCTGAGAAAAACGACGCTGCAGGCAGTTGTCCAGTGGGTGCCGATGCACCTGTGAGTGCTGAAGCGTGGAGGTGTCCAGATGTGGACGCATTCGAGACGAGGCTTGCTAAGGCGCGGGAAAGAGCTGCAGTGGCATCCTCAGGACTGCCCGAACTAGACCGTTGTTCGGAGTGGAAGTCGGCGTTAATTATGAAGGGCTTTTTTGGAAATGATCCATTTACAACAATCTCATTGGCCTTAGAATTCGAGCAACTACTTTACTTAAAAGAAAGAAACTGATTGCATCTGTGCAGAGGAGTACTCCGCTCAGGAAGTGGGAGTAGGTATTGTATAGATGGTATTACAGTTACACTGATAAACTCAGCATAGTTGTATTCAGGCTAGTGTATTTCCCGTGAAATAGGAGATAGGCGAGGTCAGGGGGAAGCCCCTGAGCATCTCCTGCAGGCTTCCCTCCCGTCTCCAAAGCTTAGTGCCCTACTAAACTTCTTTTAGAGAACCCGACTCGATGGAGAAAGGTTCTTGAGTTCTCTAATTTGAAGGTGCTGCGTCGCGGGCTTGAGCAATCACGCAGAAGGCTTCAGCAGCATGTTCTTGGCGGATAATTGGAATATGGGTACTACTACTAGAGACGCCTACGCCATAATGATGATCACGATCTCATGTTAGATTCGCAGAGTACGTAGTGCGTTATAATCATCGTCAGTGAAGAGTTCCAGTATCAAGGTGAAGATGAAACACTTGCTGACGATGACAAAAGTGAATGTTGGTGTCTGTTCTGCAAAAAATATTTCTGCTCTTCTGCACAAGACTGTATGTGTGTGTGAGTGAGTGTGTTCTGTCTTCGCAAGATCATTGAGAGAAAAGCTTCTTGTGTCTGTGAGTGACTCAAGTCTGGCTAGAGTGTGTCTGCTCCTCTTGTTCAACAGAGCTTGTCTTACAGTGCCTCGAAGCAGGTAATTGAGAGCAAGTTAGTAAACAACTGAGTGCTGCCATGACTGGGGGAGAGTCGTGTGAGTACTTAGTTAGTGGTAGGCAGGTAGGCACTCCCACTCTTTCGTCCTTCTATTGTTATGATTTGGAAGAGATGACGAGTCTGCTCCGTCCGTAGTCTGTCTAGTTACAACAGTCGTTCTGGACATCGGAGTCAAAGAGGAAAGAGACATCGTGATGAGCGTAAGCATAGTATGGCGAATAGATACACGACGATGAGCGTAAACACTTGTGAACGATCTCAATACTGCCATTCTTCTCTGTCGCAGCGCGATGTGCTTCTTTTGATCCCAGTCACCCACGAGATACTAGGTAAGTACCCACTTCAAGAAAACGAATGCAGCTTGCTCTTGTTCCCGTTCATCATTTCATTTTTGATTTTGGTCGGAAGCTTTCCCCTTCTTCATCTGGTATGCCCATTCTACTCCGGGTTTACTTTGATGTCAAGGTCATTTCACTGCTGTGAGCCTCAGTTTGAAGAAATATAGAATTATATACATAGATATTAGAATTGGTGGAGTGTAGTCTTACAATTTTGCACTTTTTCAACCAAGAAGCGGTTGGCGCATCCCCGCGGCCGATCGCAGGGGTCATTCGGATGAGTACTACAACAAGATAGTGTAACTACTACCTAGTCCAATATGTAGGAGGTGAATGATTTTTGGTCTTATTATTCAATTGTAAATTTGTTCTTTGAAGATATTGGGTTTAGTTCAGCTGTAGTAGCTAGTGTCTTTGTTTACCAGGCAACATGAGAGGATCTTCTTCCTCGCGAATCATGGCGCGCAGGGGAGGCTGGAGTGTATCCGGAACTACGAGCACGGTAGTCGGATTGTTCTTGATGTCTTCGGCGCGTCCAGGCGTGGGCGGGTCATTGTTTGTGGCGGCGTGCAGCGTGGGACAGGTGGTCTACAGTATGCACCAGATGTCAGGGGTGGAGCAGGAAGCAACGATTGCCCGCCACAGCAGTGCGTTGGGCGGCGGCGCGTGGCTGACGTGGAGGAACTCACCCGAGGAGTGCCCGCCTGATCGCTACGACCCTTTGTGCGAGCTGTGCCGCTCAGACTGCTTCCGCAAATATTCCGTGCTTCGGCCAACCTACGCGCCCGAGGTGACGTGTCAGGCGGAGCTTGCAGCCACTTCCGCAGACGCCAGCGCGGACCGCGTCGTGCCGTTCTGGATCCCGCTGCTGGGAGCCTCCTTGGGACTTTTCCTGCTCTGTGCGGTAGTTGTGACTTTCCTAGGAAAGCGCAACGCGCTCATCGTCGTGATCGACATGCTCCCCTGTTTCTTTCCCCGCACGTGGCATGACTGGGCGGATCTGCACCGGGAAGTCGGCTTTTCCCCTCTCAATCTGCTGGCGGTGCTCCCGCTCCCGCAGCGTGCGAAGCGCGCGCTGCTCCAGAAGGTGCAAGCGGACCTCGCCCGAGACCGAGCGGCAGCCGCGCGCGACATCACGCTAGGCTCTGGCACTTCTTGCGAAAAGAACATTGGTCTTCCGAGTCATGGCGACATTCATGGACATCACGATCAAGAAGTGGAGCATCATCATCATCATCCTGCTCATCAAAAAAGCACTCTTGATAAAACAAAAGCTGCGCCAAAAGGTGAAAATATTATCGAAGGAGCGCCGCAGCCCCGACATGAAGAAGAGAGACGCAAGAGCGGCATGGAGATCGCGCTGGAACAGTGCCGAAAAACGCTAGACCACGCGCGGGAAAAGCGCTACCGCACGAAAGTCGCGGTTAGCCGATTGCAGGGGGACCTCACTCAGTCATTTCGGGATCGTATCAGCGATCCACGTATTTTCGGCCGGCGCTCTCTTCCGAATGGCAGCCCGACTTCCTCGAACACTTATGCCCCAGCCGTTTTAGTTTTTTCACAGAGTAGAACGGATTATCATCGTGAAGATTAGTATCACTACCAACATTTATTCAATTTGTTTTCTTCCTATGAGTATAATCAATATGATCATCATAGTAGATATTTAATATAAGTGGATCGATAGTATGTAGAAGAATAGAGAAGTGAAGAGTAGTTGTGCGACATGATCAATATGATAGTCAAGAGCAGGATGCCGTAGCCGAGTGCTTCTACTAAGCGCTCGAACGTCTGTTCCCTCAAGATCAGATCATCATGTCATCTACATCTTCTAAGTATGCACTCCTGCGAGACCGCGCGCATCGATTTCGTTGAGCAAGTTTCTTGAGCTGGAGCCGCCGCCGCGTCGCTTTTTCATGAGTGGAAAAACGAAGTCCAAGGCCAAGCTGACGACGCAAACTGGAGAAATAGTGTGAACTGTGATGACCATGACTGCCCAAATAATCATAATACGTGTATAAAATATATTGGGATCATCTTCATGTCATCTTCTGCTAGAAGTACTTATGTAGATCGTCAGAATAAATACTGAAAGTGCTCACATATTGAAGAAGCTACTGCTACACCAGCTACAGCTACAACAGCTACTGGAACTCTTTCTTCCGTGGTTCGCAATTGCGCTTGCTTATCCCAAAGAAATCGATTTTCTTAGGTAATAAATGTATAATATGGTTGTATCGTTCTTTTTCTAGCATAAATTACCATATGTTTATTTCTTGTAGACCCAGGAGGTACCAATAAGGCCAGGGTGGAGCACAGGAATGAAATGTTAATTTCCGGCTCACACTCACTACTAGCATGCCCCTCATCATCTAGAATTCAAATTTGTCCTTTTTGCACAACGGAGCTGGAAGTAGAGATAATGCAACTCGACGATCAAGATCAAAAACATATGTTGAATGACGATGACAAAAAAGATGTTCTGCTTCAAAGCTGGTTTCTGTTTGTTCACAACCATTATAGACAATTCTTGAGATGAGGTTGTCGTGAAGGTATGAGAAGGAATGAGACTTGAGACTGTCTCCTTGGGTGGCGCCGTTGCCTATCTTGTTTTTATTTGCACTCTCATAGGTACTTACACTCGACGTGCTTCCTGGAGATTACAGATCTGCTAGTACTACTCTACTTCTAGTACTACTTCTAGTACTATTCGAAAGAATAAGAGAGGACGAAACGATCCAGAAGAAAGAACCACGACCAGGATTTTTGACGAGTCTCCTTTTGTCATTCTAAATCTACCAGGCTTGTTTTTGTGAGTGTGAGTGCAACAAGTATAATCTGCAAGTTGACGGACAAAACGTCATAGTATACGTCGGAGCTCGAATGATCCTCAAAGCAATTTATGACTTTTTCTGAATACAACGTACCTGCTACTTCATAATCTTAATCTAGTACTTGCAAAGTGAAAGAGTGTAATTCTAATTCATTTTTTGAGAAAGAAAATGTCTGGAATTGTTCGGTCATCTTCATCGTCCGCAAGAAGAATGCGTCGTCTTAGCCTTAAGATGAATCTTGCAGATTGCTGCATTGCTGCTTCAGTGCTTTCGCTTTGCGTTTTCGTGTTGGAAGCCTCTGGTATGCCTAAGCAGGGGGAGAGGCAAAGCAGCACCTTTTCACCTGCTTGTGAAAGAACGGAGCATGATATTATCTCTACTCAAGTAGAAATAAACGCGACTAGTTCTCGAAGACCTTCTGTGCCTAGAAGTACCATGGTCACCACATCGACACCACCACGGCGACTTTCGGTTTTACTACCTAGAGGAGCACGGACAGCATTTGCTTCGTCTCCGGACCTGCAGCAACTAGAACATGTTGTACCACAGCAGGGTGGACTGAATGATAAAACAGAAGAACACGAACTACAATTCTTACAACGCCCTCCAACACCTCCCGACGCCCCAGGGAACCCCACGCCCAGCACGAATACTAGTACCCCATTTTTGCATCAGCTTCGAAGAATACAATCCTGGAATTGGGAGGAAAGACATGGCGCGAAAACGCTCGCTGGAGGAGGCTCGGGAGCTCCTGTTTTGCTTCTCCCGGATTCTAATTGGCTTTTGCCTTCTGCAACTACACCTGTCTCCGTCAAGAAAACTCCAACTTCAAATTCTTCAAATTCTTCACCTGCAGCAAAACGAGTCGAGGAGGAGGAGGCAAGAACATTGGAGACAAAAAGTGCAGCACAGCAGTTTCATCATGATGATGCTTCTAATGAAATAAAGTTGTTAGGAAGTGAAAATATGACCGTATACAAGAGGCGTATGGATCTGTCGCGTCCTTTGGATTTGGAACAGTTGCCGATACAAGGCAAAGACAACTACTCTGGTATTGGTTCCCCCTCTCGACGCGGTAGCACCTTCACTGAAGGATTTCCACTGGGTCAGGAAGATGTTGTAGATGCAGCTGCTAGAAACAATCATGGTTCATCTTTCGCGAGTCCTATCGGAGGTATTGCTAGCTGCGGTTCCTGTACTGGGAGTCCCACTGGTGTCTCATTGTGGGGAAGTCATGACCGTGACTTACAAGCTAGTATTAAGGGTAGGCTAGTAAAGGTGTTCCTGTTGCCGTTTGTCTTGACTCTCCAAGGGGGAGGGCATAACAAACGGGGTAAGCGAACACCCAGACCCTACCTCTAATAGTAGTCGCGCGATATTCTCAACGTCGTGCTCTCCTCGACTTATTCTTACGCGTTCACGTGGAGGAAAAAGAGATGGGTCGCGTGGATCCCTTTGGAGGTCCTCTCGACCTGTAGTGTCGTGGGAAGATGGAGGACGATACGTAAAAAGCGCCACTAGTTCCCCGAGCAATCGAGAACGACCACATGAACAACCAGGAATAAGAACCATGACGGATCGTTGTACTACTGCTGCAGAATGTAGTTTTTCACCATCAAAGGGAAAAGATCAGGTCGTTCAAGAGCATTTTCATCTTCTTCAGGGAGATCGAGATGTTGTTGACCCCGTAGAACGAGATGTTGAATTTGATCAAGATGAACGAGACGAGCAGAAGGAACCTGTAGTTTGCAAGCTTATCAATCTGAAAAGCAAAGCAGATGTAGATGAATTGAGGAACTACTTGCAACAGGATCAACAAGAACGTCAGGTGGAGGAGGGTCGTGGAGGCAACATGGCAAACGTTGACTCGGACGACGTTATAATGACCCCTGTGGATCGCCTAAAAGCCGAGATGGCAGTACAATTGCGTGGTGTCCTCATTGAGGCTTCAATACCAGACCGATTTGTAGAACGCCCTAGCATTACAACCATTCCCGATTCGGGACTAGGTAAGGTAGGAGCTGATGCTGGAACTAGTCAGCCACGTCGGGAACCATCTTCGTTCTTGTCTTCACCTCAAACGAGTAGAGATAAAGATTCGTGTCATCGTGAAGATGCTGCTCAAGGTGCTGTTGCAGCTTCTCCTGTAATGTATGCAAATGCACCCGTAGCCGTAGCAGGAGCTTCTTCGAGCAACAAGTGGTGGAGTCCTTGGTCGCTTCCTTTTTTCTCGAGGTCAACATCATGGTGGTCGCACGGGGAGAAGAGTCAGATGGAGCTAGAAGAGCAGGGGAGAACACCACCGACACGAACACTAGTACTAGACGAAAGAGCATCCACTTCGACTTCCGTTCCGGGCGAGAGCAGGCCCATAGCCGCAGAATGCACGGCTCTTCCTCTGGAAGAAGAAGGTGATATAATCGTGGAGGAACCGGGAGAGGAGGTGTTGACTATGGACTACATTGAACGGGTCGCGAAGCAGGAACAGGTGGATGGGAAGAGTGTGCGCATTTTTCTTCTTCTCGAATATCTGCCCAGCGGCTCTGTTTGCAATGCACTTGCTGAGACCGCTTTGAAGTTGTTGCCTCAAGTATGACAGGAAAATAATGTGTACTCAACATACTCAAGAAAAGAGGCTTTTCCCTACTTTTTAGAAAGTGCCTACTTCTTTCTTGAGGATGAGTACACTTTTTCGCTTCATCATATCTTCAAGCTTCCGACTCTTCATCTGGAGGACTTCTTCATCAAGGTCCGCAAGATCTTCAAGTTCATCAAGATCTTCATAGAGGATTCCTAGTAGAGGGTGTAGAGCAGATGCAAAGGGAAAGCGAGCGGTTGCAAAGGGAAGAAAAAGAGACCCTTGCACTAGTTGGCGCGTCATTGGCGACGACGATAAAAGCGAGGATAAAGGTGAGCAGTGTTCTCGGCAGCACAGTTGAAGAACGAGAAGCAGCTTTTATGCATAGGGATTACGTGATTGCGAAAGTACGCGAAAGGCTGCGCCCGGACGGCATCACATCAGCGTTGCAAATTTAAGGCTCAGCTTTCAATGGTCATTGGGGTTGGTCACTGAGATCGAAGAGGCGACCCCTTGAGAGAACAGGGGAAAACGAAGGGAAAGGGGCGGAGAGCTTTGAAGGGGGTCCCTTCCGTTCAGAGTCATGATGACCATTGAAGGCTGAGCTTTAACAAATCCTTCGGCAACACAACCTCGGCATCAGTATCACCAGATGGAACGACTACAACACAAACAGATACCTGATTGATGCCGTCGAGCGTGACATTACGCGTGCTCTATCTTTGATGGAAACGATGCTTACTCTCTTTGGGCCAAAACTGTTGTTTCCAACCTTGGTGAGCCCTGCCGCACACTCGGACGCAAATCTGGGGAACATGTTGTTGAAGCGATCAAAACATCTGCAACCTTTGATGCAGCTGCGATGGAATGATAATGCTGCCAATAAGGAGTCGCTGCTTCCGCTGGAGTCCGAGCTCTCGAAAGCCCTCTTCGGTTGCGCTCACAGCATACTTCTGCTTTACGGGAAGCACGTGGGTCTGTACAAGTTTTTGGGTGATGAAGATCGTGGGCAAGAAGTTGTCGTAGGAGTATTAACAAAGGGAATTATATTAACAGAAGTTGTAAATAAAGAGGTCGAGGACGAGGACCACGATGATATCTTCAAGAAGATGATAACACATCACGAGAGGACAACTACACCTCCAGCACCATCAAACTCCCTTAGCGCCGAGAGCCTTCAACAGGAGAGTCCTGAACCCGTTAGTGCGTACAGCAACAGCGTTGAAGACGATGCAACGGATGCGACGGAGCAGCTTGAGGTACATCACGCACCAGCAGAGGACCCCGCTCAACAATTTCACGTAGTGCAACATGTAGAACTACCGCCATTCTCATCTGCTGGACAGCCGCAAGCTAGTAGCACAACAGCAGCTCCTGGTGTTGTTCCGAGAAATAACGGAATTGCTATGGTTGATGATAAATCTGTATCTACCCGTACAGCTGCAGCCGATGGAGGTGACGACTTGGTTGTGGATGTAGGAGGAGGGGAACCGCAGCCAGAACCTCAGAATCGACTTCGTCGCAACGGTCAGAGCTGGAACTCAATTTCTTCCGGAGGTTCCACGCGGCCACCTCGTTCTCGCTCGGCTAGTCGTCGTCCTTCTGAAGCGTCTTTTTCCGCCGGAACCCCTTCTCAGGAATCACTGCGGGACAGGCCGCGGCCGCCGCCTAGGCCCAGGCGTCGGTACCGGCTATCTGGATCATCAGAATTGGAGGCGAATAAGCAATTTCTTGTGGAAGGAGGTGCGCCGCCAACTACAAGAAGTACCACGATGGACGTGGACGAAACAGGAAGTAGAGGATCACCAGGAGAGTCGCTAGTAGAGTCGCTTCGCCCAAAGGAAATACCAATAGAAAAGATGATGGGCAAATTGTCGTTTTTCGAACCAACACTTAAGGTCAGCTTTTATCCATCTTTCTCGGCATCTCCTGGATACCTTTCGTTCCCTTGTATAATTCTCTTTCTCATGAAATACAAGGTAGTACAAGGGGTCAAGATCATGAGGGGGCCGAGATGCAACCTAGCAGACTCTAAAACGCAAGAACTACACGGTGGAGAAGATGGAGAAGATAGTCAAGATGAAGTTGTAGCTTCTAGTTCCACAGCATGGACCAGAGCTAGTACAGCTGCCTCTGCTTCTCGGACAAGATGTTCATCGACTTTATCATCTGCTGATGCTTCCATGCCAACGCCAAAAGAAATCGATGTATTAAGGCTTATTACCGTAATTCATCCGAAGAACAAGAAGCATCTTTGACCCGTTTGCAGTGAGGGAAAAATGCATCGAAGATGCTTCTACTTAAGTAGATGAATGTAAGTAAGGTCTAAACGTACTGTGGGCAGCATACGAGGAAAAGAAGGAGGCTGATGTTATTCCTTCATCTGTCAGAGACGAACATCAAAGGATGGAGACGGAGAGTTCAGGTCATGATCTACTAGAAGAACACGCGTGCGTTGGATTTGAAGTACCGACGCTAGTCACTTTCGCTGGTAAGGCTCACGACCTGCACGAAGCGACCGCTCGATGGCGGAGTGCAATCGTAAACGAGGTACGAACATCCCTTCTTCACCAAGTGGAACTGCCCAAGAACGTGGAAGATGGTACAACTAAGAACAAGATGCCAGGAGATACAATAGACACAAGAAGCTCAATCGATCTGCTGATCGCACGTGCAAGCTTTGCTGCCTTGTTTCAGCGAATCTCAGATGCCGGATACGCAATGGAGAAGCTTGTCTCGTCTACCGCAGGAGTAGAGAAGGTGGCGACGCCAGAGCTCGTGCTGCAACGTATCGTGGTGAATCTGTTGCTGTTCGCCGAAGAAGCTCCCCGAGTGAAGACGGATCTGCTCAGGCTTTTGCACCATCCAGGAACTGCTTGGTTTTGATTTATTGTGCGTTTCGGTCCCACCATTTAACGAGAGGGTACTGGGAACACCTTTTTAGAGTTAGACACCATGAAACTGGGCACGACAAGGTGAAAGTGCCGTAAATAGATAGGGCCAATGAACTGCAAGAAGGTGAAAATATTTAGTAGAACACAATAGAATATGGTTAGAGTTAAGGAGCAATCATCATTTGGCTGATTCCGATTCCTAGAAGTAAAAAGTAGGGCCTTCGGATGTTATCTTCATGATGTATGAGGCGTCATCATCCGATGAGGACTCGCAGGAAGAAGCGCCAAGGCTTCGCAGATCAAGGAGAAAAATGAAAGGAAGCTTCGACAAGATGAACGCGATGGATAGAGATACTGGGATGGAATGAAAATGAATATGTTATAATATATGTATGTGTGTGTGTATGTATGCATGTATGATGTTATCTGCATAATGGCGGAGGCGGTTAATGTTAAACTTCTGTCTCTGGTCCTGGTGTAAACAAAACAAGTAGTGCATTCATAGTTCTAGTTGCAGTATCAATCTACTATTATTTGATAGTTGATTGTATTGATTGACTTTGCGAGCAAGCAACACCAGCCTTGTATCTTCGAGTACTTGTACTTGCACAAGATCATGATGAAGCTGCTGGTACGGGTAAGGTCGATCGAGGTTCTTCAATTAACAAGTTACCTTGTTTCGTTAAGCCAGTGAATTAATATCTAGAAGAAGGTCACTCAGTATTTTTTTTCGGAGTGTTTGAGATGTTGCAGTTTTAATGTTGGCGCGGGTTCTTTGGGATTATCGTTATGTGTCTAGAATCTATGAATAGATGGGTTCATACTTCTCAGAGTTCATCATCTGTGGTAGAATCAGCTGTGACTGACGGCGTTCACTATGATTTGATGTTGATTTTTTCTTTCTTTTTGGTTATCGGGAGTGCAGCAAGGCTTTCAGAAACGAAGGTGGCTGTAGCAAATGATTTTTTCTAATTACCACCACTACAACTGGTGCCAGAGTTTGTTGCAACGAGGACGTGTCGCAGTTACAGTCTAATTAGAGGCCAGTACAAATAACGTTTATCGTTGGCGTACTCAAGCCAACCATCTTCGTGCTCTTATTGATTTTTTTGGACCTAGTCAAACAAGCTAGATGTTGTCATTACTATCTGAAAATCGGTACCCGTACGTAGGCCGCCTATTATAGAAGCCGCACACCCTAAAGAAGCTAAAAAGAATTCAAGGTGTGCGGTTATCTGTCATCTTTGTCATTTTAGAATTGAGCTATCGTGAATAACCACTAACTATCACAACTACGTGTATTCATACAAAAACAAGAAGAAGAAACGCCTTGAAGGGTCAAGAACTAAGAAGACTAATATGGGTTGGTTTACTAGTATTAGTGCTAGGGTTGCTTAGGGTAATATTTCAAACGGATAGTAAAACCACGGAGGCTGCAAAGGGATGTTGCATCATTATGTTTTTGGTTTCATAGGTAGATGTTGTGAGATGATATCTTGATAATATCTTTCAATTGATGTCTTGAAGAGAACCAGACGGCCTCTGCATGTGCAGAGCTATAATTTCTTCCACGTTGGAGGGCGGAAGATCGTTGTCAGGAATGGGAGTATGTTGTACGACGACGCGGTCCTCGTGGAGGTACTCACTGACGTAATTGGTCCTAACGCGGCTGGATGCGGTGTTCATGTTCGTAAGAGAAAAGAGCCAGCAGATGTGATCAAGGATACAAGGTAGAAGGGAATGAGTCGAACCGACCAGAAATGAACTAAATGACACGAATTGATCTGTGGTCTCCGACGTGAAGATTACGCTCAATATTCTAATCGAGAGAAAACGATTCGAGGAAGAAAATAAAACCTAAGGTCTGAAGAGAACCGAATGAATCTTGATCATATTCCTCGTGAAAAAGAATGAGAGCGCCGATTAATAGATAGATCAACTGATGAAGGAGAGAACGCCAAAGCTATCATCATCATGATATTGAAAGGAAGAAGAAGATAAAAATAACGAAGATCATCTTGGTACAGCTATTGTGTGAATAACAAAAGTTAGGCTAGTAGCTGGTACCTATCACTTTGGTTCTTGATCCGAAGAATACGAATCTGGCTATCATTGACTTAGTTGCAGCTTATAATTTGGTTGCTATCCGTTTCCGTATCCCTCAGCTAGAGCTAGTGCTAGTAGGACGATTTGGAGAACGACTACCAAGGAGCGAGATATCTTCGTTCGAGCGTAACTTAAGTACAACAAAGAGGCTGATGTCCACGTTTGTCACGTGCAGTCATTCACGTGTTTTTTTTTGCGCGCGCTTGCCTCCAGGCTCTTCGTTTTTTGTTTTGAATCCCACCTTCGCCTGTGAGTGTCTATTTTGCAAAAGGTAAATGAATGAATGAATGAATGAATAGTGCTTAGACGAACGAAGTTTGATGAATAGTGTAAGAGTAAGTAAGTACTTAAGTGTAAGTAGAGAGCAGGCTTCGGTGGTTCACACTCTTCCCCCTCGACTTCTTTAAGATTTGAGTATCCTTCTACGACCTCGTGTTAGTAAGAATTAATTCAATGTCTCACTGCAACATGGCAAATGCAAAAGCAAATGATACTATCATAGAAGAGAGAAACAATAACAATTGAATTCCTCATCGTTGTTGTTGTCTCTGTTTTGAAGAAAAAAATTTAATGACCACCTCCATTCGCATTGTGTGGAGCCCTTACGGACGATTACGAAATCGAGAAGAAAATGACGTCCGATAGAAACGCTACGAGAAACGCTTGTGGAGCTGGCGGCGCTCTTGCCTCTGGACAGCATCATCAAGGGGGAAAGCATCAACAAGAACCTGTTGACGAGCATGTCAACACGATGAGCAAAAAGAGATCCGGGAACAATAAAAAAGCAGGGGAGACAAAACCAGAAGGAGAAACAAGAGGCGATGAGCCTGTCGCAGCTGGAGAAGCTCAAGCTGAACTTCAAGCTGATAGTGGGGCCGGAGCTGATCAACAAGGCGTGGGCGGCGTCATCCCGGGGCCTTCAACTACTGCAACTTCATCAACGTCAAAGAATCCATCAGGAGGCTCTGGTTGTAACTCTAGCACAGCAGCTTCGACATCGACTTCAACCTCTTCGACCGCGACACCTTCAACATCCACGTCAATGTGTGCTTCTGCCAGCTGCGTTCTTTCCTTTTTGCGGCCTCCAGGGGGAAACAACTTTGTCACAGTAAAACAAAAGATGCAGGAGCTTTTTTTCGGAAATTTGGTTACTACCAGTTGTAGAGAAACTACCTCTTCCACCGCATCAACAACAGGTGGCAGCACTAGCGTAGCTGCAGTTCCTGGTCAAGCTTCAGGAGCATCAAGTTCCTCATCTTCGTCTCCACAAAATGAAGGAAAAGAGAAGGCGCCCATTTCTAGGAGAAACAAAATTAGCATAGACGAACTGGCAGAGCAGTTGGTCAATGTGAAATTCAAGAGCTTGCAAGCTAAAGCTTTTGTAGAGGTAGTGGAGAAAGTCGCTCAGAATGCAGCGCAGCGGGGGAAGTTCTTAGCCATGCTGCAGAGGGTTGTGACGGAAAAGATGAACTCCTTCTCTTGGGAGGCTTTTTACCGTTTAAAAAGGGCTTTGGACCTTCCATGTGCATGCGGAGAGTCGAGGGAAGAAGCGGACTCGATTTTGAGAAAAGCTTATCGGAATTCTCCCATTAAGGCGATTGCTTCTTGTTCTTTGATACAGTATGTAGTTCGTTGACAAAGAAATCTACGTCGCCCTTAGTAATTTTAAAGAATCCGGCGCACCGCACACCCTCATCATCTAACTAGGGCTGGGACCAGTATGCATACGCAGTTTTGTGCGTTTCGGAATCGCAACGCTACGTAAACAGGGAGCTGCTGCAAAACCTATCATCCGGACAGACCCAGATGGCGAATGAGCTGGTACCTCTAAAATCTATGATGTTTCCAGCGAGCGAGCTCCGCCGGCGGCTGATATATGCCGGGGCGGGGCCGCCCCCTGTTTCAAGAGGGTCGAGGCGGGGTGCGAGTAGATGGGGGAACCAGGCTCAGGAGCAGCCACGTGCAAAAGAAGCAGCAAGTGACGGGCCCGGCTGATGTATGCACGCACTGGCGGCCGCGGGGCTTTGTGTTTGCTGGGCGAGTCCATCGCGCCGCCACAGCCCGAGAAGGGGGCGCAAAAGTGACCGGCGTGCGCTGGTGCGGTCAAAGCATCGACATCCCCAACGCGGGAAAGCCAGACACGAGGGCCCTTCGCCGTTGGCTCTGCGTATTTCTCTTGCGGATGAGCTTGGGCCTGCCTGCTAATCCGGGCCGTCTGCGGTGGGGGTTGGGGAAGTCCTTCGACGGATTGACAGCGGCCTCCGCGGTGAACGGCATCCAAAGACGGGCTGATCTCGGTGACCTGGCGAGGAGAGTGGGGACGAGGTTCACAGAGTAACCCAAGCAAGAGCAGAGAGCCAAGAACAGGAGGAGAGGGGCCCACTGATGGCGAAGCGTGGCCGGCTTGGGCTTTCATGATGTGAAGCGGAACGCGGGGGGGCTGTCTGGTAGAACTTGGGCAACCTGGATGGGGAAGGCCCGCCCACCCAGTTCACAGAAGCGTGAACGCCGGGGCTTCCTTGTGTGTGCAGAGGACTGACAGACGCGGGCGGCGTTTCTACTAATGGCGTGGCGCGGGTCCCCGGGGTGTCGTTTTGTTTTCGAAATGATGACGAACCAGGAATGCCGGGGGTGAATTCTTTCGACATATATCGGGGGGGCTGGGGCTCCTGGGTTAACTATGGCAAAGAGGGCATCCTTGGCGCGATCGAGGGCGCGCGTGTGAGAGTGGAGGAGCTGTCTCGCTCTTCCGTCAGTCGGTCAAGATTGCTGCTGATATACCTGAGGAGCCGCGCCGTGTAGCTCGGAGGTGTATGCAAGTCAGAGGCCACGGGCTTAGGCTGTGTCTTGTCCCAGCTAGTGCGCAGCTAGCATTCTTGCGACGACTGAGCTGGCGCATTGGCATTGGCTAAGGGCTTTTTCAGGTTTAACGCGTGTGAAAGCCTGCCCACGATGTTCAGGGGGTGAAAAAGCGGCGGCGCTTGTTAATGAGTGCACCTTTTTGAACTTTGTGCAGATTTGGCGAAGTTTGATGCCGATGGCTTGCCAAGCAACATACAACACAAGGGCCAAACCGTTCCGCCCTCCAGTTTTCTAGTTTTTGGTATTGTGTGTTCTCGCTCAAGAAGTTGAATCTTCAAGGAAGACGCAGCAGCTCGGTGGCTATCGGTTCTAATGCGGGGCCTTCGGTGTTAGTTTGCGGGGTTTGTTTTGCTTTTGTGTCGATTCATGCCGGTCCCGCTTTGGGGCTTAAGTATAGGCAAGCATGCCGCTGGCGCCAACGCGAGGGAGCCACTTGCCGCCCCTCTGCTTTGCCAGCCACTGCTTATTTTGCTGCCCGTCTGGGCACCGCGGGCACCCTCGTCAGAATTGGGGACGTCAGCTTCGATATTCTTTGTGTTAGGTTCCTTCGTGCCTATTTCTCTTGTGTAAGTAAAGTAAGTATACAACAAACATTCCCTCATATCACTATACAGGTCAGCGACAATAGAGAACTGCAGAGGCTTCTTGTGGAGTGCCACCCAACGATGGACCTGGTTCGAAAATATCAACTGCCTGAGTCCGAAGTTGGGGGATTCTTCCTAGAGCAAGAGATTTCAGGGATGCGATATTATATCAGTACTCTTCTTTCATATTTATCTTCTACTTTAATACTGTGGTAGTCGTACGTTGATTTTGATTTTACAATAAATTACAAGCTTGCTCTCCTCGCTCTGATATCTCTTTAGTACTCTTGTCTATAATCATGATAGATATGAAAACTTCTTCTACGCCCACAGAGACCTTGTCTCCTGCTTTGTGGGATCACGCGTTGGGTTTTACTTTGCTCGACCCGCGAAGGAACTTTGAGCACCGCATCTCGATTCATAACGCCCTCATTCGGCTTACGCAGCAGGGGAAAATATGGGGAAATATCTACGATCTCGAGCAAAAGCTTGTCTATGCACGTTCACGGTTCATGTCCCTTTGCGCAGCTGAGGGACGTGACTATGTGGCGATAAAGAGTCGGGATCTCTGTGGTGCCGAAGTCCTGGACCGAAAGAGAATAGACGCAAACAAGTATTGAATTGTCGATCGTCATTAGCGAACATGATGATTTCTAACGGACTGATTCTATCCACTTCGATTGTAGCTTATAATCTTGCAAATGTTTCTTCTTATTTCCATCAAACACATCAATCTAGCTGGCTCTATTTCCTCCAATGCATTTTTTTATCACCATTACCTTCTAACTAAAACTGCTTCATCTAGGTACTTAACCGCCTCATTCTTCGACTACCGGTTAAAAGTCCTAGCTGTGGATGAAATCGATTGGAGCATTTTTGAGACTGACCGGGTTATCGGCTTCGACACCGAATGGAGGCCTGAATTTCGGAGGGGTGGTCAAGGAGCCGCGGCCATTATGCAGCTTGCTTTCCCTGTCCGAAAAGAATGCTGGATTGTGGATTTATGTATTTCTCGTAGCTTCTCCTGTACTTATCACTCTCTGTCGTGGTCTAGTATGTCTTTTACTCTACGAAGATCTCATACAACATAGGGTTGAAGTCGAGGAACTGAATCAATCAACTTTTTCCTTTACAATCAATCTAATTCTACAACTCCCACAGGTCTTCCCGAAGCGCCCATTAGTGAAGAGCCGCGACATAGCAAGCTCGAGGCGCGAGACAAGCTTCTAGATTACATCTTCGACTCTAACAATGACATCAAGATCGTCGGATTCGGTCTCAACAACGACTTGAACTCGATCGACTATAGGAAACAACGCGATATGTCCCTCATTCGTGGCGATCCTGACGATAGCCGAAGGATTAGACGGCGCTCGGCAGACGTCGGAGACCCCGCTTCTATACTTAGCTCTGTGAGTTCGACTCAGTCAAGCAAAATTATAACGGTTGCTGGGGGTGCGGGTGCGGGAGCGAACGGGAATCCGAATGCGTCAAAGATGATAAGCTTTTGCACCAACAATGCGCCAGCTAGCTGTGCGACGACTTCGCAGTTGCAGGGGTTAGGCTTAACTCCATGGGCGGGGCAAACTGCAGTGCCTCCAGTGGTTCCCGGGACACAAAATCAAAACATCGAAGTTGCGGCAGCGGATGAAGCTGTCGGAGTACAACAACAAGTAGTGCTAGTAGACGAAGTGGTAGATGATGATCAAGATCAACATGTTGTACAACACGCAGGCGTCGAAGATGTTGCACAAGTAGTTGCTCCCTGCGGCACAGTAGGAGATGAGGCTGCTCCTCCACCAGCTGTTGTTTCCCCTAATGCTCCTATCGTGGTCGCAGGAGTGGCTCCTCCAGTTTCTAGTGCCGGTGCAGTTCCAGGATGTTGTAGTACCCATTTACTGAGCGGGACGAATCAGACGGACGTGAACACGTTGCCCTCTCGAATCTCGACGCGTTTTGCTCCCGCCAGTAGAGCTGACTTGACTATCAATACTGCAGTAGCAAATCAGTTCGGTCTTGCTGCTTGCGGTACCGCAGCGCGCACACCATCGGGAAGCGCGTCCAGTTGTGCTTACCAGTTACCAGGTGGTGCGCTGGGAGAGCCGACGCCCCGAGGTGGAGTTCTCGGAGGTGCACCGACGCCTGCGTCGGCGTCGAATACAGTACAACTGTTGGCATCGACCAGCAACCCAATTATAGCGTTGAATCCAACAGCACCTGGAGCTGCGAGCTCTAACGTAATCGGCGGAGGAGCCTCATCTTCTTCATTGGCCAAACAAGGAGGAGCAACCACGACTCCTGTTTCAACTAGTACCCCTGCTCCTGGAGTAGTTAGCGGCACATCCACTGGAGGAGTCGTGACTGGAACGTCAGCTGCTTCATCTAGCACGAATTGGACCACTAGAAAAAGAGAACAAACTCTAGCCAGTAAAAGACGCGACATGGGTGGAGCTCAGAGTCGCAAGTACATAGACATTCTTTCACTTCTGTCCCCGAACGCAGATAGTGGGAAGAAGGGCAGTCTCGCAGACCTCGCGGAAAAGGTGTATGGGAAGCCCTTGAGTAAGGAGATTACCATGCTGAATTGGGAAGTAAGGCCCTTAGAGCCGATTTGGGTAGAGTATGCTGCGCTGGACGCCATTGTCCCTGTCGAGTACTACCTCTCGCACATCGCACCAACTGCCGGCGCACCCGGAGGTTCAGTTTCACTGATGAATAATAGTATAACAAACATCAACGGAGGAGCGAGTTGTTCGGGAGCAACCACCACTGGAGCTTTAGGTGCAACCACCACTGGAGCTTCTTACACATTGCATGGCACGAAGGGTGGGGGCATCGTAGCTACAATTAAGGCCTCGCTCAACCCACCTTTTTGGCTCATCTGTGACCTGCTTTCAAGTGCTAGAAAAAGGGACAGAGATGAGGGAGGAGATGGATTGTGGTGAGTTCTAATACAAATATGTCTTCGCTAGGCGGTTCTTTATCGTCATCTAGTAATATGACTGCGCAAGCACTTGGAGGTGTAGCTGGAGGACCTAATAATTCGCAGTTGAGTTGTAACAATAAAGCCGCACCAGGAGGAGCAGGAGTTCTTTCAACAGGAGGAGCACACTCGTCACATCACGGTTTCGGTACTTCTGCATCGAACTCAAAAGGAGGTCATGGCCAACACTTTCAGCCGCATGGGAAGGGTCATCATGCCAGAGGTAAAAAAAAGCCTGGACATCTGATGAACGGACATCCACTATTATGGTCAGCCTTTATCCATCTTTCTCGGCATCTTGGTCCCCTTTTCCTTTGCATTCTCATGAAATACACGGTAAGAGGGGGCAAGATGAGGGGGCCGAGATGGATGGAAGCTGACTCTAACACTTCCGCCTACAACTCAGCAAGGTCCTATAATTGGAGGTGTTGGAGTTGGACAGGCAACATCGATAGGGCCTGGAGCTGTAGCGGCCGCGATATTTGATCCTGCATTACAAGCACAACATCAGCAACAACTCCTCAACCGCTCCCAACAACAACATCAGCAGATGATGGCAGCAGCTGCTGCACATCAACAACAACAACATTCCCAAGCCCAAGGGCAACATTCTCATGCCCCTTTCCTACCACCACCTCATCAACCTATGCCGGGCGTGCATCATTTTCAGAAAGGTGCACTAGCTTGGCTCCCGCCCCAGCACCAACTTCCACCTGGCTATTTTTCCAAAAATTAACGAATAACGTTTTTTTTATGACGATTAACTGATCAACATCAACTAATCAATGTGCTGTTCCTTTATTATGATGATCTATCAAGAATTACAATTTCACGTAATGGTATTCTTTTTACAACAACATACAAGTTCAACAAGAACTTCTAGAAGCAGGAGAAGACGAGACGTTATCTATCATGTCCACGACGGAATTAAGTACTTATGCAAACAAGACGCAATCTTGTGGTTGCAGTGTGCGAGAATTTCTATAGCAAGCAATCAACGAATCAATCAAGATGTTGTGTAAGACTAACAAGCGAACAAAATTATGAGCCTCAACGCACTACTCTGTTGTGCTTGTGATAAACCATGTTTTTAAAGAACTTGAAATGAATTTTCTTTGACGTTGAAGACTTTGATAGAAATGAGCAAGAGATGGATTCACTACAACTAGCCACATACTACTGGTAACAGTAACAAATTAATAAAGAGGCGGAGTCACGTGGACGTGAATCTACAACTGCATCATTGTGAGTCCGCTCCGCAAGTATGGAGGAAGAGGAACGAGCATGCTTTTTGGTTAAGATGACATATTTATATATATATAATATTAAGATAATGCACAAGAACTCTACCAGTATATGTGTGTTCAAACTACAACTTCTTGATAACCTACGCAAGCGATGAAAAAGCATAGTACTTGAAGATATCACTATCATGATGTGCCTGACTATGGCTACAACTGTAAGACACATGATTACAACCGTCCCCCGAAGATTGGGCATACAATCGTCCATGCTTACGTCATGACCATTCATAAAAATCATTGTGAGGATTATTTGTGCAGTAGTCATAGTCATAGTCAATGTGCATCAAAAATGAACCCTAAAATGTTTCTTTCTGCTTGAGGATATAGAGAGTATCCTGTTAGTTGTGCTTTCTTCATTTCATAATGAGGATACGACGTTATTGTTGATGTTGTTGAAGAGAACATGTGATGTTTCATCATTTTCGACGACTCGCTTTGACAATTTTAAGCTGTACTGAGCTAACTTCATCAACATGTTACCATCTTTTCTCATAGGACCTGCTGCGGGAGGATGTGTATTTGGAGGAGAGTAGGTCTTGTTATCAGAAAAAGAAGGTGTGATTCCGAAGAAGATGGACGAAGGCATAGAGATCATTCAGCAGGAAGGCGAAGAGCTATTCAAATCACGACGCAACTGAAAAAAATGATTTCTCTTCAATCTCGGTTCTTTCGTGATACTGCATGATTCGTAACAGAGAGGTGTCTCATGAATTGGAATACTACAATCAAAAATCTAGGTACTGTTCCCGTTGTAGACCTAGACACCGGAACTTCTATTTGTAGTACTACATCAACATCATCCGCATTTACAAATACAATTTTTACTGCAATAAGCAAAGATTGACCGCGAAGAACTCGACGATTAAAAAATGCTATCGAGCGAAGTGGATTCAATACACGATGACAGACTCGATCCAGAGACAACATCATCACTGGAAGTCGCACTCTCTTCTATGAGCCTCACAGAGGAAAGAATGCGTGCGCGCTTGGTCTTGACAAAGCAGAGGTATGCGGAATTACTTCGGAGGTTACGAAGCTATGCACTCACTGCGCACCATGATACACGGATACCTTCGTGGGAGACACTCTTAAGGCTGTACTAGTAGTTCTCTTGAGCTGTACGTTCTCCATGTGTTGCAATTTCAAATGTTTGGAACGTTTGGAACGCGGAGTTGGAGTACAAATGATGATTGATTTGAGTAGCTGTAAGCTTCTCACCAATGTCCGCATAGTATAGGATCCTCTAAAATACCGAAGGAGTCGCTTTCCGGAAGAGCAACTGATTCTCGAATTCTGCGAGAACCTTACTCATTCTCATTAATTGGGAACAGCAACAGCGCGATTGAAGGTAACAAGAAGTCGCCTAGTTCTGTGGTTTAATGCTCCTAGGCGGGAGGTGAGCTGGCTCCTAGGCGGGTTAGCTGGGTACAGCATCATCATTCAGTCAGCACCCTGATTGACTGGAGGCAATGATAAGAGCTTCATAATGACAACTTCTTGATCTTGTGTTCCAAGTAGAGGGAATACCTGAGAGTTCGTTGTTCTTCAACAGTTCCATGATGTTCGGCGACATTGATTTTTCTTGAGAGAACCTACCACAAGCACAAAGAAGGTACGTCGTTCCCCGCATATACTTCACGAATTATCTTGTTACATCAGTGGAATAATCTAATGATCACTCAAGGGTCGTATCTTCTGGTAAAGTCTGGAGTCGGTTCCCACTTGTGTCCTCTACCTTCCCACTTATCATATCCCACGTTCACCTGTCATAGTGTCTCAATCAGTTGATGTTGATGTCACGTCTCACCCATTTGTTATGCCCCCCTTACCTCAAATTCTTGCCTCAAGACTACTTCGATTTTGGCCGTAATGTTCAAGAAGTTCTTAGAAGTGACTGTGCGTGATTCTGGTATTGTTGAGAAGTCAGGCAAATTGCACTTGCACTAGGATCATCAACGATCTTCTTCCCTTTAAAATGGTGTCGTGGCGGTAAAGTGGTAGGATAAAGTCCAGCCTTCTAGATGGTGTACTTTAAGATGGAGCTGCATTCGACATCAACACATGAGGACAATGAAAATTTACTGCAGCACACCCTAGTACTCGACTTTGCTTTTTGATTTATCATCATCACCACCAGCACCATGCTTGTCTTTCCTACTTCCAGCAAATGTAAATACCCTTTTCGTTTTCATTTGTCCCTCCTTGTACTCGCCTCACCCATTCATGTACCTAAAAAGTAGTTCAAGTACATTATTATACTAGAAATGGTCAATTATAACATCTTCCTGGTGTCAATTGCAAGCAGTTGTAACTTGCTGCCACATTCTGTTGAGTTTCATGATTTTTGGCCTCCCTCTTTCACCATCTTGCTTCGTTGTTCTTGTATGACAACATTCTACAAGCTACTTCGGTCTTGTTCGCTGACACTGAGAAAATGTTGACCGAGACAACGCACGATCTCAGTGGATTGACGACGCCTTTTGTTTGTGGTGCAACCGTCCCTGTAACATCATGTCTCCCAAACTGAAGAAGAGCACCGCAACGCCCAGCACAAGAAGTACACGAGGTCGAAATAGCAGATCAACATCAAGATGATGCACGGCCAGCACATGCACGCTACAATGCTGGGTCCTTCAAGTGGAGCCTTGGTAGACAAGCGTTCGACTGTTCACAGTGCGTTCATCCATCTAGTGGTATACCTAATTGGCCTTGGGGTGGTCGGCATCTTCTACCTGAACTACTTCGTTTTGGAGAGCTATTTCCTAGCACTTTTCTGGGCAACCGTGGCGAGCATTCCGTTGTTTCAGGTGAAGAACTGGCTGTGTGAGCTCATCTTGAACTACTTCATCGGAGAGGAAGACTTCGCGCTTGGATACTTTGGAGGAGATGATGGAGATGCTGCGGACGGGGACTCAACATCGTTGCTAGCGGAAGAGGAAGCAGATGATCTCGATCCTACGAGGACCTTATCATCTTCATCGTTTGGTGAAGATCTGCAGCTTCGGGGTCATGTCTTCACCTCAGAAAGTGGAGCATCTTCGAAGCCTTACCGTCGCGGAGTGATCGCTTCTTCGTCAACCTCTTCGCTGGCTTCTGGGTCTGACGAAGATGATGATGAATATCCCCACCATGCTGATCAGACGCTGAGAAGTACGGCCGATTCCAGAAGACGAGAGTGTACTTTGTCGAAGTCTGGAGGCATCGGAGGACCTAGTAATTATTAAGGCTCAGCTTTCAATGGTCATTGGGGTTGGTCACTGAGATCGAAGAAGCGACCCCTTTGGAGAACAGGGGAAAAGGACGGGAAAGGAGGGAGCTTTAAAGGGGGTCTCTTCCGTTCAGCATCAGTGACCATTGAATGCTGAGCTTTAAAATTACGTGCGCAAGTATTGGTTTTTCTCCCACACCTTCGGTCTTGATGAGGTCAGATGGTACAGCAGGTACGAATCGATGGGTGCTGTCTTTGTTCGCGACATTCCTATCATACTGGACGTGGTCTACCGTCTCGCTTATTGGATTGCCTTGCAGCCGATAGCGAACTTTTTCTCCTCTTCAGCTGAACAAGAGTCTGGATCTAGTGGAGGTGGTCCTAAAAATGCAGGAGGCGGTGGATTCGGCGCGGACGATAAGATAATGAGCAATTTGAATACGAGTTAAGGCTCGTAATAATTCATCTTCACAGGATTATCTCTAGCTCTACAGGAGGTTAGTTAGCTGTGTGTTTGTGTTTCATTCTCCACCTTCTCAGTTTCTCAGAGGATGAGGATGAGCTACTTCAAAGGTGAATTATTGTGAGCGCTAAAGTAGCACAAGGACGAGTAGAGACGAAGATGACGGCGCAGGAGCTTCTTGGCCTTGGTTCGCTCTTCTGTATCGAGCAGTAGTTGTCAGGGCTTGTTACCTGACTTACAAACTCGACCCAGAATTCTTTGACCCGCTAGGCGCGACGGCCAGTGTCGTCTACTTCTTTTTGATCTCGGCTTATGGGTTGCTAATCCTCATTCGACTCGTTCACGGCATCGTTCACTTTTCGACAGGAGGCCAACAACCCTCTAGTAGGGCCTCAAGAGCACCATCATTCAGTAGTTCGAAAAACGGAGAAGATAAAGACGCTGATGGAGATCAACTGCCTATAAGAGCAAGTCACGCTCCCGAGCAAGTGACGTTCGCAAAAGCCTTTGGGAGATATCTAAGGGGAAGACAAGAAAGCGGATCCGTCGGACCTGGAAGAGGGAGCACGACGCCAACAATTATGAAACATCATCTTGTAGAAGATGAGATCTCAATATTTTTTCTAAAATTGTACTTACAATGAATCTTGGTGTGGGTCGGATAGATTTAGATGAGACTGAAATGGGGGGACGCAAATCATGTGATCCGATGCGAGGGTCCTTGTAGAGTGAAGACCCTGAGTATTATCGATTTAATATCTACGAAGTTTTTCCTGCATATCATACTTAGATGATTTTCCCTTGATACTAGCTCTAAGGGACCAACAGTTTGGGGACGCACTCGCACATCTGCCAGAATTTCGCGTAGGACGCACATCTTACAAGAGAAAGAGTCACCTAGGACAAACTCGAGGGAGCGAGGTTTCAGCCACACATCCAGCTTAGTAGTCAGCCAAACTGAAACTACTACAGGTGATAACTACAATTATGACTGATGTAGGGAATTCATCTCCCGTGTCATCTGGCGGAAGACAACATCAAGACGAAAAAGAGAGCCAGACGATTCCTGAGATGAATTCCCTATACCTCTAAAATAAGTCCAGTACACCTGGTCAGAGACGTGGAGCCGAACAGGACCGCGGAGATGCGGGCATACGCAACCATTTGATGCGGCAAGAGCAAGACCCAAGGCTCACTTACTCCTCACGTGTCACTTCGAAAGAAGCTCCATCCAGCCAGGACGCTCAAGGCAGTATGACTGACGAGTCGACCCCGCCAAGAACAGATGAAAAACGCGAGCCATTGGCCGAAACCATACCAGGTGATGAAGATGACGCACGAAGCAAAGCACAACATGAATCCAAAGGAGACATCAAGTCTGATGCAAGAGCATCGTCATCTCCGACAACCGTCGGGGGAGGAGATCAGAGAGTCCTAGACGACAAGTCTGACAGCCTCATAGATTCGAACGATCACGCTGCGAGACTCTCGCTATTCCAGCAGCTTTTTGTTTACATCACAGAAGCAATACGCGAGGCCTACTATTTTACGCTTGCCACGATTCTCACGGATCAAATCCATACGATCCTAGCGATCGTGATCATTGTGGGTGCTGCGGTCTTGGGTTCGGTTTTTATGGTTTTGTGCGTATCCGAACTGGCGAGAGAAGCGGTTTTCGTGTGGACAGAAGCCCAAGTGTATGCTGAGAATCACGAGTTATTCCAGCAGCGGGTCATGCCTATGCTGATAGGACTCGGTCAGGCGATGCACGCGCTCAAAATAGGAGGTGGAACAGCAACATCTTCTTCGAGCCCTACTTCTGTTGCTAGCGGAGTAGGAGTTGCACCAACTGCAGGAGGAGTCTCCGTACTAGGGTCCCTAGGCTCTACTTCTTCTGTGGGAACGACTAGTAGTACACTAGTATCAACATCAGAAGATGCAAGTTCTTCAAGTGCAGGAAGTGGAGGGGCGAGTGACGCCTCCTCACCTTTCTCGACAGCAGCAACTTCTCAGAACTTGTACACTAGTGGCTCTAGTTCTTCCCCGGCCACGTCTGCTCCATCCCCGTTCTCACCAACGTCGCCGATCTCAAGTAATCCATTGTCCTTTACCGGCTCGTCACCCAACAACAGCACGTTAACCACATCTTCACCACATCAAGTGCTATCCCACGAGCAGCGGAATCTGACGCAGTACTACAGTGAGTACTTTCAAGGTTGGCTTGAGCGAAATCTTGCAGAGTACGAGTTCATCAAGTTGATGTACGATGTTTACACGACCCAGGAACCGCAAACAGTTTCGGCGAACGTAGGAGGTGGCTCTATAATGATGTCTGCTCCTCTTGTTGATGGTGCAGCAATACAAGCACAACATCAATAATAAGCCACTACGAGTAGAAGTAGTGCAAGGAGTAAAGAAAAAGTAAAAGATAGTCCTCTAGGAGCAGCAGGAGGTGTAGATTACGGGGTAGCTACTTCTCCGACATCTTCTTCCATAGGTGAGCGAGCTGATCAACAGCAAGCTGCGGATGCCGAAACAATACAGAGGGTGTTGAGCAAAGACTCAGACGATGCTGCTCCTGCTGAGAAAAAGGATGTCGACAAAACAAAGGTCGATGTCAGCAAATTATCTGGAGATACCATTGGTGTGAAAAAGACAAGCTTTCCATCAGTTGATGCTCGTGTTAACGATGACAAACGAAGCACGCAATCGACGTCTCCTGACGAAGGCAAAACCAGCACAACAACTACTGTAGTAAAAAATGATACGGAGCGGGAAGACGAGATAAGAAATTCAACAACAGATAAGGCCCCTGGGGAGAAATTCAAGATTGCTCCTGTAAAGGTTTTGACTGGTTATTACTTCGATCATACCTCGGATGGAGGAAGAGGACAAGCTGCAAACAAGATGCATCCTGTAGATTTGGACTCGATAATTGAGAAAAACTACAAGGGAGAAGAGCATCATCTTCATGATCAGGATTTTGACATATGGGAAGGCTCTGAAGATGGAGGAGAAGGTTTGGGGCAACAAATGTGGGAGGTGATTCCTTCAGCAGGAGAATTTGCCTCTTCAGCTTCATCGTGGCTCTACTCTGCTTTACCTTTAGGGGGACAAAACGAAGATGGAGACGAGGACGTAGGTAAAGATTCTGATGGAAATGCAGAAGAGATATCAAACCTCGGTGGGAATACATCGCCGACGCTGCTGTCTAGTACTACTACTTTCGACACCAACCGCAACTACAGTAAGTCCTCGGCGAATACCAGCAACCCATCAAGTAGCAGCTCTCGAACCAAGGGCCAGCGACATCAGCACTCATTGCATAGCACTAGCAGCACAAGCAGCAACGGAGGAGCGGATGAAACACGATCATCTACTAGCCCTACTGGTTCAGCAGGTGCGACTTCATCAACAGCAACTTCTGCGTTCTCTTTGAGGCATTTGAAGCAGTCACGAGCACTTCTTTTTGAGTTGTTTCGCGGAAACTTCAAGAAAGTTCGCCATCTTTCGCACGGTGCTTTCAACGAACTTTATTCCGCTTATCAGACCCAGAGCGCTGCCGGTTCCCTATTCGCCTTTTTCCACGGGGACGACTCCTCTTCTGCCGATGAGCAAGTGAGCCAATCCCCAGTAGCGCGTTTTCTAAGGTTTGTTTTTCTCCTCCTCCAGCGTTGGCTCTCCACGTTTCTTGACGTCATCATTCAGGGCATGGTGTTCATGGCCGCCTTGTTCTACATGCTGAAGTCGCGCGTCTCGGTCCTGCACTACGTGGACGAATTTTTGGCGGTCATCGACAGTTCGAGGATGTGCTACCACTGTGTGGAACGCGTTTTGAGGGCGATCTTGTACTCTGCTGTGAAGATGTGCGTTTTTTACACTCTTTACACGTGGTGGATCTGCAGTTTCTTCGAGGTTCCACTAGTTTTCATACCTACGGTGCTCGCAGGCGCGATGGCCTTGGTGCCAGTGATAGACCCGATCTACATACCTGTGCTGGCGAACATCTACGTGTACTATATAACTACAAGTGACATCATTATATATATTAAATATATAAATATATTACCTCTGCTTAGATGTTTCTTAGAAGTAGTACGAGACTTTGCACTCTTCTCTCCGCGTCAGTAGAGCTAATTTTTTTGCTGCATTTGTTTTGACAAAAGAGCATGCTTGCGCTTCACCTTGAACTTGCTCTGAATAATTACCTTCAACATTGGGTACAACTGAACACGTAAGTACATGATAACGCTTTCTAAGCGGCCACGCTCTTGCTGAACACTTGTTCGTCATCTTCCGGATCCTATGCTTCCAGGTATGTGAAAAGTGGAACCATGTGGCCAGACGCTACTTTGTGTGCGTTCATCAATGGCATGGTTTGGTGGAACGTGACAGTGGCTATCTACATGGAGATCCCGGAATCGAATCCGTGGCTCACAGGTCTTGGCGTGGTTTTAGGCATCTCGCATTTTGGCGTAAAGGGCGTAGTCCTAGGACCTGTGCTCGTCACTTTGCCGCTTCTGTGCTACGAACTGCTCTTCGTTTTCAACGCGTCAGTCGCGGAGCAGGGAACTACAGTGCCCTCACCGAATTCGCCGAGGAAGATAGATTAAGGGTAGGTTAAAGGTGCTTTTCTTACCGCTTTTTATGCCTCTCCTAAGGGAGAAAGGCATAACAAGCGGGGTAAGCGAGCACCAAAAGCCTCCCTCTAAATAGAAGTGGCTGCTCCAGCGACAGCAGCTGGAGGTAGAACAGGCTGGGGAGGTGGCGCGTCGGTTGGAGGTCGAAAGCTGGGAGATGGAATGTTGAGAGACTCATCCTCAGCACTTTCGTCTTCTGAGGAGCAGTTATGATCACTAAAAATACTTATAAACTACAGAAATGCTTAATGTACTTCTACTGGCCCGAATACATGACCAAAGGACACCTATACTTTCGAAAAGTCAAGGGTGCTTCTCCAGGGAAGTTGTTATTGAACGCTGTTTCTCTAATATTACACGCAGCACAACATGCGCAACACATAGACGACCCTCCTGGAGCGGGTACTTTTGTAACAAGTGGAGGAGGATCCTCATCTAGTTCATCGAGAACTGTACAAAATCGCGCACAGGAAAAGCCCAGGAGACGTGCACGGTCGACGATGGCACATGCTGCCCCTCCACACCAAGCTAGTTCATCTGGAGGAGCCCAACACCAGTATTCGACGCAGCAAGCAGAACACCATATTAAGGCTGCTACTAGTACTACTTCCTACTACTGCTCACTGTAATATTAAGTACTATTAACTAATTTGTTCAACATTGTTTTTGTTATTCATGATCATGCCGTATTTCGTTTGCTCCTACCCTTGTTCTCGTCCTCGTTGAATTTTTCATTGTTTTTTGCCTATCCTGTGACCTACTACTAGTACTACTTCCTACTAGTACCCTCCATGGAATTATAAGTAATTTGATGCGAACTAATAATTGATGTGGCTTATTTGTTCAACATTTGATTTCCACGACTTGCATCATTTGATTTCCACAGTTCTCTTCGTTTTTGCTCAGTTTTTTTCTTAAAATAGATACTGAGAAAACGAATGCGAACCTCGGAAGTCGGAAAAAAATGAGTATTGCTTTGAGGAGCTCTAATCATTGACACCGTGCAACATCGGCTGATCATCTCCAGCAGGTACAGATGTTAAGGCTACCGTTGGACCATCCTCAGCATCGTCCTACCTTCCTTGGCCCTGTTTTCAAGGAAAAGAAGGGACCAGGAGGGAGGCTCTCAGGGATGCGAGCGCGGTAGCTCTAAAGATGACAACAGCCACATCGGGAGGTACAGGTACAGCAGAGAGAACGCGTCACATGCGAGATCTGATTGAGCGCCACGATGGAAAAAGCATTCTTCGTGAAGTGTTGTCGCCAATGCCCTCAAGCAACACTCGCATGCCTACTATGGTTGTGAGCGCCGGAACAGGTGGTAGGGCGGGACTGCAGCAACAAGTACAAGACACGAGAAGTTTGAATGTAAATAGTAGGAGTACAAAGAAAATGACCTACAACAATGCTGCGCCACCAGGTCAGCCGCACCAGCTCATGGACCGCCAGAACCAGACTCTTTCCCAGCAAAAGAAGTCCAAGAGGGATAAGCGAACGAGCAAGAATCCTCATCCACCTCCGACTGCCAACCCGTACCCTATCTCACCTGATTATGGTCTGTCTGGAGACATCGCATTTGCAGGCATGGAGAAAAATACACTTCAACGACAGCACAATCAAGTCGGTAGTCACGGACATCGTGCGGTGGTCAATTTCGATCCAGAGGTCAGTGTGCGTGATGTCGTGGAAGAGGATCAAGAGAGGGAGGACGCACCTGAAGATGTTAAGGGCAAGATGAAGTACACTCAATGACAATGAAGATTACATTTTTTAGTAAAAAGAAAGTCTTATCCTTATGCAGAAAAATAACTGCTCATTTTACCATAAGAAAAAAAGGCTCTAAAATTCTTACTAGGCCTTCACTTCTCATCCTCTAAGATTTGCGCTTCTTTTTCCGACTCGTCCTCCGCAACCGAAGATCCATCCGCGATTGCAAGCAAAGAAGGCAGCAAAGAAAGCACGCTTGTCGCAACTGATAAAAGAGATATTTAGGGGATCAGCACAAGACCGAACATGGGATACACTAACATGGAATGCGTTCAGTGTAACAATGATGGAACCAACATGGAATGTGTTCAGTCGTGTAAAAAAACCTGTGCATCTTCAACAGTAGAACAAAACTACTTTGTTCCGTGCTGGAACAAATCATGGTACTATCAGCTTGATTTTTGTCGTGGTGTTCGTTGAATACGTTCATTCACTCAGAAAGGGAGTCCTCCACCTCCACCAACTACTAAAAAGTGCCGAGGAAATAGAACAAGAAAGAGAGTTCTTTGCCAAGTTGTCCCACGAAGAGCAAAAGAAAATGGTTCTCTGTATCGCGTCCACCGTAAGCCCGACGACATGTTGTGCTGCAACAGGTCGAAGGTCAGCCGCGTCTTTCTTTCTGCCGTCATTGCGTTCTTCTGCACGTCGTACACCACGCACTCGACAAATTGCGGGGCTTGGGTTTTCGGGAACTCGTCGACTGTCGTCCTCCAGTGCATTTGCAGACACCAGAAGCGCACCTTCTTCTGCAGCTTCGAAAGTGCATTTGCACCAAGAAAAAACTGGGGAACAGCAGAAAGTGGTGGTCGAAATAACCGCAAGTTCGGTACGTCGTTTACGCGAAATCACAGGCTCGTCCATTGGCGAATGTCGACGTGCTTTAGTGGAGACGGGGGACAACATAAATGCAGCCCTCGATTGGCTAAAGTGTCGAAATGTCGTAGCCGCGAAGACTTATGATGAAAAGATTTCTCTAGAAGGTAGATAAGCATAAGGTTCCTAGTATTAGTACTGAACACAAGATAAATATTGCAATGAGTAGTTCTTCATCTAAGAGACTCGATGGGAAAAACATTTGGGTGGAAATAATAGTGCGACGGGAGATAGTGCGGACAAAATGAAAGGAGTACTGGAACATCAGCGTCAGCACCTTCCGGAGAGCATTGTGGCTATGGCAACAGCGCCCTCTAAGGCTGGAATCACTAGCTGCTTGCTCCGTCTCGGTGCAGAGACTGACTTCGTCGTCCGAAACGCTGACTTTCAGAATACAGCACTTGATTTGGCAAAGCAATCGACTGAAGAAAGTTCTTCAACAGAAAAATCGACTGAAGAAAGTTCTTCAACTCCTTCAACTTCAACATCTACCTCAGCAATAGTAAGCGACAAAAAAGAACACGATAATTGTGCTTTCAAAGAAACAACCGACCAATTGTCAGGACGTGTTGGGGAGAGTGTCCGAGTTCTCGATGCACTTATACTGTCAGGAGAGCACGTCTTTGGTTATGTTCATCGAGTTGCTGAGAAAGATGCGCAAAACTGTGGTCGCGTAGGGGCTTTGGTTTCGCTGGTAGTAGATGCGGTGAAGACAGCAGATGTGGGCGCATGCGAGTCTAGTCAATTACAACGAGAAGCTGCAGACGTCGTTATTGCAGAAGTGGGTCCCAAAATTGCGCGCCACGTGGCAGCTATGCGACCGCGTTACAAGGTCAAAGAAGACGTTCCCGCAGATTTAGTCGAGTCTGAGCGTCAGATATGTAGAGCACAACTCGGAGCGAAGGACCTACCACAAAAAAAACTTGCTGAGGTGGTAGAGAGGAAGATGGGGAAATTCTACTCTCAAGAGGTTCTTTGTGAACAGAGCTTCCTCTACGACGAAAATTTAACAGTGGGGGAGTATTTGAAGGCACGAGGACTCAGGGTCGAGGAGTTCAAGCTATTGGCATGTAGCTAATACCTAATAGATTTGAACCTGGACCATGATGATGCACTCATAGTTTAATATCAGCGTGGATGCTCCTCGGCACGCTCGAAGATTGTGAATATTTGATAATCGCTTTCGCTAAGTAGCAATGATCATGGGCGGAGCAGTACTTGAGGATACGCAAGCATCTTATATTGCAACAAGAAATAGACATAAATGGTCCAGAAAAGCGCGAATGTGTTCTCGTAAAAACCATTTTAGTTGTGCTCAATAGACTGGTTAGTTGAACTTGAAGAAGTGGTGAACGAGAGATCAATTAGATTTGTGCTGAATTTTGCGATCATGCTTTAGCTGATGTATGATTCTCTTTTTGAGGAATTGAGAGGACTGAGAGGATGACAGATAAATGAAAAAAATGAGAGCAGTCCATGTTACCCGAGATGAAGAAATCAATTACAATTCAGCAGGCATGATTTTGACTTTCTCAAAGTTTTCTTAATCTCAAATCTTATCAATGCTATTCGCTTTTCGTCCCCTATCTATGACCCTTGTTTTATTATGAACACGACTACAACCTAGCATAAGCTTTATTAAAGAAAATGTTTAGCTGATGTTGATGACCCCAGACAAGCTTAAGTAGACCAAACCCAATTATGTGATGCAGAATAAAAAGTGAATCTGCTAAAAAGAAGAAACCAACGAGTACATGTCGTGCGTCAACGTTGTTGTTTTCTACTCACGACATGTACTTGTTGGTTTTTACATAGCCTAAGTCAATGTTGAGTTGCCTTAAATAAAGTACGAACGATTAAATGTGGAGATGATCATGATAGGGTATAATTCCGAGGACACGGGTGGTTCTTACTTCTTCGGTCACTTCGTGGCTGTCTTGGTAAGATGTGACAAGTCTCCCCTATCTAGGCGGATGCGGGTGCGGCTGCGCTAAAAACGAACGTCTCAGAAAGAGAAGCGCCTAGGGAAACGTCATCAAGGACACTCGATGGGATGACGAACATTCACGACGTGGACCTGCCTAGCTAGAAGATAGGGAGCCTCTTCATCTTCTGCTGATGATATATTTTTAGACATTGACCTAGCAGTTCGTTGTCGGTTTCCTTTATAAGGTAACAGTTTCTTACTGTTGTTGGTCAACGTACGTCTTCAAGCGTCCGTGGAGAAACCCTCAACAAGATGACGGACCAAGCTGGGCAGTTCGTGGAGAGTGGGTGGGCGGTGATGGTAGCCATCTTCTGCATCCTCTTCGTGTTCGGCATAACAGCCTACAATATGTACCATCACCTGTACTATTACTCCAAACCGCACCTGCAGACTCACATTCTACGAATTCTCCTGATCACGCCGATCGTGGTACTTATAGATACTTAAGCTTTATTTTGATGTCATGAGCTTAAGTATAAAGTAGTTATAGGTGAACAAGATGGACACGATCATCTACTGAGGACCTAGAATAGAATAATGATGTTGCGATATTACAGCAGTGCTACCTATTTGAGTTAAACGGGCAGGTCATCGTCATTAGCACGACCCTCTTCGATACAGACACAGGGGTCTCAGTCATCATGGTTAACATTGTGCCATCTTCTCGCAGGTCTTCTTCTCCTTTTTCGCTTTGACTTTTCCTGAAGGGCGATTCCCCATCAATGTGCTCCGCGACACCTGGGAAGCTGTTGTCATATACAGCTTTCTTATGCTAATTCTGGAATACATGGGAGGAGAGCATTTGTGCCTCAACAGCATATCCTCTGACTCAGCGGATTATACGGAACCCGTAAAGGAGTTCCATTACTTAAGGCTTCCCTTAGAAAGTGATGAACTCTACTGAAATAGAGAAAGTTAGCTGAACTCTACTGAAATAGAGAAATATGTGAGCCGTAAAGAACGATTAACTGTGGAAGAGATTCTTTCATCTTCAGAGGCATCTTGGAGCGTTTGTTTCCCTAAGGAGAAAGCGAAAGCACGCCAGACGAGATGCTCTCCAAACAACTCGTCACTTTTTCTCCCTTTTTCTCCCACACAGAAAGCAGATTCTTTCATCTTGCAAATCTCTGTAATAACTAGGTTGATCATCCAATCTCTAAACTATCCATGGCCATTCAACCTCTTTTTGGGTGCGATACCGCCAGAGCAGATGATACGGCTACCGAAACGCTGTGCGCTTCAGTTCGTAATCATGAAACCGATAATGTAATGATCTTTCGACTGTTAGTCTTATTCATATTTCATAACGAGCTCATGAAGAAACAATTGAAATTGATTCCCTTTACCGTCTGCTTCTCCCCGCTATGGATATCCATTTAAGGTTAAGAAAATCTAGTATTTCTTTTGTTGATGCAGTAGGAATGTAGGATTTTCTTCAATCGTGACTTGCCAAATGATTGACTTTCGTCCTCCACAGGTCCATTCTGGAGCTTTTTCTCTGGGCGCAGGGAGCACAAGAGCACATATTGGCCATTTTGTTTACGAACTTCGTCTACAATGTGTCCTACAGCGTTGCCCTTTTTGGACTATACCTCATCTACACCGCCAGTAAAAACCACGTGGCGATGCAGGATAAACAGTGCGTATTGAAGTTCGCCACCGTGAAGATGGTGGTCTTTTTAACCTTTTGGCAGGGATATGTCTTTCCAGTTTTCATTTCGAAAAACCAAGAAGCATGGCAAGACTTCGTGCTCATACTTTAAGAACTCTCTTTCGCTCCTAGTGGTAAGTATCTCCGTCAACATCCTGCTCTGCGTCTAGTTCCTCTTAATAAGTAGAGATTTCGAGTACGATATGAGGCTATTTCCCTTTCCAGGACTTCTCGTTTCAGGTTAACAAGATTCGATGAAAGTAATGAAAACTACTTTACCTCAATCTCTACTTCTAATCTTCGGAGTGCGCATTTTTCACCGCATGCATGAGTGTCGCGTTTAGCTGGCGCGAATTTGCGAACGTTGTCCCTCCAATAAAGGAGTACAACTCACCAAAAGACCCAGACAAGATCGCTGGGGCTGGTGCAAGTCTCGGCGTCACTGCAGGATCAACAAGAGGGTTTGCGACGTCTAGTGCAACTTCTTTCCCCTCCGCATCAATGCGGGTACTGCCATCGATGTCCGGTGGCGCGGCTACCAACGGGGCTGATGCTGGGGCTGGTGGTACCACGACCCTTTCAGGGCAAGGACCCTTTCAAGGACAAGGACCCGTCACGACTTTTTCGACGGGAGGGTCACAGACGAGCAGCCACAACAACTATCAGGTGGGTGGCAGTACTGGATCCTCTACGGCAATAAGAATAAACGCGGCTACAAACAATCCAAAGGGAGTTCCATCAGCAACTACCACAACGACGTCTACATATCACTACCAGGAAGATGGAGGTTCACGGGTTGAATTAGCAACGCAGAGAAATTCCCGCTTTTTTGAGTCCACTGCGCACCAGCTGACGCCATCATCAGCGGCTCAGCTCATTAAGGCAGAAAGCCACCTAGAATACGTCAAATGAGTGGTCTATGTAACTACAGCACAGCAACTGCTCTTTGATTCTCATTTGGTATTTCTTATCTAGGAACAACTAGTACTTCGTTCTAGATACAACGCATTTGTTAGGCGGGCAGATCCAGATTCCCTACCCCTCTAAGAAAAAAGGAGCGCCGGGCCAAAGTGACGCCAGTCATGCTGCTACTAAGCTTCACGCATCTTCAGCCCCACCCGCAGCAATACCCGGTCCCCCAGATGTTGGGAGTAGACGTGGTAGAGACCCACATGGCAAAACAATACTCGCGTCATCGGGAGGACCGCCAGCTTTAGCAGGAACACAAATAAAATCCCCCTCCTCTCAACACACTCACTCCCAACAGAGTTATCCGATGAATAGAAATAGTGCTAATCCTCATTTTTCTGGTCTTTCTTCACCTTCTTCATCGTCGCATACTGGAGGAACGTCGCACAGGAAGACGAGTTTATCCTCAAAAAACAATGGAGCTCCTGGTGAGGTAATTGGCAGTCAAACGCTAGGTCTTGGAGGGACTTCACCACTTGGACTCGAAGACGTAGATTTTAGTCGGGCACCGCCGATTGTTGGACAACAAGGTGTGAACATGAACAGTGGTGAAGAAGTGAGTGGTGTAGGTGGTGCAGCTCCGACATCAACATCGGCGAATAATGTTATGAAAGGGTGGAGCTTTTTGTTGAATGTTGATCAACATGGAAGAGCATGCATCCATGTTGATCAAGGCTGGATGGATGCCGAGCCCATCTGGATTTTCCTTAGTATATAGACAGGGAAAATCAAAATCTTTCAGCGAGTGTTGACCTTACAAGATTAATCTACTTAGTAGTCTAAGGATTATACGAGCAGCTCTTCGAAGAACATCAAGGAGCCACGCTGGCTCGCGAACGCAAGGAACGCGTTTCACCCAAAGGACCTGATCAATGACGCAAAGCGGAGTTTTTCCATGCGGTATAACCAGCACGTGTTGATGGAAATGGACGCCCAAGACCATGCCTACGACGAAATTCAACGCACGCGAGAGGAGAACGAGAGAAAAATGGTCGCCAAAATGAACACCGAAATAGACTGGTCAAGTGCAGCTGCGCAAGAGGCATTAGGCGGGGCCACTCATGGGGCCACCCATTCAAATGAAACAAGTGGAAGTGGAAGTGCAACTTCTGGCACCTCTTCGCCGAGTAAAAAAGGTCTGGGTAGTTCTTCCAGCGGTAGTGCAGCACCAACTGGAGGAGACCGAGTCGCGCAACTACAACTGCAAGATAATCCATCACCATCGAGTAAAACCCCTGGAGGGGGGTCGAAATCCAAAGCATCTGCCATGATTGCTAAGCTTACTGGTGGTATCGGAGCATCGTCAAGTTCCAGCTCGTCTTCGTCTTCTCAATCTGGAACCGCAACGTCAAACAATGAGCGGGGGCTTCCATCGGATGCATTAGCACCTGTGGATGAAAGCCAGGGAGACGGAATTTGATTATAACGCGCGAAAGTCAGAACGACCGCAACATTTCTAATTCATTGGGATATTAATCTATCTTCTATTCTAACCAAAATAATTATATATAATTTCTTAATCATGTTGACGTCACTTCGATAAGATGAAGCAATTATGTTGAGTTCTTCTTCGATATCAAGAAGCTAGTACAGAGTTCTGTTCACGCAAGTACTTATGATGCATGTGATGACCATGAAGCTAATGAGATAATACACGACATCACAAGGACTAGGACAACAGGTGTGGTGTTCCGAAAGAGTGTTCAAGATCATCAAACCAGTTCGTCGTTGTTGATGTTCGAATGAGAAATCGACATCTAGCTTATCAAGTTCATCTTCATGGTAGATGATCCAAAATCGCTTTAAAAGATCGTCACAAGAAAGATCTCAATCAAAATCACTGATGATCATCGCTTTCGTAGAGTTCACTGCACCTACAGGCTCCCATAGGGTTCAAGGAAGTGTCAAATGTCAGCCAATGTTCTACCCATATTCTTCTGAAATTTGCTTCACAGGCTGTCACACCAGATTCAAGTAAAAATTTGAATTTATTCTTTTTTCTACTGAATTTACGTTTTTCTTTTCCTCCAGCATCATCAACCACGTACATTAGCTTTTTCAGTAAGCCACCTTATCTATCAGGAGCAACATCATTTTTTAGTTGTAGGTTTTTTTTCCAAGTAGTTCATTCAAGTTCGTTCTAGTACCTTTCTTTTTCTAGAGCCCAACAACAACAGCATCAAAATGATCGAAGTAATCCTGAACGATCGGGTCGGCAAGAAGATCCGAGTAAAATGCAACTCGGACGACACAGTTGGGGACTTGAAGAAGCTTGTAGCGGCTCAATGCGGTGTCCGACCTGAGAAAATACGGATCCAACAGTGGTACAAGGTATTCAAGGACCATATCACCTTGGGGGACTATGAAATCAAAGATGGAATGGGATTGGAACTGTACTACAACTAAGGAGGAGGTTTAGACGGAATCGGAGTGCTGGAACTGGTCGATTTCATTCTGGCGCAAAACACAGAGGTGCAATTGCCAGTAGTTCTTGCACCAGCCACCAGAAACAAGACTAAAAACCGCTTCTTGAAGATGCCTCTGGTCGTTGTGATGCTTCTACTTCTTTGTGTTTGTTGCTACAATTCCTAGAATCTTTGACAGAGTTACTACTGATTATACCTTGAACTTGGAGATGAAGATGATGCGGTAACCCGACGTTTCCCCTTTCCCCGATAGATTGGAAATGAAATAAAGATTGTAGTTGTCTGTATCAAGAAACGGACGAGCAAGAATGTGTTCTTCTACCCAGCAGTGCAGCACGCTAGTCCAGATGAGAGTTGTAAACAACGAAGCATCGGTCAACCAAGTTGTACTAGCTTCGGCTGTGCTCGGTTGTCAATCATTTTCAGCAGGAACAGCACCTTAATAAACATGTTGAAAAGGTTGCAGCTCATCTGTCATGATATCACGGTGATTATGTCGGTGTTGACCTCCTCTGTGACCGTAATCAGTATCAGGAAATTCCAGTGATAGGAATTCGGTAGTAAAAATGATGTAGACAACCACGCCACTGTACAAACTCAAACACTCAACTCGCAGTCCTAGACAAGTATCGGCCCCTTTCTAGACGATATTACTTCAGACCATGATGTTTTCCTGAAATATCATTCACTCAGCTGTTCCACACCTCCAAGCATGCTCATTTTGTAGTAGAATAAGGGAGAGCCAGCAATTGAATTTTTCTTTCATTGTTTTTGAGCGTCTCTTTTGACTTTTGTTTTAATTGAGCTAGTAAGAACATACAAGAGTCATCAAAGAGGGTCAAAAAAATGGCGTACATGATCGATTCCTCTGCTTGGTGGGCCTATAAGCTACGCCAATTGACTCAAAAAGAGTCTTTAACATCGCTCGTTGCGCAATACGCCAAGCTTGAGGAGGAACTACTGAAATCTGATTTCGATCCGCAAGAAAAAGCCGCGCTCGATGCGGCACAAACAACATGGGACAAAACCGTCGTGGCGAAGACCAGTACTCCAGAGTTGTTATTCTCCAGCACAGCAGCTGCGAAGCATGGCAGGCAAGCGGATAGACACGCGTCGTTGGATTTTGACCGAAGACGGTTCGTGCGAGGTGACATGAAGGTGGGACAAGGTCGTCCGCCTAAAGTGCCCCGAAAGACCACCGCACAACAGATACTGTCTTAAGGGTCGAGAGTTGACCTCGCTATCAGCATCTTTATGGCTGCTTCAACTAGTAAAGCCATATTAGATATGCGAGCTCAGAGAGCAGGCCAACTCTCAACCCCTAACTCTCAAAAGGAGGAGCGAAGCTCTCATCAGCTTATCAGGGGACGAGGAGCTACTTTGAGAGTCAAACACCTCTCGAACGTGAGGCGGAAGAGATTCACAAACGGGCAGAGAAAGGCAAAGCCGCTTGGACAAAGTTTTTAGAGGAACGCGACAAGGAAAACGCTGCTGCACTGAAGGCTGCAAGCACAAGTGCTGAAGCTGCAGGGAAGATTGTACAAGATTCCAAACCTGGAGCTCATGCAGATCAAGAAACAGAAGTTAACACTTCTACTTCTGCTTCTAGTAAAACAAAGAAGAACAGGATCACGTACAGCCCATACGCTATGCAACTGCAATGGCGAGACTTTTCAAAATTGCGTAGTTTAGTCGATGCCAAATGGCAAAAATGGGAGAACGCGTTGGACGCCAAATGCGGACAAAAACTTCATGGTCAACAAGGAGGAAGCGGCGGAAGTAGTAGTACGTCCACTTCTACTTCTAATGGGAGTACCTCTAGACATATAGAGTGTCATCAGGAGATGCGTGACGTGCGAGAGCAGGAAACTTCATTGAGCAACGCTGGAAGATCGCTGCGAGATTCGGGTCTTCCTCTACCCGACAAACAGTTTCCTGAAACTGTGTGTCGCATGGTTAATGAGGAAAATTGTGCCTCAGGAACGGAGACGTATGCTACTGCGAACGGAAATCCAACGGCCTGCTGTGGAAGCGATGATCCTACCAAAAATCCAAAGAGGTGTGGAATCAATCCGAGAGTGAGAGTCAGTGCAGACAGGGACCACAGTGTTTCACTGTCGGGTAGCCGTGGAGAGCAGATAAGAGCTTTGGGAGAACGACACAGTGCAACACAACTGTTAGTTAAGGCTACATCGACCTTTGCTTCTTATTCTTTCAGTTTCAGTTTACTAGCCTTAGCTGAGTGTTTATAGGTGTTCATGACTATGCATATGCTTGTAGTTTCCATTTTGTTCTCATCTAACCCTTGCCGATGCTTGAAGAAACTTGGCGTTTTACCGGTGGATCAGGAACTGGATGGAGGATCATCGCTGTCTTCAAGTGCAGTTGCCGCTCCACACGGTGATCTACTGCTTACGTCCTCGTTTCTCGGACACACGGTGTCGAAAGTCGCAAACTACGTGGCATCTTCATCTAGACCTGTGACTGCTTCGTCGTTTGGGATCTTCCCTTCGTTCGCTAGGAGCACAGGTGGAAGTAAAAATGATGTGTCTGGGAGTAGTGCTTTATCTCCCTCTCCCGCTGGTGCTGGGCCTTCTCCTCCTCCTCCACCTCCTGGGGATGATCAACAGGCACAAACTAATACCCCTTTCACCTCCTCCATCCCACAGCAGCAAGCTGTTCTGACTTGGAGTTCTCGTGGAGGGATTCGCCCGATCTATGCCCGCAAGTGGGATACGATACGGGAGATGATGAAGCTGTCCAAACGGATTTCTGAGTATCTAAAATTCGTCAAGATATCACCGGTTGTCTACTCTGATCTCGAAGTAGATCGCTTACATCATCGAGGCGGAGTTGATTTCGCAGACGGGCTAGCGCCTGAAGTGGCGGAGGATCAGCATGGCGGTTCGGACCACGGGCAGGGTGATGTTGTTCGTGGTGGTGCTTTAGCAGATGAACAACAGGAACAAGATCCACATAATCGTGGTGACCATGGTCATGGAGATGAGCATGTGCAAGATCAAGATCATTGCGAAGGCATCAGTTCTGCAGCCGCTCACCAGCACTCTCCGCAGTGGTCCATTGGAGATGTGACTCGAGAACGCCTTCGAATCGCAAGGTTTCTAGACGAAATTATGTTTTCAACTGGGAAGAAGTATGTTACCAACAGGCTAGCAAAAGTCTGGACCGCATTTCCGAAGTCTCGACCTGACGTCTGTGCACCATTGCAAGGTGGCTCCTTTGCGTGGATACAACCAAATACACCGATAATTGTAAAACACACAGTAGACCAGGGCCAGTCTGGCACTGCAGCATCCTCAACACCTTCCGTAGAGCCACCTAAAGAAGAGTGGTGGGAAAAGGATAAATCCTCAGAATATGCGACTTCCCATAAAGAATTTGAGGGTGGGCGTGACGGAGAAGCACATGAAGATGATGATTTTTATGGCTATGATCCATGTACTAGAACTAGAAAGCAGTAGTGAAGATGAAGCGTAAATTGCTTTAATTCATGTTGTCCACGACATCGTTATTTTTCTAACAACCAGCAGCTAGCAGTGGAATCCTAGTGGGCGACAGGAACCGATGGTGGCCTAGGTCAGGTGAGGACTTTGAAAAGAGTGCGAAGTATTACGCAGCTCGGACAGTCTACGTTGACCCAAAGTTTGCTCCTCCCCGTAATATCAAAGGCAAGGACCACAACTACGATGCTGGCGCATCAGCTTCATTAAGGCAACGCAGGGTGCATGATCCGCAACTACATTGTCTTTGATTTCCTTTTCAGGTACTTATAGAAAATAAATATAAAAGAAACTTTCCTTTTCAGGTAGAAAAAGAAACCAAGGATGCTACCAGGGATGCAACGGCGATAGGTCTAACTTCAGCATCTAGCGCGGAGGATGAGGATAAAGACGAAGACCTCTTACCCGGAGCGGCACGTATTAAAGCCATGCTGCGAAACAAGGGTAGTCGTGGAACAAGGAAACATTTTCTTGATGATGAAGTGCCAGATGAATATAACCCTGGTGTTGACGATGTTCCTTGTCGTCCGGGTGAGCCCTTGTCATGCACTCGAGAACTACGACGGTTCTTTGATGTCGAACCGATACGTATGGCGAAAGCATGATGTGAGAAAAAGAAACTACGAGTTGGACTTTTGGTAGTGAACAAAGTGAAAGTGAAAGAAAGCACAACTTTGTACTCTTAGTTCCAAGAAAAATCCGAATATCATCTGTAACACGAACCCTCTCACAGCTGTTCGTTGTAGATGAGGAAAAAGAACAGGGCGTGTGGAGTCATCTTCATCACTTTCCATGTTCTTCCAGGTCACGACGCGTAGTACAAGGAGCTGATCCGTCAAAAGCGGCTTTATTTCACAAGCCTACTTCAACAACCTGTCTTTCTATTGAATCGGATTTGGTGTCGGTGAGCAGCGAAAAGGATCCACATTGCATGTGCAACCATTCTTCAATGTTGTAGTAAACGATCTATGACGCCCTTATGGCAGTCTGCACTGAACTTTGTGCGAGATTAATTGTATTGTATCCGATCTTTGTTGAGAACCGCTGCAATGACGTTCATTATGTATCTGTGAGAAAATGGTTCCCGTTGTGAAGACCCAGCGTAAGAAACCCGATCCAGTGTAGGGAGTGCTTGATACGGCTTTTTGTTTTTTTGTCCGCATTAAACATAACCAGAGATCGTTCGTATCTTATGATCTTTGTCAGTCTTCCCGTTCCCCCCCGCCCCCTGCGATTGCGAGAGTTCCTCATGCTCATTGTTTTGTTGATAATCACGCGAGGAGCACCCTAGTAGTACCTAAGTAACCCTAAGGCAGCTAAGGTCCACACAAACACATCTTCAAAGACGCCTACACCAACAAAAAATGGCGTTTCATTCCGCTGCTTCGTTGCTTGGCTCCTTCCAACCCGGAGGAAACCAGTATGGCGCTCAAGGGTCAACTGGTGCCTCCAGCACAGGAGGAGCATCTTCTCCAGGAGCACCTGACCATTTATTCGAGATGTGCCTCAAGGGGATTGCCAAAAAGGATGATGCCACCAAGATGCAAGGTTGGGTCAAGATGGGGCAATATTAAGGCTACCCCTAATCCATCTCTATAGGAATCCCTCAACAATATGCATCCCCATACTTACAAGGGGATGAATACTGTGGCATATTGTTGAGGGATTGCCACAGGGATGCATTAGCGAGAGCTCTAACAATACGTCCAAAAAAAGGCAGAGGACATAGAAGATCTCAAGCAAGCTTTCGCGGCCGTAGAGTTCAAAAGGGCATGGTTGGAAACGACGGCAAGCGAATCCAGGGTCCGACATGCGATGGCGCAAGCCATCGGAGACTTCGTCTTTATACTGGGGAAATCGGCTCCGAAAATACTGTTTCAGAATGGAGCTGGTACTACATGATGACACTTTATTATAAATAAGATTAAAATTTATTAAAATGTTGATATTTTATTGTTGAGTGAGTAGATCTTTCTCGCCACTCGTTTGTTGACGACCACTAGATCTTCATTATGGCAAAGGTTGTGTTTTCTTTTTATCGCAGGAATGCGACCACTGCTAGGTCTGGCTCGTGTTAATGAGTTTTCCACTTTCAATCAATGCAGGTATAATTTGGTACCTTCTTTTGTTCGATGGCACACCTTCCGTTTCGCAAATGGCGAAAACACAGTTCAATCGCTGTTTCACTACGGTGGAGAAAAGACGGGCTTTGATTGACCTGTGTCGCAAAAAAGAGCGGAATTTTCTTACCGCAGTGCTTGCCTACACGCCAGAAACGCTTGCTGAGTATCTGGGGTGCAAGAAAGACGACACCCACGCTGAGCGCTACGACCATGCGCTTGCGTCTGCGGTTAGAGCGTTAACGAACTTTGTCCAGGTTTTGGACTTGCCTGCTAGTACTACTGGAGATGCCTCTACTTCTTCAGCACCTAGTAGTACAACTGCAGGAGCTACACCAGAAGCGTCAACGTCAACCATCAAGAAGACGGAGGTGTTTTTCTCAGGCTCATTATTGCAACGTGCAGAACGTCTGCCGAGATTACAAGAGGCTCTGAAAGGTGCAATCTTGGTTCTCTCATCACCGAGTCTGACAGAACAAAGATTCTTCGAGGATACGACATCTAGATCTAGTGGTAGTTCCAAGAACAACAGCGATGGAGGAAGTGTAATAAAGCAGGAAACGAAGATTCTCCGAACATTTTTGCAGCTTGATGATGGCAATTACGTTCTGCAGCTCTTGCGGAACTTGGGACAGCATCCTCGAATAGTCAAAGTTTTTTCCGAGAAAAAGGAGTTCTATGGCTTTCTGCCTAGAAGATTCTTTGCTGATTTCGAATGGCGTTCTAGGTTAGTGACGGCGCTGCCGGATTTGCTACCTTTTGCTGGAGGCGGAGATAAAGATAATACAGAAATCTTAGACTACGTGTTGCCAAATTTAGCGGCAGAGAAGGACCTGAAAAGGTATTACGAAGCAATAGCGGTTGTAGATCGGCAACATCGTGAACGAAGTTCATGCAATGGTCAACAACAACAAGAAGACGAGGAGAGCCAGAACCAGAAGGACGATCGTACTCGAAATGAAGATGCTGAGAAAAAACTGACAGAACGAATGCTGGCGCCAGTGTTTACGTTCCTGGCCGCGCCCGATGCAGGTTACAGTGCTGATGTTACCTCTACAGGAGCTGGCGAACTACAAAACCAGGATCATGAACCTTCAGCGGCATCTACTTCCACAGCTACAGCACAGCCTTTCGCCCGTAAGCGTTTCGTTGCCGCCACGCCGATTGGGTATTGGAGTGAAATCGAGAATGTGTCGTCTCTAGAGAGCCAGGTACGAGCAAGTGAGTTTGGGAGTAAGATTCATGACGCTGCTAGTCCCGTTCGAGCAGTGCAAGTGGTGGGAGACTTGATGCCACTCTATCCCACTCTGGCGTCTGAGAAGGCGGCACAGATGCTAATGCCGATTCTTCGTCGCTGTAATTTGTTCTACTCGTGGTCAGACAAGGAGGACAAAAATACATGCAACGCACCAGCTTCGATCCTAGCAACTGTTCAGGCCCTTATGAGGCGTGACGCCGAAACGCTGAAGACCGCTGGTTGTTCTTGTGAGAGGAGTGCTAGATCGAAGCAAGTCGCAGCTTGTGCCGCCTTCGCCAAGTTTCTTGCTTTGCCCGGCATTTTGGGTCTCGTTCAGAAGGAGTGGCTTTATTATGGCTCAGAACCCGGTAGCGTTGGCGTTGCAGAAGAAGCGTCCTCGGCTCCAGCATCGACACTATTGCTCTATTTGGCAGGAGCAGCAGCTGTTTACCTGTTCTACGATGTTGATGCAGTGGATGTTACACAAGAGGGACGTGCCAGAACTAGAAGAGTCCCAGATCTCACTTTCTCTTCTACTGCAGGCAACATGTTCCGCACAATAGAGGAAGCAGCTTCGAGATTAGTAGAACATCATACGGAAGTTGAAGAGCTTTCACAATTCGTCTGTAGCCTAATAGCCGAAATCTTCGACGAAACTAGTACCAACACCGTCCGAGCATACACCTTACTTCTATCCCACACCAAAACGTGGACGATTCCCAGCTCCCTTGTCGATGCAGTTCTCACGGCGCCGCAAGCAGACTACTTTGAGAATGTCGGTTTTCTACGGCTTTTGGCAACGAGATTGTTTCAGAGACAAAGAACTGCTCAGGGGAAGAGTCATACTCCAGAGCAAGACAAGCCCTTAGACAAACTCGTGGACCGATACATCGCAGACTATCCGGAGGTCCTGTTGCCCTACGTCATCACAGAACAACGGATTCACACCTATGCGCCACTGTTTTTCGACGACTTAGTTCGAGAAAATCACGAAACTTTGTGGAGGCAGTGGCTATCGAATGTAAATGTCAAGGGAGGAATTGGCCACCACGTTTTGGTCCACACGTTTCTCACCTTCTCGCACAAGCTGTCTCTTCGTACTCGACGACTTGTCTCGGCGTCAGGTGGAACATCGATATTAGAAGAGGTCGAAGGTAATGGAGAAGTGCTCCCTGCTCATGACCGTCCTTCTGCAATCGAGGAACATCAAGACGATGATGGCCTTTTTGAGGACTATCTAGAACATGTGACGCAAGTAGTGGAGCCAGGGACACAGCATGCTCCGATCAATTTGCTGCTTGGAGCATGGAGCTGTACGCCTTCGGAGGTGGCGGCAGCGCTGGAGAAAATATCACCATCAACTCAGTCACGTGGCACAAGAACCTTTCGGAGCACAAGGAAACTGACTGGTGACGACATATCACCCACTATTGAGCGTATGACATCTCCTGTCTCTGGTACTGGTGGAGGAGTTGAAGCGATGAACTCTAATTCCTGGCCCCCTGTCAGCAACTTCGGTGGCTGGAGCACGTTTCTCAACTTGTGCAAGGCTGTAACAGAAGCGGAAGCCGAAATTGATGAACAAGAAGTCAAAGATGACAACATGTTGTCTATGGCTTCCCTAGGTTTGTCACCCTTCTTCCTTCTCAGACGAAAAACAGGAGTTTTGCCGGTTGTAAACATCGGCACCTTGAGTTCCAGTACTAGTGAGGTGGTGCAACAACATCAAGCAAGTTGTAAAGCATCGTCCTTGCAGATGTCCTACTTGTGCCTCATGGTTCGATACTACCTACAGCATTTGCTTGCTCAACATCTACAACAACGTCGTGTAGAAAAAACAGACATCCAGCAGACAGAAGCTGTGTTTACCAGCTTCTTGAATTTTCTCAGGCCTGGTGCTGCGGGTGCGACGTCATTTGCGCCAAAACAACGCACTTTCGGACGCGGTGCTGCTTCTTCTAGAGCATCAAATGCGACTAGCAGCAGTGTCGTGGGGGGAGCTTACATCGTTCGTCAAGCTCGTCAAGGAGAACAAGGTGAAGTAGGATCTTCTGTCATGACATCGCTTTTAGAATACGCGCAACAGCACGATGAGATGGAAACCGTGGCGCTACTTGCTCATACACAGGAAGCATCTCCTGTTCTCGAACAAATTCAATCATTCCTTCTTGAACCGGCAAAAAATCGTCTTCAGATCCTCAACAAGGTCCATCGAGACCTGCAACAGGAGTCTCTGCGTCCGTTGTCGCCAAGGGATCATATCCAACAAGGTTCGTCGCCGTCAAAGAAGATGTCTACTAAAGCTTGTATCTATGACCCTCTAGATCTACGCCTGATGCGTTTCTTCGGTTCTATTACTCTTCTGTCGCAGTCCCCGTCCAAGGCTTCCTCGATCACTATGAAGACGGGAGGTGGTCCTCCTGGTATGAAGACCACATTGTATACTTGGCTTAGATGGGCTTGGAAAGCGGGCGTTGTTAAACAAGAACAAAAATTAGGGACATCCGCACTTCCTGCTCTACCCGACTCACCAAATAAGGTGCATCCGCAACCAGTTCTCTCGAATTCTTTGTTAGATACCCTTGCAGGCAAAGAAAAAGACTCAGAACAAGTAATCCTCGCTCTTCAGGCTTGGAACGCAGAGATTACAGGAAATAGTAGCACCTCGTCTGCCGCCGTTGACGTGAAGCTCCGGTTCGCCCATCGACTGCGGCTCGTCGCCTGCGCACAGCAAAACATAGCACAGGCAAGACAGCGCCGTCGACTGGTAGACTCAACTGCGGGCCCGGAACAAACGCTCAACCAGATACTAAGCTTGCAAGGAGGAGGTGTAGAAGGTGAACAAGGAGGACATCAGAGGCAAGGACAACAAAGTCAAATTCTTAGAAAGGCTCTGGAAATCGATGTAGAAGTTGAAAAGAAAGATGGAGAAGATGATGACGACACCAACGAAGGTGGGGACGAACTTCTTTCTATTAAGGGTTCCCACATTACATCCTTCACTAGCATCCCTGACTCTTTTTTCAGTAGGAAATGAGTCAGGGATGTTCTGAGGAATGTAATTCAGTAACCTCTAATTCTAGTGATTCTGATGTCGATGTCCAGGACGTGAGCTCCTCTGAGATGTCGTCAAAGTCTAAACTTCGATTTCGCGACGATGACAGTGTAGATGGTCCGATTTTGCGTGCTGTTGACGCAGACGAAGAAGTACTCACAAAGGCTGCAACTTCTTCTAAACCCGGAACATCAAGCACTAGCAGAGCTGATTACCTAGCCGGTGAGCTTGCGCTACTTCTGAGCGGCAAGGATGCTCGTGACCTCGCAGATGGCATCGTCTCAAACGCAACTTCGTTATTCGACAGCGAGTCGTTGCAAAAACTTGAGACATTGTACGACCTGTCCAAGAAGGGTGCCCTCGGTGAGGCCCTTTTCCCACGTCAGAGTTCGTCAAGCGATTTAGGTGTCGCTCCGGGAGAGATGATGTCGCCATCTTCCCAGTCGAAGAATAAAGCTGGGACTATCTTCACAGCTGGAAACAACAAGGCGACGGGAGCTGCCACATATCTTCACGAGAAACTACATATGTGTGCAGGCTTTCTAGAAGCCGATCAAGCCGATCAAGGAGATGTGGATCAAGCATTGGCTTTGGCACACACTCATGAAGATGAAGTGGAAGCTCCAACAGTTTTTGCTTGCCTTTCGAACGCGAAGATCCCCACTGCAAGCACAAAACCAGAAGATATTGACATTGCGCACTCGTTCCTAGAACTCAGTGGCAGCTGTTTTTCCGCATGCCCTTCTCTCTTAGCGCGGTGCGCTGGCCGTCCAACCACAAGCCAGATTCCTAACGAAAATGATGTGGAGAGTTTTCTCGGACTCTCAAGCTCAACTTCTGGAGTTAAAGGGAATCGTCAAATTGTGCCTTCGGCAGCAACTAACGGGACGGCAAGCACTGCCGCCACGAGTAGTGGATACAGTGGCTTTTTTTCATCTTTGAAAAATCCTTTTCGAGGTGGAAGCAATGGCACAACTTCTACAAACGGAAAACAACAAGCTACTACTACAGCATCAGCGAATGGTGCGTCAACAGTAACGTCAGCACAAACTGGACCTCCCTCGAGTCAGGTACTACCGCCAGCAACAGAAGAGCAGAAACTTTTGGCGCAGCTTGAGCGGCGTGTGCGAGCATCCCTGCCTGCTTGGTCGGCGTGGTGTGCACTAGCTGGAATGGCTGAGAAGCGAGACGTCCATCTTCTTTGTGCCTTACCCGCTACCTCTCAGATTTGGACCACTGTTCTGGATTCCTTACGTCAAAGGCCGAGCATGTTCCGCGTTGTTCGACAAGGTGGAGGTGGACTTGAGGAGGAGGTTGACTCTCTTGCCCAGCAGAATGGTTTGTTGGGTTCATCTTTCCCGATGCTTGCGGAGATGGACCGTGATGCGGTGTTGCGTAAGCTAGCTGCGAGTATCCCTCTAACGGAAGGCAGTCGAAGCGTATTCAGCGTGACGGATGCTGAGATGCTTTTTCAAGTAAATCAGTCCTCCACAACAGGAGCATCTTCTCCATCAACCAAGGGTTCGAGCAGCTCAACGACCTCTGTGGGAACTAGAATTCTCCTTCTCCTAGTTGAGGAGTATTTTTGCGATTGTGAGGATTTCGTTCTCATCGCTTTGGAGCGCTTGCAACGAAAGGGCTTGATCAGTGTGGAAAAGCTGCTCTTGTTACTCGAGTTAGAGACGGCCTCAAGAAATGGAGGTCAAACTTCTACGTCAACAACCTCCCCTGGTCAACATGATACAACAAGTGGTAGTGGCCACACTTCTTCGAGAACAGCTTTCTTGGTAAGCGTGTGGCAGCTTGTCTTTTCGATGCTACGCGCAGTCAAGTGTCCCCTTGACATTGGACTTTCGTCTGGTGGCACAACGTCTCCTACAACAACTTCGCAAGAACTGAAGAACAAGGTGGTCATCCCACTGATGGAGAAGGTGGAAGAGTCTTCTGGAGACGAGGAGGGAGAAGAAGGAGAACAAACATCCTCGACGAAGATGTCCTGCGGTGCATGTTCACCAAGTTTGGCGATAGATAGTTCCTTCACCCTAGCCGATGCAAAGTCCTTTACCCGTGTCGCCGTCCGTTTATCTGACGCTGCGCTCTCGACCCTTGTCGACAGCTTTCTCCACGAATTTTTAAAGGAATTCCAAACTTTCACAGAACAAGTGACCACACCAGAACAACGCGCGATGTTTGTGGAAACTGCACTGCCTGTGCGAGCGGGGTCGTCGTCGTCACAGAACAAGAAGAATCAACATAATAAAGCTGTAGAAGAGAATCAAGACTGCTTACAAGATTTCGATGAGATTGCGCCAACAGTAATCACCGACTTGCTAGCGAAGGACAATCTCGTGTCTCAGGCTGAAACTTTTCTCTACCTGGGTATTCCAGAAGACGCAGGATCAGATAATATCTCATTGTTAAAAGCTGTGATTTCCTCCACGATTGTAAGCGAAAACCCAAAAAGACAACGTCATAAAACTCCGACTAGTACTATAACTACGACCGCCCCTGCTGCTTCTGGTAAGAGTGAAGGGAAAACAACTGCACCAAGAATGCGCCCTCTTTCTCTCAAAGCAGTAGCAGAAGTAGTGCGTTGCAGTCGCTTGCCGATTGTCGAGGACATCGTGGTAAGGCTGTCAGAACGCCTTCGAGCCGCAGAATTTCTCAAGTCTGAGAAAGGCAACCTCGTCTTCCAGCATTTCCGCTTACGGCAACTGCTGGAAATGTACCTAACGGACTTGCTGTCGAATAGTTTCTTCGTTCGGTATTTGAAGACACACAGAAGTCGATGCTGTGCAGCTTCTGGGATGAATGGCTATCAGGCTTGGAAAACTCTAGACGCTTTTTACGTAAAGCATTTGGTGAATACGGTGTTTTTACCGAGGCAAATACAGCGTGCACGCGAGTTGCATGCGAAAGCTGTAAAAGCAGGAGACGAAGGCATGGCCGCTTTGGAAATCAAATTCTCGCTTCGCAAGACAGCACGCGTAATCGAGCTTGGGATCACACGAGACGAATCTTCTTCGCAGATCAGTTTTCAATTAGTCGAAAACTTTCCTTTAGGGGCCTTGGCGGAAGCTAGTCCTAGCTTAGGCTTAGGAGGAGGAGCAGGAGGCTCCTCGTTTGGTCAACAAGGTTCAGGATTCTCAAACTCCACCAGCAACACCAACATGATGCTCCATTATAGTCCCCGCACAGGCGCTGGCGCACAGCAATCTGGTTCTAGTACTGCTTCTCCAGTGCAATTGGTAAAAATGGAAGCAAATTGGAGTTTACTCGATGGTGCTGGAGGAACTGCTTCTGCTATTGGGGTGTTAGGAATTCCAGCAGCGAAATGCAGAAAATGGGAGATAGCCGCTCGTGCTGATGCGGACTCGACTTGCCTTTTCCCGGAATTGGTTTTATGAGTTCAATTTGATGTCTTTTCCTTGAAGTAGAAGTTTCTCACCCTCTCGATAAATAAAGAACAACAAGAGATGATTCGATTTCAATTACTTATATCATTGTTTTTTTCAGCAGGTGCCGGTGGAACTCGTTGTGCAGGATCCATAACCTTAACCTAACCTAACCAGTTCAAGAGCCAGGGCCGTTCTTCTGATCATTTCAATAAAAATTCTTTCTTCCTCTAATAAGCATGAACAGTTGGTTGGCGAATATCTCATCTCACTTCGATGGCGTGGAGGATTGCATGATATGTTACTCCGTAATCGACACCAAGACTGGAGAATTACCGAGAAAAGCCTGTCCAACGTGTAAAAATGTCTTCCATGCACGCTGTCTGCAGAAGTGGTTCATGAGCAGCGCGAAGACGAAATGCCCCTTGTGTAAGCAGGATTGGGTGAAATGAGCTCGGAAGCTCCCTTGGGAGGGGAAGGAGGAAATAGAGTGGGAAAAGAAGACATCTCGCCGATGTGAGAATTTTTCTCTTCAAATAATCTCACGCCAACCACCTGAAGATGCTAATCTTCTTCAAATTTTATCGCCAGGATGCGATTGTGTTTGTGATCTAATGACATCAAGAGTAACAACTGGCATTCTCGATGCCATGATACTTGGCAAAACTACTTTGGCGACTCGAAGACTTTTTCAAAATGTTCATGTCGATGTCGCTTGACGTCAACAGAATATACTTACACCGAGTTGTTGGACCTTTATTGACGAGAACTTTATGGTTGCTGGCCAACATTGGACTTTGTTCAAAGGCATAAGCCTGAAACTCCTACTTTTGGGACGATTCGTCCAACCTGTGATGCATGCCTTGTTCTTCATGTTGAAGTAGCGCTAAAGTTGAAGTTCTTGATCGTCATGGTGATGTCAGACTAATGACCACTGAAGACGACGCATGGATGATTTTCGCGATTTTCTACTTGAAGAGCAGGCCAGTGCGTTTTTGTGAAGGTGTCGTGTGTAGTAAGTAGTTGATTAGTAGACATCCGTACATTTCCTCTTCGTTCATCTGCATGCTTTTTTTTTGAAATTTATACGTAGGTTGTGGATAATGACTGGAAGCCACCGAACCTGATTAATGCAGAAAGACACGGGAAAGTCGGTAGAATTGTTGAAACACGACCATTTTGACACGGAAACACAATTTTGACTTTGAGCCAGCGAGTAAGAGTACCAAAAATCGAAACAGAACGAGGCTGCAACGATGTGGTCTTCGCGTGTCTTCTTGCGCTCGTCGCTAGTGCCGGCCCTTTTCTCTAGTGCCAGCGCATCCGCATTGGCAAGCCTGACCCAGTACTGGATGGATTATTTGTTTCCGGAGAGTCGTGGTCCTCCGAGTGTGAAAGTACTCGTTACCGGATTAAACGGTGAGTGCCTACTGGAAACGACGCTCGATGCTGACGCGAATATCGCCGAGGTGGTGGCTCAGTGGCATGAACAAAACCCGGAGAAGGGCGACAATGCTTATGACTTGAAAATACTGGAAAGCGATGGGCTAACGATTTTGGATCCGTTGGCGAAGTTGCACGAATTGTTGGAGGTAAGGCGGGTCGTTGAGTTTCAGATCGAAGAGAAAGGGAACAATGAGAACTCGCGAGGGAGCGCTACCACTACTAGTAGTGATAACTTTGCAGTTGCACCACCACAAGAAGGTAGAAATAAGGGAAGAGGACAAAATCCCGCGGGCGTATTGTTGAGGTTGACTGGGGTAATTGTGCAGGGAGACCTTATTCCTCCAGCAGAAGTCGATCATGAGGACTATCAGAAACGATGGGATGACTTTACCTCCCCATTCTTCGCAGGACTCTCATGGTTATGATCGCGAGGAAGAGCAAAATGAAAGATGAGAAAGTCAGTCTTTAGATTCGTGGAAGAATATGATTTTCTTCGACCGACGATGAAAGATTTAAGTATAATCCATTTTTGCCTACTACTACTTTCTTATGCGAACCTAGCATAATAAGTAAAAGAAGAAGAAAATTTGTCAAATTGAAGTTTAAAACCAAAGAAATGCACCTGGGTGTTCGACGACAGTAGCCAGAACCTCCTATGTATCGCGAAGATTCTCGCGACACAATGTAAATATGCATGATGTTGACCTCAAACTCAATGTTGAGGTAAATTCTATGAACTACTGATGAAGATTTAAGTACAAACTGCGCTAGCTTTGGTCATGCTTGCCATGTTCTTTTTCAATCGCAAGTACAGTTTCCTTTCACGACAGTTACAGGCAGGTTTGAGCTCTAAACTCTAACTCCATTGACCGCTATCAAAGTTCATGCCATGACGAGCTTTAGTTTCCTCCTGAATGAATACAAAAACATGCCACTTACGCGTAAGCGCTCCAGAACTACCTCGGCTTCGTCCTCCGACAACGAGGGGGGACTGCCCTTGAGCGAGAAAATCAAAAAAGACATCGCTAAGCAGCTAGACCGTTACACTGACGCTGTGAAACTCGAGTCTGGAAACAACAGGGCCACTGGAGAAGTAGTCGAGCTGCAGAACCAGATCATGTCCTTGCAGCAAGAGCTTCGTCGGGAAAAACTAGATCGCCGTCGGGCCGAGGAAGAGCTCCGTCACGAAAAAGAAAAGAATGAGGAGCTGGAGAGCTTCACTCTCGATACACATGGACTGCTCAATAAGCAAACCATTCGTGCCAGCATTGATCCTCACATGACTAGTATTTTTTCGCCTGCAGAGACTTCGGAAATTGTGGGAGCGGTACTCCTCGCGCTGCAAACGTATACCCGGCATGGGCATAGCAATCTTCAGTTGATTGTATCAAAGTTCGAAGAAACTATTGACTACGAATATCACATGTCTTGCGGCTTTGGGATGAAGATGATAATCCCATGCGAATCCTGGATGAACATTATTTTTCCTTCAAAGAACAACTTCAGAATGTGCATCTACAAGCTATATTAAGAGCAACGTTGCACCGCAAAGCTGCTGCCCTTGTAGCTGATACGACTGGTACGTGGAAAATGCCACGCGCGTTTTCACTCGCGCTAATGTTTGTTACCTACACGTGAGGCGATCTAGAACCCTCCTCCGCGTGAGGATAAACTTAATTGAAAATAACACGTAGGTACAACTACGGAAGTTGCACACTCATTCTATGCAAGTAGACGGGATGAAGATCGCACTGATGCCCGACCTGAGGTGTTCACATGAATGTATCATGCTAGAGAAAACTACACACTTGTTCAAGAAAAACCGGTCAATACCGTGTTTCTGGTTCTCCCAAGCCGTCGTGATGGTGATACCTGGTTCAGTTCTTTCTCGGCTGGTACACGTCGCGCCATAAGTTCGTATCTTCCACAATAAATGCGTCGGTGCCCTAGGCTCGGCCGTCTGATCCATGTGAAGGATCATACTATTATATATTTATTAAGTATACTAGACTTCAGCGCCCGATAGCTCTCGTCCCTCCACTAGAATCCTCCACCTCCTTCGAGCATTTCCGTCGCCAAGGCGCGCCTCCCCCGCTCCTCTTCCGCCACCTCGCGGCGCTTTCCTGGCGAAGCGGTCCGCGCCAGAGGAGTCGGAACAGAGGCGCCGCGGAATTTAACAGAGGGGGCCGCTTCTGTCTCTGAGGTTTTTGAGATGTCTCAAGGTGTGTCTGCTTTTGAATTTAGTGCAGGGCTTTGGATTGGGAGCCTTGGGCGCGAAGCTTCGCACGTAAGTCGCTGGGGTGGAGACTTGGGGTGAGATTGGTGGAAGCTTTTGGTTTGCAGCTTGAAGCCCGCGACCGCTTGCAGTGTGAAGCTTTGGGCTTCAGCAAAGCCCGAAGCGTAGGGCTTCGGGCTTGGCGCTTTGATTTTGAAGCTTTGGACTCGAACGAAGTGCCGGGCTTGAAGGGTTTTGCCTGGAGTCTTGGATCTGAGGCTTTGGGGCTGCATTCCTCAAATTCAAAAACTTCTGACTTTCGCAAGTCTTTCTGAGATTCAATTGCTTGGATTTGAATCTCCCAAATCCAAAAATTTTCGACTTTGGCGAGCTTTTCTGAGACTCAGCCACTTGGGTTGGAATTCCTCAAATCCAAAAAACTTGCGATCTTAACAGGCCTCGCTGGAGTTCAATTTCTTGGACTTCAATTCGCCAAATCCCAAAATTTTTGATTTTAGCAACTTTTTCCGCAATTCAATTTCTGACATTTCAATCACCCAAATCCGAAAATTTTTGATTTTGCGAAGTTTTCGCGCGATTCAATTTCTTGGGTTTCAATTTCTCAAATTCAAAAACTTCGACTTTGGCAATTTGCTTCGAAAATTCAGCCTCTAGCCTGGGTCTCGATTCCTCATTCAAATCCGAAAATTTTTGATTTTACCAAGTTTCGCCGAAATTCAATCTCTTGGCTTTCAATTTATATATCAAAGAAATCCAAAAGCCCTCGACTTTGCCAAGTTTTTCTGAGGGAGACTCAATCCTTTGGATTTGATTCGCGAGCTTAGAACTTCATAGATTCGTAGACGCATGAACTCGCAAGCTTATAAATTCGTAAATTCATAAGTTTTAAATTCGTAAACTCGTAAATTCACAAATTCGTAAATTCAGAAGTTCGGAACTTTGTAAGTTTGTAAGTTTGTAAGTTCATAAGTTCAAAAGTGAAAGAGCGAGAGTTTGGGGTTTTGGAAGTGGGAGAGTGAGAGTTTGGCGGGGTCGTTGTTGTTTTTTAATTTAGCTCTATCTTTAATATTTACTTAGTAGTTTTTACGATTACGACTCGCTTTCAGGTTTTTTTTGACGTAGCTAGAGAACGTTCATCTATCAGGAACACCAAATTCTTATTTTCTTGTTCTTGTAGTAGTAGTGGCTGACAAGAAATAGTCCGACGTTGGTTTTTTCTCTTTTCTTGAGGTAGGAGAAACGAGCAGAATGAGCAACAGTAGAATGCGAAGCACGACCAATTATATGTGTTTTTCGCCGGAGGTGGGTGCTGCGTGCTCACATCGCATTCTGTCTTTGATCGGCAGGGGAATTGGAGGTCGTCGTGATGCGGTGATTCATCCATTAACAAGGACCACGTCCATCACCCAGAATAAGGTTATAATGTGCCAAGAACAAGTCCCTACTCCAAGAATACCTGCTCATCTGTACAACAGCAGTTGTGGAGTAGTCGCAGATCATGAGGTGTCGAAGTATCAACCTCTCGTTACAGGGGAGGAGGCGCCCAGGCAACACGCATTAGACGTTGTTCGAACTCGGAGGCGGCATTTCAACTTCGTTTCAGGGGGTTCGAGCTCATCTACTGCGCCATCTTTCAGAAGAGACTATCCGACGTCTTCGATTACTGGCATTGCAGAAAACGATGCATGGAGAAGACCATCAAGGTCGTTGCTATTTTCTTCAGGAGTGAGTAGAAGATGTTTTTCTTCGACATCAGCGACAGGTACTGGAGGTGCAGGTGACCCGCCTTCAGAAAAAGTCTCTTCATTTGAGTATGATGAAGATTCTTTAGGTCAACGTTTTCGACATTTTCGACACCAATTTTGCGGCAAATGTCAAAATAGCTTTCGGCAAGCCTGGCGGATTTTGTTTCGTTGCGTTTTAAGGCGCACCTATCTATGTATCATTAATCATATTGAATGCTCGAGCTCATGTTGTAGTAGTACTAGTACAGTAGACACAAAGAAACTATAAATGTATCTACCGCGTGGTAAAAATGCCTGAATTACACTTTCCAACAGTTGTATTCATACAGTTTATCCTCCCAGCTGTAGGCCTAGGCATTGAGGGAATCCCTCTAAGGTTCCAATTTTACGGTATCTTGCATTGTATGGAGGAATATGGATTCGGCTTCTGTACGACGGTTGGCGCTAGTATGGAACCGGTTTTTTCCGCCAGTGGCAACGTCGTTTTAGTAGAACGTTTTTCCAAGTATTTTGGGAACTTTCATCCACTTCCATTTTACAACTACCTGATGTACAAGCTTAACCACCTAATATGTAGTATATCATCTGGTGTTGTACTATATGATGGTCAACTACACGAGGAAGAAGAAGGAGAAGAAGAAAAGCACGAGGACGTGAATCTTTGGCGATGGTACCCAAGCCGAGGCCAAGTTGTGGTGTTGATCAGTCCTGAGAATCCTGCAAATCGGGTTTGCAAAAGGGTGATAGGTCTTCCAGGCGATCTGATCTTGCTTCCCTTCGCTTCAATAGGGGGAGAAGGTTGGGGTGGATCGCCCCCCTACAGACCAGAAAGAGGGAATTTTCGGAACCCCTACGACGATCAAGCTGATGAGGGGCCGCTCTCTTCGAATCTTCTAGCTGATCAATTGAGAACGAGCAGCCCTTCGATGCAGCGCAAGTACTATCTAGAACGCATAGTGGAACAACAAGAGGAGGGTCGGATGAGCAAAAATGACAAAAGCCTTCATCCAGATCAAGTAGAAGAAGTGGCAAATCAGGAAGAAGATGAACAAGATAATACTCGGCACGAAATCATCCTTAGTACTCCAGACGAGGACGACATGGACATCGTCGAGAATGACCCACTTGAAATTGGTGCAGGTGGAGGTTCAGACCTCCATAGCATCAAGAATAGGAAAATGAACGTGAGGAAGGCTACAACGACTTTTCGCAGACGTTCTCGCGTCGAGAAAGTACCTGTAGGCCATGTGTGGGTACAAGGAGATAACAAGGCCCAATCCAACGATAGCAGGCACTATGGTCCAGTTCCTTTAGGATTGATAGATGCGCGTGTGGTTATGAAATTATGGCCTCCTTCACGGGACTGCCTTGTGGAGAAGAGAGAGTCTCCGGATCGACTCAAGAGCTTCAACGAGGTGGAAGAAGGAATATTTTGTTTTTCTTGATGGACAATGTGAATTATCTTCGACTACAAATTAGAATCACTGAAATCTTCAGTAATCCGAAGCACGTTCACGTCCACGAGAAAAGGAGACGAGGATGCCTCACTCAGATGGACGTTACAAAGGGATCGCTTTTGTTCGAAATACGAGAGACCAGATGTATTTGAGAAGATGAGAATAATGAAATCAACGTCCTTGTTGGACGTAAGAGAAAAAGACTAGGATGGCTCTTCTGTAATGTTGCGCACATATGTTCTCTGAGCCATATAATACGTTCAGGCTGTAACAACTTTTACTACAACTACTCCCTTTATAATATTTCGGTCTTTTCACAGGTACATGTGCACAATTCCTCCAAAAAAAGTTTCCCTAAAAAGATTGTCTTCATTTTCTTTGTGATGCCTTTCTATATTTGAAATATTGTTGCTTTTATCACCGATGATTAAAGCTAGCATACGCATTCATGATATATACGCCCTTGCTCCCAACGACTTGATAATAATTGTTTTTGGCGATAGAGATACAACACGATCAGATGTCAGGCTCTTAATTTCAAACTGCTGGAGGTGGTAAAAGCTGGTGAACTAGAAATTTGATTTGGTTCTTCGTGGTGACCACCCTCTTTCGCTAGAAATTGACATAGACTTACATCAGATAATTTGTAGCTACCTGAGCTTCAAAATGGCTGCATTTTCCGACGTCGGCGCGTTGTGCGACATCTGTGGGAGTCAGGACTTCCTGCCGCTTAAGTGCGACACCTGTCCTCGAGTTTTTTGCGAGTCGTGCTTTCGAGATCCCGAAAAACATAACTGCTTATCGTCCTCGGCAAACACAAGCACAGTGGGCAATGGCGATAGGAGAGCGAGGACGAGTCACCAGGATGCTGAAGTAGATGATGACGAAGATTTGTATGGAGATGGTGTGCCAGGAGGTGAAGGTGGTAAAGGTAATGCCGGTACTAATGGGGTTTCAACCATGACAGGAGGAGGAGGAGCATCATCATCAACTGGAGCTGCTCAACTGGAATGCTTCCAATGCCATATCAAGCTGATTCCCGAGAAAAGCTGTGTATGTCCTATTTGTGACAAGGTCACCTGTTTCCGACACAGATTCGAGGATGACCACGACTGCTTTGATTTCTTCAAAGAATTGACGCAGAGATTTGGAGAACGGCCAACTGGACAACCGATTAGCGATGAACAATGGACGCTAGTTTTTCGGATTATCCAGAACTTAATCAAGAAGCAAGATGACAAGTTCCGAATACTGAAACGAAGTAACGAGACGCTGAGGAGCCAGATATTCTCGAGCATACCGATGATTATGGCAATGTTTTGTTTTAGCTCTACTCCTAGCTGTAGGTTGAAGAAGTCATACACATACTTGTACTAGACCACTTGTTGAATAACAAGGTTCTCTTCTTCTATGATCTACTTATCAAAATCAAAGAGTGATGTTAATGTTTTATGTTATCGTGGTCATGGTCAACAGCATCAGCAATGTCCTAGAAGTTCATGTCCATTTCGAGTTTTTTCTCCCTTTAACTCTGTGCGCATCATGACTGGACTTGGGTTCGCGACGAATGGCGAAGCGGGCTTGACGCTACCTGTTGCCCAAGTTGCGCGCGTCGCTAGGGTCTGGCAGCAAAACAGAGGCGTGGCGGAAACCTTCAAGACTAAAACAGAAGCTATCCTGCTCTTGCCACATGCAAGGAGTGGAGCTGGTGCTGGGCAGGGGAAAAATGTCGATGAAGCTGCGCCTCGTGGTAGTACGACTTCGTCTTTGTCGGCAGGGACATCAGCTTCGAACACCCCATATTTGTCGAGAAAAGTCTCCGAAAACGCTACTTCCCAAGCAGCGCCCGCAACAGGATTTCAACCGCCTCAGAGGCAAAGTAGTGTTGGTACTTCTGCAGTGACCTCCTCTAGTAAAACCGCTGGACCACCACGACAACTCCACCAAGGACAACTGCAAAAATCTCAACAAGACCAGCTAGCTGAATTGAGGGCACAGCAAAAACAAAGATACAAGAACAACAAAAATGGTGAAGGAGAGCAACAGAATTCTCGTGGGACTGCAGATTCGGGAGAAGAGAATGGAAACTGTTCGCTCATGTAATGACGAAACATATTTTTCGCGCATGCAACTCGTCAAGTTGAAATGATTCAACTCTCACACCCAACTACACCCCTTCCCAACCTGCAGAATGTCTGATTATAGATGTTATATATTTAACATTCACGTATTTCTATTTAGTTGGTTTAAGATTAAAAGTTCTAGTGCAGGGGTTAGTCAACTTAACGACCTACAATCTAGATCTAGTTCTCTCATCATCATTGTTTGGTGGTCACTGATGTGTTCTTTCAACAAAACTTCGAGTGTCGGTGTTTTGGCGGAGTGGTCTGTTGCTAGAGCATGTACGAACCTGCTACTCCTTCATTCGGACTAGTTCTGTCATGGAACAAGGATCTACGTGTCGTTCAGTCTGCTCATCCAGATCCGAACAACTGGTGATAGGTGTAATGAGGAAGACATGGCTCTCGCTTCTCAGGAGCGTGTTGTAAAAAGAATCATTACAATGACCTGTAGATGCTCATGTTGCTAGAATGACTGAGAGATGAACTACAACAAGCTAGAGACGAAGACTTGCCCTCCTCGTCAAAGGAAGACTCAAAAGTCTTAGACCACTTAGTGTTAGCTGTCATAGACTACCTGTACCTAGTCTCCGTCTCGTGTGCTCGTATCTTGAAGAACAGAAAAAATGATGGGCTACGGAGGAGGTATGTATGGAGGCGGCGGCATGTACGGTGGGGGAGGTATGTATGGTGGTGGCATGGGTGGCATGTACGGAGGTGGCATGTACGGAGGCAATCAAATGATGATGGGAAACCAGCAGAATGGACAGATGAACCCGAATGGAGGACAGCAGGGTGCGAGGATACCACAGTTAACGACGGGATCTGCTATGCGAGTTTTGGTGGATCTGGGTAGCGTCTTTCAAGAGTCGGCCTTCGTCTTCATGGCTGTAAGCAGGTTTTTTAGCTCAGGTGGAGAGCCAGGCCCACTGCAACAGCTATGGAGCACAGGGAAACAGATGTTTCTCGGCAGGATACTCGGAATAAAACAAAAATCTGCGGATGATATGACTGGAAGATGTTAAAGTCACTTGGAGAAAGTAGATGTAGAGGGGCACAAATACAAAGTAGAAATTTGAGTCACTTCTAGTTGTTATGCGTATGAAATTCCTGATACTCTTCTTTCGCAGCTTTAATCTTCCTGTAGTCATGGGTTTAGTTCATTTTTTGACCCTTCGACTTTTCATCAACATACTTACTGTTATTATTCCTGTAGCCTGACTTTGACACTTCCCTGCCACGACTCCTCTCTAAGAATAGGACCTCCGTCGGTCCTAACGGGCAGCCTTTATTGAACCCGTTGGAGATCGGCAACGCCTGGGCAACGGAGTACATGAAGCAACGAGGAACCATGCGGAAGGAATTTCATGGTGAAGTTTCGCTTTTGCAGAGGGTGCTGTTCGCGTACGTTATCTATTCCTTACTCTCCCATACCAGAGCTTACCTTCGAGCAGCGCGGCTGAAGACTCGACCAAACACCAACCTGCTGGCATTGACTTTTGGCTCATCTAATGCAGGAACAAGTAATCGTCCTCGAATTCGAGATGGTAGGCCTACGACATCAACTAATTCGTCTTCAGAAGGTTCTGGAACCTCCACGAATCATCTTCGGTCAGCATCGGCAGGAGGTGCAGGTGGCAATGCTACTTCATCAACGAGCCTGAATCCACGTGGGAATTTACGCGCAGGACTTCCTCCATCAGGGGCCACGACGTCATTTGCGCAGGCAATGCAAGGAACGCATTTACAGACCTACGCAGCACAAGCAACAACAACGGGCACTTCTGGGAACTCTGGTACTGGTGGTCGGGCACGAGGTGTCCACTTTTCTGAAGATCATAGTCACACAGAGACGGTTGGGCCTGCAATTACCGTTCCTGGAGGTCCAAAGGCCTCACCGTTGATGAATGAAGTCGAGGTAGAACAAGGTGGAAACACGTGATTTCAGGATGGAACATGAACCTCCTAGCTTGATCATGTTTCATCAATTTATATGCGGTTCGATATGTTGATGTATCTCTCATCCTAGAGGTGATAGCGATGGTTTTCAACAACCACGTCCACGTTTGTCTACTGACATGGAGATGATAGGTGTGTTTTTCCTCTTCCTTGTACCTCCAGCGATCTTATGTGATTTTGACAAGGTCTCAGACTTCTGCTCCATCAGTCGGCACGAGGAGAAACTGAGCGAAGGAATACCCTTTTTATCCCCCTGCTCCAATTATTTTCAACTAGTCAACAGCGGCTTTTTGATATTCACTCTATCTACGAGGCGGTGCTGGTAGTAAGTTCGGTCCTTCCAGTAACATTTTTCCTATTAACGGCAACATATTACTCAATGGTATGTATAAGGTTATGAATCAACAGTGTAGCAGTGACAGAAAAAACACGAAAATGGTCACCAATCCACTACGACCTCGCTCCACGAACACGTTCGCCAGCTGTTTGCACGCAACCGCCACACTGACCTTGTTGGTTTCGATAGTTGGCGTTGTGGTTGTATCTTACCTCGCAGCAGTCGATTTGGTTTTGGAAGGACGAGAAGGCGATGTTCCGGTCTCCAGCACAAGAATTCGCTGTCCCGTAAACAACTTGACGGCGGTCCTGTCATGGGAAAATCCTGACGAGTGCGCATGGAGCAACAACTATGAGGAAGCGCGCCACAAATTTCGACAGTTGGGCAAACTTGTTCAGGAAAAAGTCGCCTTCGCAAAAAAGAGCAAAGACGAGTACGAAATCGAACATCTTGGTACGATCATCGAAGCTGTCCCTGATGCGTTTAACGTTCATGAATGGTCGAGGTCAAGAAGGAATGATAGTACGCAGCAAGAAGACGCTGCTGAAGTAGAGTTGGAAATCAGTGCTCAAGAAATTGCGGACGATACAGTGGACTCCCTCCTTCTGGTCATAAACACTAATGGACACGGAGATGCAAGGTCAGCCTCAAGAACAGAAAAATGTGATTTTTCTTCGAATACAGAAGAGGACGGAGTGGTAAAGCAGGGTCGTCGAGATGAAGGTGAAGAAGTCGCGTCTTCAAAGCCAGATATAGTGCTTAGCAGTGGTGTTCATGGGGTGGAAGGCTTCATTGGATCAGCAGTGCAAGTACGCTTTTTGTGGAAACTGCTCGGACGAGAACTAGATGGAGAAGGGAACGAGCCGTCGTCTCCTCAGAATGGGAATACTTTTGGTCCTGGTGTTGCCGGATCAGGAACTGACAATTTACAACATGCTGATGGAGCAGATACGAAGAAGTGTAGTAATGCGAGCACCACTGAGAGAAGCAGAAGCACCTCCGAAGAAGTACGGAAGATCCTCTTAATTCATGCGGTTAATCCCTTTGGTATGCGAAAGTTTCGTCGTTTTAATGAACGCAACGTCGATTTGAATCGGAACGCTTTGACAGATGCCGAGGCTGAAGCAGCCAGAACGCGTCATCCAAACGCGGCAAAATATGTTAAGGTCGTGGCGGGGGAGGTTGTGGATGTGGCTTACATGTCTTGGTTACTAGTACAACGTGCGTGTGCTTTACATGTCTTGGTTACTAGTACAACAAGACCGTGTTCTAGTGCGTAGACAAACAAGACACGGGCACTTCTTGTGCAATAAAACTTCCGCTTGTTCTGCGACTATGATCTAATTACGAGGATTTTTACTACGCTTTTAACCCCGCAGGGCGATTGTTGGAGCGGAAAAGAGAAAGGAAAGCCCATTTTAGTGGTGAAAAATCCATGTTCAGTCGCAAGAGCTTTTCACACCGCTTATTAGACTTTTTTGATGACCATGTTTATGCCCCACTCTGTGGCGGATTCCACCAAATGGACACCAACATGAGAACTTCTACGATAACCACAGAAGATTCCAATCGCAACAATTTTCTCTCTCGAACCCAAGTCGTAATTGCAGAGGTAGTTACGATCATGCGTACTGTCGGTTTGGGAATTTTTGCTGAGATGGCGCGTCACGGCTATGTCGCGCTAAAACGCGCTCTGGTGTCTGCTCAATACCATCGCCCCAGTGGACTCTGGTATGGGGGAACGCCAGGACAGTGGTTATGTTGCTACTTTGTGATATTTAAATACAGATCCCGTAAAGGAAGTACAAGTAGTAGTAGAACACGACTTGTTCTGTTGTTATTTCTGCCTCCATAGACGTCGTCAACATCCACGTGGTCATCAGGTGAAGATACATGATCTTCATCAGCGCTAATTCTGGAGCCGTCTGTGGAGATTGTGAGTCACATTTTGGAGACATCCTTGGGTCTGGAGATGAACCCAGCATTTGTATTTTGGATTGACGTGCACACCGGTCTAGGACCGTACGGAGAATACACTATTCTGAGGAAAGCAGAGCACGTGGAGAGGACCTCGTCTACGTCTCATAGTATCCAAGGACCACATGAAGATGCTGTTGGAAGTCTTGTGGAGAAAATGAACAATGAGGCGCAAGTGGAAAACTTTCAGAATCAGGTAGAGAAGCTTCTAGATGGCGAAAAAGTGGAGGGCCTTCCTTCTGTGTCGGCCAACACTTCCACGACAGGACAAGATGTGAGTGCTGGTTATGAATTCAGCTCAGGTCCAGTAGCCGGCGGAGCTCTATGTTCTATCCATCAATCCCACTCTGCCGACTCCGGTACAACTAAAAATGTTAATGTTCCCACCAAGAATAGCACTTCTGGACGAACAAGATCTAGATGCCTTGCAGTGACACAAGAGTTCGGCACATTTCCAGGAGTATTTGTGGCCTTAAGCGTCATCCTAGAACATTGGCATTGGCTTCGGGGTACTGACGGATCTCATTGGACTACATGGGCATTTGATCCGCGTTTGTGGAGCTGGCGCCGTAGGACTCTCGAAGGAGGCATGAAATTTTTAGGACAGGTGCTGAGGTGGGACATCGTGTGATGAAGAATTATTAATCACTAAACTTAACGTTAACGCAGGGGTTAGTATCCTAAACGACCTACAATCTAGTCCTCGCATCATTATTTTTCCATTTGGAATGCGTCAAAGGCGATATTAAAGCTTGACCTGTTGAAGATGGTGTGTTCGACGACGGAGGTCAAAAAATTTCACCTATTGAAGATGGTGTGTTCGACGTCCAAAAAATGAAAAAAAATCAAATGAATGCATTCATTTAAGAAATCTTCTTGCGTATGCGTCCTCCCTTGCTTTGGTTGTCCCGATGGATCATCTGATCTCCGTCTGCCTTAATTAGACGCCAGCAAACGATGAAAGGGTCACCATTCGTCACCATTCTGAATCTTCACCTGAAGAATGGAGAACCTCCATGTTGTACATCTTCAGCTTCAAGAAATGCCACCATGCTCATGTACATGCTCATAGGTTCTGAATTGATGATAGATACTGTTTGACGATTGCCTCGCATGCTGCGGAAGGCGCCGGATCCCCTCAAGACTGTCTTTTTTTTTCAGGTTAGTTTTTGTGTCGGACAGAAGGTTGGCACTAATCAAGAAATTTCTTATGTATGAAGATGTTGGCTAGGCAAGTGGCACCACTGATCTAATAGTCCTTGTCTTAGTGTAGTTAGTAGCTTTCGCTCGGCGGTAGAGTTACAGTTTCGCTACTTTCTTAATCTGAACAAGAAGCTGAACCATATCTGTGAACTACAAAGTAAGACAAGACAAGATGAACGACGTTGATCGTGGCTTGTTCGGGGGTAAAGACCCGGATGAGATGGAGATCCGGCATCCCTTTGCGGCTCCCCATGAAGATGACGGTTTTGCGGCGCCCTTACCCATTCCTGTCGGAAAGGCGGCAGCTCCGCCCCCGAAAGCAGAGGCAACCACGAAGAGCACAGTCGACCCTCCCAACAGTGGAGACCAATCCAGGCCAGAGTTAAGGACGGTGGAAGCTCAAGTTAGTTTGTTCTTTTCATCCTCTTCGTTAGGGTTAGCGTTCGCTGATATAAGTAAGAGTTTTGGTATTCTCATTCTCTGGTGGTGGTGCGTTGTATCTAGAACTGTATCTTTATCTTGTCTTTCAATGTTGGTCTCTAGTAGCTATCCTATTCCTACTCAGAGTCAGAACAAAACAACTAACACCAAGAATGAACCACCATGCATATGATATGCTTATGGTCATTCCTTGTTTTTCTCTAAGTTTAAGCGGTGATCCCTCGGGGAAAACGACTCAGAAAGCAGCAACGGATGGATGGCATTTGGAGCAGGCTCCCGACAGTGAATTCCGTCACGAGCATCAGGGAAATGAGTTGGACGAGGCCAAAAAAATGCAAGAGAATTTCGAGAAGATGCAAGAATCCATGAAGTCCCACTTCGGAAACGTGATCTATCACGAAGATGGTCGCATCGAGAACAACCAGCAGGTGCGTTACGACCCTACCGGTGCCGCGATCAACCCAGCCTTTGCCGCAAAAGCAAACATGACACCGAATTTATGTCCTTTACTACTCAAAATACATAGCAATACTTATGTGTCCGTGTCGCACTTCTAGAAGAAAGTGCCTCTGCGTTTATGTCGCACGGCACCAGAAGTAGAAAGTCCTTTTCTATGTTCTTCGTTGTGATCCTTGAAGATTTTTCATTTCGAAACTCAATTTTCTTCATAATCATATCCCTGTCATTAGTAGGTCGTCGTCGTCCTTTCCACTTGCTTCTCTTCTAACCGTGATGTTTGCGATCAATACGTTGCAACTTGGTGCACCGCTGCCACCGGGAATGATTATGGGGAATGATGGGGGTCTTTTGGACGGCGCCGACGGTGGCGTTTTTGGGACGCCTGCTGCACCACCGATGGGACTAAAGCCGGCTTCTGCTCTCTACGCGGATAACCGCTCTGCGATAGCTCCGCCGAATCGTGTCTTGGTTAAGGCTTCTTTGAATGACGTACTCGAAATCTTAGAATAAGCAAGTAAAATCAAGGATAGTTCTACCTCAGTAGGTGTCTTACTCCCCGTTACTAGGGTGTGTTACGCTTAACCCGCTCTAAAAATGTAGACACACAGATGTTTATGTCGCACACGGAATGGAACCGAATGTCTCAACAAAAAGGAAAAGGAAAGAAGAAAGGACCCGGAGGCGATCCTGATGCTCGCGTCTGGATTGGAGGCCTGCCGGATGATATCACGGAGGACCGCATGCGTGCAAAATTCGGCCACTTTGGCATGCTCGTAGATATCGATATCAAGTACCAGCCTATCGAAAAGGTAACATTTTTTATATTTGTGTTTCATCTCGCCATGATGTTCTCCTTCTCTCCGCTTCAATGCTCTTTATTTGCCTGTGCACTAAAATCAAGACTTCAAGTTCAATTTGTTCATATTCTTCCACTTCTCTTTCTCTGCCAGGGTGGCGGTCCGCCTTTCGCATTCTTGCAGTACGAAACGTTTGCTGAAGCTCAAAAAGTGATCGAAGAAATGGATCAACTTCGCGTTTTTGAAGAAAAAAACAGAATCAAGGTACTATGCATAACCAGTTTAATGCTTTATCTTTTGAGATCGAAAACAATTATAACGATAGCTTGTCATACATCTTGTCATCCAGTACTACAACATCTTGTCATCATGCAGTACAACAGGTTTGCGGATGTTCCGCTGCAGCCAAGGCAGCAGCACGCCAGCGTACTTTGGAGCGTACTGCATGGGAAGCGAAGGAGCGCGCCTTGGAAAAAGGGCTAGGCCAACTGGAAGGCGAGGACGGCAAGGTCATCGAGGGAGACGATCTTCTAGTTAAGGCTCAGCACATCAACTACAATTCTTCATTTCCTTAACTACAATTCCTATTCCTTATTTCTCAATTCCTTAGAAACTACAATGAATTCCTTATTTCATCTCTAGAAGAAGTCGGTCATCTGCTCTACAACTACAATTCCTTATTTCTCTACAAGAAGTCTGTCATCTGCTCTACAACAGAATCATAGTTCTCAACTACTTACAATTAATCACTTCTCTACCAGTACTTGTCAAGTCTGTCATCTGTCATTCTCATTTCTCACTGTTTGCAGCTTAGGATTCATTAGGAGAATTATGCACTTGCATGCAAGAAATTATTTGCTTTGCGCTCTAATCTGGACTTCAAAGGTGGCAAAAAAGGCGACGGCAAGGGGAAGGGCAAGGGCAAAGCTCCTAGGAAAGGGGATGGAACCTTTTGCTCCGGAGCGGACGGCAAGAAGACGGCGGCTGATCTCGAGGCAGAACGTGTTGCTGCGCGATGGAAGCTGTTGTGGGAGAAGGAAAAGAAACAAAAGGAGGAAGAAGAGGCGTTTAATTAAGGCTCATAATATTAATGATTAGAAACAAAAGGAGGAAGAAGAGGCGTTTATTTAACTAAGGCTCCTCATCATGGATCTTCTTTGGTCTCTCACTTAATTACAAAAAAGGAAAGAGATGAGGAAACAAATTCCTCAAAAGTGACCTCTTGCCAGGCACATCAGCCAACCAGTCATCTCTATCTCTTGTTGTCCACAGATAATTTGTTCTCTCAGTTGTTTCCTTCTTGGATTCTAAGGATATGACTCACGCTCACGTTAGGCTTAGAAGAAGATCATGAACTATTCTTGTAAGCTGCTCTAATTTACGCGAAAGGAAAGGCGAAGAGCCATGGGTCTGCCGTCCACGACCCCGCCGCGCCGCCCCCGCAGTCCGAGGCGCAGCCGCTCCCGTGGACGTCGCGATGACCGCAGAGACTTAAGACTCTCATTAATTCATCTTCCAAGTGCATCCTTGAAAAGTATGGGGAAGGACCGCAGGAGAATACTCTCCCATGCTCTTCAAGATTGCATGTCAAGGATGAAGACCGGACAGCCCTAAGAGACGATCGTGGTGGCCGCCGCGACTATAACGACCGCGACCGTCGTTATGACGACCGCCGTGAAGACCGAGGGGAGCGCGGTGACCGAGACCGTCGTGACCGAGGTGGTGGCGAACGTGACCGAGGGGGTGGCGATGATCACCGTGGTGACCGTGATCGCCGAGACGTAAATCGTGATGATGATCAACACCGAAGAGACCGCGATCGCGAAGGAGCAAGAGGACACCGGGACCGGGATCATGAGGGAGGAGGTGAACAGCGTGGTGGTCGAGACAGGAATCGTGATCAAGATGGCGGAGGTGGAGACCGGGAACGCACACGCGATCGAGGAGATCAAGATGATAGAGGCCATCATGATGACAGAGTCGTGCTCAAGGAGAACCGTAGGGGCGACGATGATAACCGTGGCGACCGAGGACGGGACCGGGAGCGTCGCAGAGGCGGCGAGGAGATGGAATAAATACAGAGTAACTTCTGTGAAAACATAAACAACTAGTACGGGACAATCTAACTCTACGAATGTAGACGGAGTTGCGATCTTGCTGCACTTTTGAGCCGCTACGAACATGATCTACAACATCGAACGAATATAATAGACATAAAGTTACAGTTAGTACATAATATAGATGACTCCATGATGTAGATCAAAGTATAGAACTAAGCAGAATGTCATTATCAAAATGAGTTGTCATGAGATGGAGAACGCCAGCATCTTCAAACACGATGAACAAACTAGAAGATGCGTGAAGCACTACTCGAGAATCCTAGGAGAAGACTTGGCACACGAAGGAGTATTGTATTCGTTCATTCACAACTACACCTAGCTCAAGCAGGAAAAAAGGAACTACTTACGTTGTCTTTTCTACAAAACTTTTAGTCCAAGAAGTCATTTATTTTTGTGCATGCCGTTGCAGACAGAGAATGAAATGAAGCACGCAATGTTTATAAGATATCTGGAACTGGAACTGGAATTTTTGAACTACAGGGAAAGAACCAACGCGCTAGAAGACGAACTACTTATACATGTTTCTTCCCTAACCCCGACCCCCACCCCTTTTGCATCCCTCTTACGACCCGGTAGCTCGACAGCACTCAGACTCTCCACAACTGATACTGTTGTTACTTTTGAGAAGTTTGTTGACCAGGCTTATCACGAGGATCGCGATGCCTCTGAAGAACAAATGTCTTATGGTGAAATAGATTTTTGGTATCCTGAGGAAACAAACCATCCAGCATCCGCTTTGGCTCACAGCAGTGCAGGAGATATTATACATGCGAAGATTTTATTTGCTTCTTGTGTTGGACGAGGGATGACCATTCTTCATAGAGACTCTTGTGTGCTTGGTTTTCATTTTTGCTGAACTTGAACTTGGTGGTGCTGGTGCTCGTGGCCATGAAATCACGTATCACTTACGCCAGTCATTCCGAATCTAATTCTCGAAAGGCAAAGAAAAGTGGAAGACTACCGTTTGTCAACACATAGTAAAGTCGAAGATCTTATTCTGTTCGCACATAGTAAAAAAGTACACAATTCACTACATGTGTATAGCACCAGGATGAAAGGAAAACTCGCAAGGAGTCTCTGCGTGCTTATTCACTTTTCTTGTTTTGGAAAAGTTTCATAACATATTTTTTTTGTTGAAGATTCATTCGTCCCATTGTTGAAGATCGCGCACGATGACAAAGACAATGCTGCGCCAGAAGGAGGAGGACGTGCGCAACAAGGCCCTTTGCTAGCGGAGGGCGATGGGCGAGAAGACTTTTCGCGCGAATGGAACTACGCGAAGTATTGTTGCAATTTTTCGGAGATTCGGTGCTTCCAGATCATATCCGAGAAGCCCAGAAGAGCCCTTAATGTAGGAGTGAAGACTTGACTAGTAAACGCGCCAATGGAATGGAAAATATGAACTTGACAAGCAAACGGATCGATTTTTTTGAATTTATCCATCGTCAGAAGATCTACCTAGAGCCGTCGCGGACCTCTCGGCGCGCCGTGCCGATCTGTCGTGCGTCTGGGATTTCTCACTCATATCAGCAAGCAAACTCCACTGACTCGCCCAAATTTTTGTTGAAATTTAATTCGGGACGATCCTACCAGAAGAGGTCAACGAAAAAAACCAGAATGAAGATCGTCACAAGTATGATCGCATCAGTTGCATACTTGAACTTGAGCTTGCAGTTCTTGTAGAACCAGTTAATCCGCAGATCATCACGTAATGCTGGGTATAATTATCTATCATCATGATCATGCTAGGAGAAGTCGTACGACCACGAATAACTGAGTACTCAAACAGCGACGATATCCTTGGAGTGGGAGAAGTGTCTAGCTGTAGCCTACTCATAATTATGTTGTTGGAGTATACTTGATGACAATTACCCTTTTCTCTTATCTATCTTCCTCGGGTCTTTCTTTTTTCTAGTTAGGTCTGCTCCACCACAATTGTTAATGGAGCTGTTACCGGTTACAACGACTCACTCTTCTTTGCATCCAAGTTGGAGTTCTTTTGATGGCCACATAAGTACTTTGTTTCTAAGTTCATCTTGGAGTTAAAAAAACGATGACTGCCTCTGTCGAAAACAAGGATCATGTCGAAATGAAGGAGGCTCGAGAAGTAGACGCTGTAATCGTCCCCTCGACGAGCGAGGACAGAGTGAAGACGTTATTGTCTTTCCGTTGTCAGGTCGTTCGAGACCTGTACTTCACTGTTGCTGGTCCCCACTTGCTCACCTCAGCTTCGTCTACTTCCACAGGGGGAACATCGACTTCGAAAAAGCAAAAGCAGAGTTACCTTCCCTTGTTCGAAGATGCGTGGACGGCTTGTATTTTGAAGGACCCTGAAGTGCAAAAATGGCTCCGGAAATTGGACGACGAAAAGGGAAGGGAAGTGATCGATTTTCTCTTGCGTGAAGATCATCATGTGCGTTTGGGGTATTACTTTTCAAGGTTGCTGCAGTTTTTCTTCGACAATTGCCCACTTTTCTTCCAAGGGCCGTGCCAGAGTCGAGTGGACCTCGCTATACCAGCTCAAGATCAGACATCACGAGCACGAACAGGACGTGGAGATCGAGAAGGAGAAGAAAAGATGGAGGGTGTGAATCTAAATGTAGAAGAAGAAGATGGAAAAGATGCCGAGAAAGCCCAGCAAGAAAATGAAAAAGAAATGGCCCAGCCGCGGTTTTTGGTACGTCTGCACGAGGAAAAATTGATGAAGAGGTTGGTTCAGAACAATAATCAGCACAAGCTTTTGTCTGATATGCTTCACGTTGAGACGGCTATTCACTGCTCTATAGCTCCAGATGGACGTGATCGTCGTGGCCGTTTAGAGGAAGAACGAAAGAAAAAAGAACAACAACAACAACAACAACAGGCAGAAGCTGAAGTAGAACAAGCAGATAATACTGAGGAAGGTAATATTGTTCGACAAGCGGATGTTGTAGTTGGTCAAGAACATCAAAGTGAGGCGGAAGTGATGTCGACCAGCTCCTCTCTCCGCGAATGTGAGATTATTGCTTCCCGTTCTAGTGGAGCCTTTCTGTATGAAAGCCTTCTTTGGCGCTTGCTAGACTACCATCAACGGTTTGCAGAGTGTAGGGAAGCCTTCACGCTAGGCGAGAACCGCAACCTGATAGGCCTTACGCCATCGGAGAGTACCCAAGGTGCACTGCTTCTCCGTGGGTGGATCTTTCGGCCGATAAAGGAACTGAAGCTGAGAATGACAACGTCGACTAGTACAGAGTTTCTATCCGATTATGCATGGGGAAGCGGCAACTTTTGGTGGACCAAGGATCCTACTGTGGAATTGCCATGGCTTGAGCGTAGCAAAGTAGCAGATGACGTTGAGGAGCTAGACGTAGACAAGAAAGAGGACGACGGCGTTCCACAACATGATCAGCAGAAGGACGACGAGATGCAGATGACCTCCACTTCTATTAACGACAAGGAGCAGGTTCTTGACGAGCAGAAGATGAACGGCAGAGGATCTCCTGTATCTAGAGTCGTCAACCCCAAAGGCAAAGGACACAATGTGGATTATTGGGTCCTCCTCTTACACAAACGATATTGGCTAAGTCCCTGTGTGGCCTGGAAAAAGGAGTCCCCCTCTTCCTCAGCATCTTCTAAAGAAGAAGAGAGTACAAGAATTGAACTCGAAGGTGATCCGCGTATCGAACTAGGTACGCTTCCACTACTGAACTCAGAAGAAGTTCAACGTGAAATTGCTGCTTATCGAAAGTCGCATCCTCGCAACCCATTATTCCTGAGTGGACTGACGCGGGTAGTAGATGTAGCTGCAGTAAATCAAGAAGAATCTGGAACATCGCAGTCAATTGGTGTAAATCAAGATCACCGATCATCTTCTTCAACATCGGGAATATCACAAACTAGAAGTAGTGAAACCTGCTACGTGGAATCCGTCCGAGCTTGTGTTTTGCCGAGTAAATGGGACACAAGAACGGCTACTTTTGCGCACGGTCTGGAGGATTGCGAGTCTTTGGCTGGTATTCAAATGTACGTCGGGAGTGCGTTGTTGGATAAGTGCCGAAAGGAGGAAGAAGAACAAGAAGGACTAGAGCAGGGCGTCGCTGGTACATCTCCAAGTATTAAGGTGCAGGAGAAGGTAGTAGAAGACACAGACATAGAAGCTAGAAAAGGCGTCATAACGCGAACTCTTGAGGAGCTAGCCGATAGTGTCTTAGCCCAATCTGCGCTGGTCACGGCCCGCAACGCCGGATTTGTTTTCATGCCCCCTGAACCTAGTCTCAAATTGCCTACTCCATTCGCTCAGTCGCAGTCCTCCTCTGACGAAGAAGCACAAGAAGCACAAGTAGATGTTGTAGTTGAGTCTGAATCCGCTTCCAGTTCCACTGATAGATGGATCCTAAAATTTGCGAAGCCGGTTGTTGCGACCACTGTAGCGAGTTCAACATTGATGGCTGCCAAAGGTGCTAAAGATTCAAAGAAGGCAGCAGGAGAACAAACTGCTCTGTCGGTAAGCACGACTACAACATCGATTCATGCTCCAACTAAAGAAGACCTCGATGTTGAGTCTTTACAACGTGATTTTTTAGATCTTAAAGGCGCTGCGGTCGGTACTCGAAGCCCCTCTGGAAACAAAACGAAGAAAGGGGATGAAGCATCCTCCACTTTGTTCTCGGTTAAAGTGGATTCGCAAGTTGTCGAGCACTTGCAAAATGCTTTACAGGCATTGCGCAGTAGGCAAGCGATGAGCAAGAGAAGTCCGGATATTGGGACAGCGATTACCTACTTCTTTGCTGAGATGGAAAAGACTGATTTCCTCCCAGCAGAAGATGGATTCATGCTTCTTTTGAAGCTGTTAGGAAGTGGAGGTGTCAATTCGACATCTTCCTCATCCGCTAGTGTTGTTGGACCAAAGGTGGTGGACGACAAATCTAAAAACAAGCAGGAAGCGTTCTTTTTTTCGAAAGTCGAGCTTGGGCATTTGCTCTCTGATGGCTACCTACGTTGGAGACAGGCGCAAAGAAGACACAGCGAGTGGGACTTACGTCGACGAAAGTTGCGCACTGGCCCCTACGGCGTCTCCCCAATTTGTAGCTATTTCGAAGTGCTCTCAGGAGAAAAAGAAGCTGCGTTGCCCATGCCCTTGATGCCTTTGAACAAGGAGGTTTCGAGAAAAGAGGAGGAGCCATGTTCAACCAGAGCAGCGCCAACACCAAGCATGTGGAAGTTTTTGCTGTTGCAAATGATGCGTGAGTCGTATCTTGACACGATCGAGGGCCTCGACGCTGCCCGAAAAATTCTAGAAGCGGACTTCACGCAGGCTGTTGAAGACGCTGAAAAGGAAGACCAAGTACAAGAAACTACAGTTGCAGCCGCTGCAACATCAGAAAATGCAATTGGCAATGTACTAAAAGAAGCACAGGATGATGAACTACTAGGAACAGATGCACATCAAAATGAGCAGATGGACGGTGACACAGCCCAACACCAAGTGACGACTATCATGAACGCTTCAATCGAGCTGATGAGCGATCGTCAGAAGGGGAAGATCTTGCGAGGAAAGGCTGCCGAGGAGGAAGCTTTTCGCAAGGTTCAGGAGCACGCAAGGGAGCTAGCAGAAACAGCGGAATCAGAAGCAAGACGCAGCTCCTCGAGGAAAGGCCCGATGAAGAGCTTCGCTCCGCATGATGGTCATCAAGTTGAACAAGTTAAAGTAGGATCATCTGCTGTAACCACGACTTCCTATTCAGTAGCACCTCCACCACATCTTGCTCTCGATGAAGGTGAAGAGCACACGCCTCCAGCGTCAACAAAACACGGGTCAACATCAACATCAACACCATGTACAACGAGTTGTAACAAGATGAATAACACGAGCCTAAAAGTTTTAACACGAGCGGCACGAGCCCTGCGTTTAGAACTTCCTTCTTGCGCTCATGCCTTCGATCTTGATCAGAATGCAGACGAGGTCGTTCGTTTTTTAGTGGGAGTCGACTTGCTTCATGAGTGGTATCAACGCAAGCTAGCGCTATCCTCCATTGTTGCGACTGTGCAAACGCAAATCGAAGCCAAACAAGAGAAAGAACTTCAGCAGAGGAAGATGCAGGAGGACAAAGAAGTAGACCAAGTAGTAGAACTTCTAGGTAGGAAGCAGATGGAAGTAGACGAAGATGACATCGGGAGCGGGGGTCCACTACAGAATATACTGGGAGGTGAAGATTCTATTGCTATTGGTGAACAGGAGACGATCCTCCAAAACAAGGCACAACAGGAAGATCAGCTTGTTCGTGCGCTGATGCTGAAGTGCCTGCAAAAGTCATGGACATCAAGCAGTGCTGACAACTATAGCGATGAAGAGAATGCTCTTTTGAATTGCGCAAAGATTCGGTTGGAAGGCCTCCGAGAACTCTTGGACAATCTAAAAATCAGCCACCGCAAAGAGGAGCATTGCACTGCCCGCAAAGCAAAAAGAAAGAAATTGAATCCGCCATCAACCACATCTTCGAATAGCTCTAGTTCTAGTATGGTACCATCTGGACGACCTGTAGGTGCTGATTCTTCAAACGGCGATGGGCTCCCTGATGACGAAGTAGAAGATCATCTTCAAGAGGATCTTAGCGCGCCGCGTTTAGCCAAGGACGGGACACCTTTCTTTAAACTGCCAGCTAACGTCGCTATCTTGGATTGCGACACCAGCTTGGATACGGCGGAAAAGTTCTACGAATTCGTCTTAAACGTAAACACGGGTAGCGGCGGTTCTTCTCCTTTTCTCGTATGCGGTCGCATTCCTATCGGAATCGATTGTGAGTGGGGCAATGGTGTTGTCCGATCTTCAGTACAAGCAGCAATTGCTGCGATGGACGGAAACCATCCCGCTGCAACAGTCAAAGCTGGTAAGACAAACCACAGCAGTGTAGCGCTGGTGCAGTTGGCTGTGAGTGACTCGACAGTTTTCCTCTACGATTTTTTGAATCCAGAACACAGAACAGCATTTGGCAGACAGGTGCTAGGGAACAGTGAGAAATTCACAGTGTTGGGCTTCGGGTTGAAGGAGGACCTGAAGAGACTTCAACAAGGAGTAAACCTGAATGTGGAGAAGGAGGAGAGGAACAAGGAGACCACCAAGACCAACAATCCTGGTGTTGATTCTCTAGATGTCAAGACTCTTCTGCAGACGCACGATCTGCAACGGGATAAGCGAGTTGGCTTAGCTAGGGAAGTGCATCGTTCTTTAGGAGTGCACATTGACAAGAGGCAACAGCGCAGCAACTGGGAGCGGCGGCCACTACATGATGCTCAGCGTCAATATGCCGCTCTAGACGCTTGGATTCTACTTTCTTTGGCTAAAGCTCACGCGGGTAAGGCAGGGACTTCCGTTCTTAAAACCCTACGCCAAGAAGCTGTAGCAGAAAAAGCCGTAGATGGAGGCGCCTAAAACAGAAGTGACGATTTTTGATTTATCCTTTCTTAGTGTTTTATTCATCTAAGTCTACTGTGAGACGAATTACTCACTTGATTTCCCCCGTTTAACTGTAAACGTAGACGTATTTCCCTACCTCGATAATTTAAGGAAAATGCTCAGAAGCAATGGCAAGGACACGAGATGAACGACAGGCATGACCAACGTGTTCCAGTATTGATTGTGCGAAAACGGTAGCCTCTCCGTTACCGGTGAGAAGATGACGTACTACTACCTAAAATCCCATCGGAGGTGAGAAAATACTTATTGAGTACTTACATGACACATGCACATCGGTCAGAAAGCTCACCTTCCTAAGATCAGGAACAGCAGCATCTGTATGTCTATCGGTAAGATGAATACGAATAGACTCTCGTAGCAAAAAGCTGACCTATCGATCGGTGCACTACTAATGTAGACGTAAAGCAGACAAAAAATGTGTCAGAGTCTCGGTCATGCATCTTCTCCATGCACGTCTAGAAGTATCAAAACCCTAAGCCAACCTTTTCCTGAAAAACCTGCAAAATCCTTACTCCTTTTCACAAAAACGAAAACCTGCTTTACTACATGCTTTACAGATCATGTCTTCTTATCATCTCTTGAAGAAAGTATTATGGGTACTACAACTGCAGTACATGTACAAGTAGTTGATCTTACACCTGCATTCATCTTCATCGTCGTTACTAGGTAGTATACTTGAGTGGATCGTCGAACAATTTGTCTAGTTCCAATATGCCTCATGCCCATTATTCATTTTCATCAAGTAGCAAGTAGTGGCATCACAGCCAATGCTTAGTAGATTAGTTTCTACTTTTCATTTTCTTGATCTTGACCTTGATCTTTTTCCTAGAAGTTTATCTTGCGCAGAGTCGTGTCAAAGATGTCCGATGAGGCAGCGGCTGCTCTGCCGGCTGATGCCGACAATGTTGCCGTTGATGGTGTTGAAAGCGCTGCAGTTGTAGAGTCGTCTACTGCGTCTAGTGGAGTAGAAGCTGGAACCACAGAGCAGGTTAGCAGTACTCAGGAAACGAGCAAAGAGGACACGAAGGCTCAGGACAGCTGCGTTGTGGGCGAGGATTCTACTGCTGCTGCATCAACTGCAGAGAAAGCAACAAATGAAACGACTACGGAGCACGCTTCTGCGTCCCAAGTAGACGACGCAATGACGAAAAACCTGTTATCTGTACTACTTATTTTTGACAACCGACATTGTAAAACTAGTAGTCCTGATAAAAAAAAAACGCTGTCTGTTGTCTCCGTGGTGTACTCACTCTCTTAACAACACCTTCATCGTCCCCAACCCCATGCAAAAAATACCTTTTTCATCCTGCAACTGTCAGGTGATTACTACGCAGGCAGAGAACTCTTTGAGAGAGGAGACCGAGGTGAAAAACGAGCCAGGGTCACCGAGTCGAACGAAAGCCTCAAAAGAGGGAAAACATTCCCAAGAAGAGGTAAACTATAATTAATATTTTTCCATCCTATTTTATTCTATCATCTTGTTTCGTCACGACTAGGTTTCTTTAGGACACATCAACTCCCTCGTCGTCTTTTTTTTTGATGGGTCGTGCGCAGGTATCTTACTGATGAGTAGATGTAGACTTTTTCTGCCTTGTTCTTTCTGCTTCAAAGCTTTTTTTTTCCGACGACCGACCACAAGAGCGGATGTAGTTCTTTTTTGAGGGGGCTGGGATAGGAAGGTCGCGATCGTGACCTGACAGTATTGACAGTATTTTGTTTTGTTGGCAGGGCAGCTAAAAATTGTGAGCTGCGGGGAGCTTTTTTGTTTCTATGGCGGCGTTCTCGTCGTGTGCCTGGGAAAGGGTGGGATGGGGAATGTGGAGAAAGTCAAGCGTAGTTTTTTCCATACGTCCTCAGGGTAGAACAAGTATTGAAAATGTCAACTACATTGCAGTTTGTTTATGACCTCCGTCTAGAATGATGAAGTTGAAGGTGAGCAAGGATTTTTAGCACCCATTTTTTCTTCTCGATACCGATAAGCAAGAGTACACCTCCACAATGACGGTGGCACATCAACCTATGTTGCCACCCAATGAAGACTACCAACACGATAATGTTGACATCTCACAGTGGGTCGCGCCGGGTTACGACTATGGCGATGAGGAGATGGCATATTCGCCACACGACCACGACGACAGAGAAGTACAGATGTATGCGACGGGGGTGCTGGACCACAAACGAAAACGACCAGTGTATGAAATTCCAGAACCAGCAATTGCGCGCAAAATGCTTCCGGGACCAACGTACGTGAAAACACAAGAACTACTCTTGCAAGATCTATAATAAACACGAGAAAAATTGGAGACGAAGAATGTAGCAGGCATGCACGACCCATTTTGAAAGAGCAAGAAAGAAGTTGATACGTAAAACAGCACTTTAGGATCATGTTCATCCTAAAAATCACCTCTTTCCAACGTTCTCACAGGAAAATGCAGACGTTATCACAATTCAAGAGGGGTCCGAAATATACAATGGGCATGAAGTCCCAATTCGGTGACCCTATCGCAGCAGTAGACTCCGGAACACCAGCTCCAGGAACCTATATCATCAAAGATACATCGAATAGCAAGTACTCAATGTTGTAGGAAATCACACATGGACATAACACAGCTGAAGTCTACTAATTTACCTCACAAGTAGAGCAAAACTGTTATTTGATGAATGCAGCTTCCACCCATTGAGAATGTTGATCATAGGTGGGGAATGCTGTTCATCTCCCTGTTTCTTCTTACTTAATAAATTGGAACGACATTCCGGATTCCCCTATAACTTGGCCCTGGGTTCTCAATGAGTGGCGTCATACGTTCGGTTTGAACTCTGAAACACTCACTTCTCCCGACAAGGTGGACAACTACGAACTACCTAAGTAAGAACAAACAAATTATTCCTGCCACTGCTTCTAGTAGAACAACAACTGCAAGCAGGAACTAAGTACATCACGACAAATTTGTAAGATCATTCAAATACAAACTCCTAACACTGAACAGGGTGAAAGTGTTTCCGCATATCAGTTTCGGAAAAGGACGACGATTCCCACGGTCAATAGGACAAGGACCAGCGCCAGGAGAGTACAGCTATCTCTTATGTAGTCCTCGGTCTGAGATTTCCCAGTCACAGATATTATCTTAAACTTCATCGCTCTTTCTACTAGTACTTCTACCGCAAGGACTGCTCTATTAGGCTCCAGTCTATTAAACCAATAGCTAGTTCATCACATGCACAAGCATACTGACTCAATCTACATCGTTGCACCAATAGCTAGTTCACATGCACAAACATACTGACTCAATCTACATCGTTGCACCAATAGCTAGTTCACATGCACAAGCATACTGACTCAATCTACATCGTTGAATGAATGGATCCATCATCATCCACCTCTCCCAGTTACGATCCAGTTTCCCAACTGTCCTCGAGTTATCGTGTAACCTTCGGAAACGCACCTCGAGATAAAGGTGGTCACAGTCATAGGGAACCAGGACCAGGAACATATGAATTTCGATCGACCGTTGGTACTGCTCATCATGAGCTTAATATGGCTAACTTACTAGATTTAATACGAAGTTGTAGTGTGTCGTGGGTTTTTAGAGATTACTCAGACAGTTGCAACGTTTCTGTTTGAAGATCATTGTTGATATCTAGGGATTTGGATTTCATTCTCACGACCGAAAATAAAGGTAATGGTCCGCGATTTACGGCGCGAGGTCGAAAGGCGTTTGCGACTAAGGAGAAAACAGATTTGACACCTGGTCCTGGGGCATATAGCGTGCCCAGCTTGACGGAGAGGGGTGTCCGATGTGGTTTTGGTACCTCAACGCGCGATTCCGCAGGAAAACTTGTCGGCACGGGACGAATGGGGTATTTTGAGACTTCTTTTTCGGTAGTGCATCATGCCAAAGTATATTGTTCGCCTTCGACAATGATCCTTGTTATATTAAGTACGCAGAATGATCAATCCACCTCGTCCTTCTCTTATTAGCTCTTGCAAAGACAAAAGAGTCGGGGTCGGCCCAAATGAATAACATCTCCATCGGCCCAAATTAATAACATCTGCATCGGCCCAAATGAATAACATCTCCAATCGGCCAATAAAGAATCTGCCAATAACATCCCTACAACTTCTTCTGACATCCCTACTCAACTTCTGCCAGAAACCCCGGACCTGGTGCATATAATTTGAAGAGTACGCTATCAGAGCCAAGGGTCACCCTGACCGGACGTATGCGTGATGTTGGCAATATCGATCATCTGATGACGCCTGGCCCAGGCCAGTACAACGTTCATTGCAGCAGCTTCGGGTACTAGTAGCAGCTTTGGAGAAGTCGTGTAGCTTACTAGTAGAAGTGCTTCTCCGACGAACAGTTCAAATATATGGTATGCAGAAACAGAAATACTATTACTAACTATAAGTAAATCAACTAGTACTAGCTACGCAACGAAAATTCAAATACGAACTGAATCACTCGGTTGTATGAAAATTATGAATTAGATAGCTTACAAATGCAATTCATTGACTGGCACACAAACGAAAATTTCAACTTCTTTCATCATCCTGATATGAAACATAAAATGAACAGTTGTGAAAATATGCACAGAAATAACTAGATCGGACCTCGATTTCTTACATTGAACAGATTAAGAGCTACGAAACGCACACTCAGAGACACAACAATCTAATCACAAAAAAAGACGATGCAACCGTCCAACTTGTCATTCTTGTTAACTTTGATACAAAAATAGCAATGGAGAAGAAAAGCTCCTATGACTAATACGATTACACCGCCGAAAATATGATTGACGATCATTCTTATCCTCGGGCTGGTCTGCCAGAGCCATTCGCTTGCGCACTTGAAAACATTGAAAGCCAATACTAAGCTGATCTTAAAAGGAAATGAAGTTTCAGAAAGTCGATCTTGAAATTAAGCCGGAATGATGTTAGTTACGCTTACTTACGCAATAACGACTAAAATTAAAAACTGTATGCTATCGTTTGTTCTTATAAATATCTTTGTGGTAGTTCTAATCAATGACGACCATGAATAAGTACGTATGATCAGTTAAATCTACGAGAACGGTGATGTCTATCATACGGATAATCATAATAGCGAACCTTGTGATTGTCCATGAAGATGGTCCAGAATATGTCTTCTAGTTGCTAAATAAATGAACCTCTCATCCACCTCTCCACTCGGGTTCTCTATTCGGGCTTGTTGTTCTTGTATAAATTTATGAAGATGATCCTTGACTTACCTAGGTGGACCACCAGATTAGGAGGTGAGTATCTGCTGGGCCACTCTGCGGGCTCGTTCGAAGAGGGACCTCCACAACTAGATGACTGAACGAAAGAATAAATAATTCACCTCAGCACTCACGCGGCTGGGTGGAGTGATGTTCTCGAGCTCTCGCTCCTGCTTTGTTCTACGGACAACTCAACTTCAAAAAAACTCTTGTCGGTTACAGACCTAGAAAATCTTATGGGCATCTGTGACCACTCATTGTAGGGATATGCCGGGTCGGCGCATCGTCCGTGAAGTGTAAGACTTCTCTGCGCCCACCCCAGCTGGTGCGCTGGCCCTTTGGCCGAAGACTTTGAAAATTGAAAACTTCCATCTGTGAGTCTGTTGCTCTCGATCCTCTGTGTCTGTCAGAATACCTGCGGATGACACCAAACAAATGACCTGGCAAAATGGGCTCATCGGTTAAAGCCATGACTCAGGTGCAGCCACACGAGACGACGCTCACCCCTCTTCCCTCCTTACAAATTTAACCTTACCGCTTCGCTATTACACTCTTTGCGTGAGATACATCGTGTAGGCCATCTATGACGCCCTTAAGGCAGTCGCAGTTTGCGCTGTACTTTGTGCGAGGTTAATTGTATTGTCTTGTATTGTCTTGTATTGTATTGTATTCGCCTTCAACCCAACACGTTTGTCAACACACTTCACCCCAATTTCTACCAAGAGTCCGCCTCACTCATTCTGGCGAATGAGGTAGATGACTGCAACTGCGAATAACCTTAGGTGGAAGTGAAAATGTTAGTCTCTGTACTCGTCTGGGCTTTTTTTGCCATGCCAGCATTGGTGCTTGGACGAGCGCAACACCGAGGCCACGTTGAGCGCAGCAGACGACTTCTGGAAATCGAAGATCCGATCGACGATGCTGAGCAAGGAGGAGAAGACTATCGTGACTACGAAGAAAAAAGATTTAGAGGTGGCCGTCACCTTCTACGACAAGAACACGACACACGGAGAACCGGTCAGGGGCATTCTGTTCGCAGAAGAAGGTCCCCACGCCACGACTTACGGCATGCACGCGCTCATAGTCCTCAAAGGAGAGGGTATGATGATCGGGGAGACGAAGATGAGTACAAAAACAATGATTATGGAGATCTTGCAGTTCTAGGTGAACACGATGTAGGCGATGATGAACCCGAATATCAACGTCAGGGAATACGTGCTGCTCACGGGATCGCAAGAACCAACAAGGCCACTTTTGCTACTTCCGGAAGCGAGTTGAACAGACACGAGGGCCGCAAGCACAAAAGAGACTCGTCAAACAACAACAATAATTAAGGCTACCGCTGGACCATCCTCAACATCATCCTTGGCCCTTTTTTCAAGGAGAAAAAGGGACAAGGGAGGTTCTCGGGGATGCGAGCGCGGTAGCTCTAAAATAATATTGTCCAGTCAGTCGCAGTGGATGATGGTGATGGACATATCATAACAGTCCTCACAACGGAAGCGAACAGCAAATTCGCTAGTGTGCACGCTATGGTCAGCGGCGGTGGCACTGGCGTTAAGGGAAGGGTTTTAGTTTTTAGTGTGTGATGATGATATTGATAAGAGAAGATAGGAAAAGGAATATTAAATAGACGGCATGATGATATTGATAAGAGATAGGAAAAGGAATATTATAGACGGGTAGCCTGTCAGTCAAGATTTAAATATTTCTACGGCGTAAGTAATGATTCTGCATGATTTTTCTATGTCCTCGAGTCATAATTATTACATTCTTTCTCGGACGAATGAGAGACGCCGGCATAGGCATACAAACTCTTCTATAATCATCTCTAAACATCGCAACTCTACTCCGAACAGCAGTGGTGTGGAGCCTCCACCACCAGATCAACAAGGCCAAAAGGATAACTCTACGACGAGCGAACCCCACTGTACACTGATAACGCCGCCAAATTTCGACCATTTTTACCCACGCGAGCATCATTGCGATCTCGTTGCGAATACGACGGTGACAATGGTTAGGCTTAAAGATGATGGGGATGATATGAGTATAAGTACTTGGATAAACAGCATTGGAAGAGTTACTTCTACATTTGAGACGGAGTGAGGACACACACCGGGAACCACCCCATTTGGTGACATCAAGGTTTCAAAAAACTTAATCTCACAAAACGAAAACATGGGCCTGGGCGCCCCACACTGTCACACACTGTAGCTATCTTCATCTCTATTTCTACCTTCCCTTCCCCGGTGAAGAAGTTACTATATCACACCTTCGTTCATATTTCCAGTCGGTTCGTCTTGCTTCTTCCTTTGTCACCCTGGGTATGTCAACGAAGCGACGGGAACAAGCGAACAATTGGTATCGTGCCAAAAGGAACAGGCATTCGCGTTGCGGCCGTGTTACAATTAAGGCTTGTCTACTAAATTGGTAGGGCAGCTACTAGATCGGTTAAGGCTTATGTCTACTAAATTGTTTAAGGCTTGTCTTCCTTTTATGTTTCATCTTCTTTCAACAAAGTACTCGAAAAACTGAAATAAGCGAGTTGCCCGAATAATTATAATTGGAATCGCACCAGGAAGGACAAATAGGGTAGAAATAGGTATATATAAGGTGCACATTGAGGAATGACGTGGGATCTCACATGACGGCTCGAAGCTTGCTTCAGAGGGATCTACCAACGTGCCTTCTCAGACCACCTTCAGTGACTGAGACATCTACCAAGATTCCTCTACATCTTGCTTTTCCGCCCGATGAGACCTACCAGATAACACGCGATCTGCTGCCTTTCGCTCGAAATTTCAAGATGAGTGGACGATACATTCATTTGGGCCCAGAATCTTTATAATGCACACACTGCACATAGAGAGATAGAACAGATAGACAGATGGCCCCGCAGTGGCTGTGAGACGCTGAACATGTTCCTATCCAAAGCTTTCCACGGTTGGCATCCGGGTCGTCGATCTTCTGTAGCTGTTTCATGATTCTGTACTATCATCTCTATTCACAACTACATGACGAAGGCGACGCTTTCAGTGTCCAGTGGTAACAGTTCTTGATTTCAGATTCGTTTCGTCGGTCTTTGAGAATGCATTATCGCGGAACGCGCTGCCTTCTAGAAGAATGAGAAATCATCAGTGTAGATCTGTCATGATTGAGCGCGCAACAGCATGCACGTTGGCCATGGAATAACGATTTGGATTCCGTTCGAGTACATCATAACATTGCAACACTCTGTCGGCGTAGCAAACAAGACACTTCTGAGGACAAGCGATAGAATTCGGAAAAGTCAAATAAGAGCCACGCCATCCTTCTTGTGGCTGGAGTCAGTCTTTGCCCAATTGAACATCGACATCGGGTTCCGATCTTGATTCGATCTCTCTTCATTGACTGTAGTTCTGTTGTTGTGTGGCTATTGCTCTGTACTGCCGAGTACTGTGCTCACCACAAACCGAAAGTGAAACACCATGATAGACAGCGCTACCCCCATGACATGAAGAAAATCTTGCGTCTCTTCCCTTCCCAAGTGTTTGCGTGATAGATAACGTCGACCCGTCTGTTCTTCTACCACAATCCAGCACATTACTCATAGAGGAAATACCTACCAAGCGGACTGAGTGCTTTACTTACATTATAAGGGGAATTTTCCAACTCAGTCATCTGTTATAAGTAGACAAAAGTAAGAAAGCGCGACTCCAGCACTCACGACCAAAAGATAGGCTCAACACTTCACACCTGTAGCTTGCTGTACATCCTCCCCCAGTTCAAAATTTTATAACACTGGCACCGACTGCACACGCAACTACAACGCAAGTCAAATAGGATTGGCTTGCGTCGCAACGCATGGCAGCCAGGCGCCCAAAAACAAGAGGTCATGATGATCTAGTTCATTTTTCAAAATTCTAAATACTCGATGTGGATCATTGTGTTATCATATGCGTCAACAATATTCTTTATCAATATGTTCCAGAGTCTATCAACAATTCATGCAAAACTGTAAGTAGGAGACTTCGCCCCTGTTCCTACCTACTTACTTAAGTGGAGAATTATCGGGCGCGACATCGCAAACATCAAAAACGCGAGTTCGAGATTTGCGACATCGACTTACTGCGCAGTAGATGACTGGAGAGGGTCGCAAGACCCCACCTCCCTACATTCCGGCCCATTTGGAGTAGTGCTTCTACTATTTCATTCTCTAAGTACTTATATCAAGATGGCGTCCGTCTCAAACATGCCCTATCGGTCAGGGCTTTCAACGATCATAAATTGCATGCCCTATCGGTCAGGGCTTCTAAGGAAGATCATGACATACCAGGATAGTCCTGGATAAATAAAATTATCTATAATTCTAAATATCTTCGTGATGTTGTTATCGAAACGAGCTCCCTAGTATTACAGAGATACTAGAGAGCTAAAGAATGAGAAACGGGCGCTTCTGCCCAACATAAGAAATCACTATAGGCAATCGGGCCCGCCCCGCCCTTAATAAGAATGACAACGGGCACCCCCTGCCCCGTAACAAGATATGACAAGCAGTGCGCCTGTTCGATTTACTAAGAAAGCGAGCGGCGTACTAAGGACATAATTCTAAGAAAGTAAGTAAGTGTTTCTAATATAGGCGTGATGTGAGGTCAGTAGAACTATGGTAGACTTACTTACTTTACATAGAATTGCAGTTACTTAAGGAGCGAAGTCGTTACTTGTTAGGGAATACTTACCGACGAGGAATGAATGATAGTTGTGCGAGTTCATTGCAATAGGTTTCACACTATCAATCTAAGTTCTTAAGTATTACTATAATCAAATATGAGTACGGGATGCATTCTGAGTTCCTTCCTCCCTAGATCTAAATTCCCGATACTGAAGTGGTTCCACTTAAGTAAGTAGTCAAATGCATCATCCTGCGCGACTACTCCTCTAGTAGTGCGCCACCTCTCCTACCCAAGTCATTATTTATCATGATGCTCGAAATATCTATCTCACATCCTTCTTCCTTCACTTCTTCCACCCCTTCACTTTGGCACCCTTCTTCTCCCACGGTGTTCACGATAGTCTTCTTCTCCATCATCTTGTTCATCGTCTCCATTTACTCGCCCACCTCCATTGCGGCCGCGTTGTTGTCTGCTGCACCCTGGTTTCCGTTGTTGGCCATCATGTCGAACTCGGCGGCAAGATCGTTGGTCTCGTTACGGTCCTCCACACTCGCAACTCGGCGGCGTTTGGCCGGTACGGTCGCTGCGTTTTTCGAACCAGAATTGTGTGCCGCAGGAAGGGATTAGAACTGTATGCTGAGAGAAGACGAAGAAACAGAAATACAATCCCATGCGTATCTAATGAAGGTGCTTAAGTACTTACTTACTTAGTTATTAAGCACTTAGCCCCATGAACTAAGTAGTAAGTACTTACTAAAGCTCAGTCGAGGAAAATGCAGCAGCCAAGTTGCGTTATTGTTTTGCCGTAAGTGTTGCGGGAGATGTTAAAATCGATAAAGTCCGACATAATTCGGACTTGCATGGGCATCAGGGACAGTTTCGAATATTCGATGTACTGGTTCGCAATGTTGTATTGGTCAAAAGTTAGAGAGCCATAGATCTGGCAAGCACAGTCAGTCTCAACCCCAAGCTTTAGTTTCTAAAAATTCTAAAGCTGTGGCAGGGAGAGACGACCAGGGTGCTTGTCGCGATGTAATCCTCCATAAGTTGACATGTTCCAAAGGGACGGTATAGGTCTTTGCCCACCACCAGACGAATTAGAGCAAAGCCGCTTGCACTTCAGTCTTAATCTGCGAAGAGCCTCATTTCTCAGGCGCCCCTTTTGAGGACGGCACGCTGGAAATGGACTGGGAATATGAAGAAGCCTGGGCCTTAAAGATGTTTCACTGCATTCTTTTTAACTTCTTCGTGTGCCTTCGTCTGGGCCACACCTGCCACGTTGTTGCGATGATTGGTCTATTACCCGATGAACAGCAAAAATAGAAATAAGGATAATAAGGAGTGAGTACTTTATTCAGATTCAACACAGTGGGTCTCACAAGCAAGCACACATAGATAAGTATCTTCTATGGCAAACATGAAGTAAGTAAGTACTAACTTAAACCTAAATAACCAGATGAGTAAAAAGTCCAGTACCGATGTACTCGATGCGCATCAAGATACAGAATGTCGCCAAGGTCTCGTCGAAGGACAAGTCGACGATTGCCGGCATGGATTTGTTGTCCTTGAGGATGTACGTGCGCAAATCCTTGTAAAAGGACCAGTGTTTGTGTTTCGAAAGCCACAAGGTGTACAAATCGTGGGTGCGTCCTTGAATTTCTTGCGTCTTGAAGGGGAAGTCCTTCGGATCCTCGGGACATCCTGTATCTTCGACCTGGATTGAGTGGCATATGCCGAAGATGTGAATCACAGGTCCAAGTGATAGTCTAAAGCTGAATTTAAAATCTAAAGAAATCTAAAAAAACTTAAAGTAGAATTACACTGAGTTCAAGTAAGTAAGTAAGTAAGTAAGTACTTACTTAAGTACTTACTCATTGAGCACTTTTACTCGACATAATCTCTTAGAGACGATGAGGGGAACTACTCTACTCGTCGAAGTCGAACAAAAGTAGATACTTACTTAAGTACTCAAGTAAGCACCTCTTTCAAATCGAGCGAGCTTTTCTGTAGCAGTTTGGTTCGCAAATCTGCTAAATCGAAGCGCATTGTCTTTGGAACCGCGTCAATGTTCGTATAAAAAGGCTCGATCAAGTCTGCGTCGTTGCGCTTTTTGTGGCAGCTCGTATTCCAGGACGCTTGCGCGCATTAGAGTGAAAGAACGATGAGTGCAGGGGACTGGGATGATGATGAGTATGAAAATTGCAACGACCATGCGTTGCCTAAAATACTGAGAGAATCCTGGAGGTTCAGACTTCTAAGTAAGTAGTTTGAGCTGTAGCTACTTAAGTGCGCGTCTTTCTATCATAAGAAGCAACAAGCGAACCGCGGCGACCCTTAAGGCCGTTGTAGATCTTCTCCTGGATGCCGTCCTCGAAAGTGCAACCCGTTGTATTGAAGAAAAAGAAACTGCTCGGGTTCACAGACTTCATCGCCGCTACACCGTCGACCAAGTGTTGAGTCGCAGCATCGCAAGCTGCTGGCTGCTTAGGCTCCGGGGTATCACGTTCAACTTGCGCTGTGATCTTGCTGTAGTCGGCGAAGTACAGAGTGCTCTTGCCCTTCAGTTTCGCTTTCAGCGCTGCAGTAGAAAGAGCGTAGGAAAGGATGTAGAGGTAGACTACGAGTAAACAGGTGAAGGAACCACGATCATGAGTCCAAAATCTAAATCACCTAAAGAGCAATCAACGTCTTAAGTCAACCAAGGGATAGCAAACTCATCCACTAAAAAGTACTGCGCTCGAGGTCCTGCATTTCGCAGAGATGGGTCTCAGGTTTGGGCTCTTTCTT